CTTCCACGGTAAGTGCTGGTGGTCGTCATGGTGATCCACCACTGCTGTATGAATGCATCCTTCCACGGTAAGTGCTGGTGGTCGTCATGGTGATCCATCACTGCTGTATGAATGCATCCTTCCACGGTAAGTGCTGGTGGCCGTCATGGTGATCCATCACTGCTGTATGAATGCTTCCTTCCACGGTAAGTGCTGGTGGTCGTCATGGTGATCCACCACTGCTGTATGAATGCATCCTTCCACGGTAAGTGCTGGTGGTCGTCATGGTGATCCACCACTGCTGTATGAATGCATCCTTCCACGGTAAGTGCTGGTGGCCGTCATGGTGATCCATCACTGCTGTATGAATGCATCCTTCCACGGTAAGTGCTGGTGGTCGTCATGGTGATCCACCACTGCTGTATGAATGCATCCTTCCACGGTAAGTGCTGGTGGCCGTCATGGTGATCCACCACTGCTGTATGAATGCATCCTTCCACGGTAAGTGCTGGTGGTCGTCATGGTGATCCACCACTGCTGTATGAATGCATCCTTCCACGGTAAGTGCTGGTGGTCGTCATGGTGATCCATCACTGCTGTATGAATGCATCCTTCCACGGTAAGTGCTGGTGGTCGTCATGGTGATCCACCACTGCTGTATGAATGCATCCTTCCACGGTAAGTGCTGGTGGTCGTCATGGTGATCCATCACTGCTGTATGAATGCATCCTTCCACGGTAAGTGCTGGTGGTCGTCATGGTGATCCACCACTGCTGTATGAATGCATCCTTCCACGGTAAGTGCTGGTGGTCGTCATGGTGATCCACCACTGCTGTATGAATGCATCCTTCCACGGTAAGTGCTGGTGGTCGTCATGGTGATCCATCACTGCTGTATGAATGCATCCTTCCACGGTAAGTGCTGGTGGTCGTCATGGTGATCCACCACTGCTGTATGAATGCATCCTTCCACGGTAAGTGCTGGTGGTCGTCATGGTGATCCATCACTGCTGTATGAATGCATCCTTCCACGGTAAGTGCTGGTGGCCGTCATGGTGATCCACCACTGCTGTATGAATGCTTCCTTCCACGGTAAGTGCTGGTGGTCGTCATGGTGATCCACCACTGCTGTATGAATGCATCCTTCCACGGTAAGTGCTGGTGGTCGTCATGGTGATCCACCACTGCTGTATGAATGCATCCTTCCACGGTAAGTGCTGGTGGCCGTCATGGTGATCCATCACTGCTGTATGAATGCATCCTTCCACGGTAAGTGCTGGTGGTCGTCATGGTGATCCACCACTGCTGTATGAATGCATCCTTCCACGGTAAGTGCTGGTGGCCGTCATGGTGATCCACCACTGCTGTATGAATGCATCCTTCCACGGTAAGTGCTGGTGGTCGTCATGGTGATCCATCACTGCTGTATGAATGCATCCTTCCACGGTAAGTGCTGGTGGTCGTCATGGTGATCCATCACTGCTGTATGAATGCATCCTTCCACGGTAAGTGCTGGTGGTCGTCATGGTGATCCATCACTGCTGTATGAATGCATCCTTCCACGGTAAGTGCTGGTGGTCGTCATGGTGATCCACCACTGCTGTATGAATGCATCCTTCCACGGTAAGTGCTGGTGGTCGTCATGGTGATCCATCACTGCTGTATGAATGCATCCTTCCACGGTAAGTGCTGGTGGTCGTCATGGTGATCCATCACTGCTGTATGAATGCATCCTTCCACGGTAAGTGCTGGTGGTCGTCATGGTGATCCACCACTGCTGTATGAATGCATCCTTCCACGGTAAGTGCTGGTGGTCGTCATGGTGATCCATCACTGCTGTATGAATGCATCCTTCCACGGTAAGTGCTGGTGGTCGTCATGGTGATCCACCACTGCTGTATGAATGCATCCTTCCACGGTAAGTGCTGGTGGTCGTCATGGTGATCCACCACTGCTGTATGAATGCATCCTTCCACGGTAAGTGCTGGTGGTCGTCATGGTGATCCATCACTGCTGTATGAATGCATCCTTCCACGGTAAGTGCTGGTGGCCGTCATGGTGATCCATCACTGCTGTATGAATGCATCCTTCCACGGTAAGTGCTGGTGGTCGTCATGGTGATCCACCACTGCTGTATGAATGCATCCTTCCACGGTAAGTGCTGGTGGCCGTCATGGTGATCCACCACTGCTGTATGAATGCATCCTTCCACGGTAAGTGCTGGTGGTCGTCATGGTGATCCATCACTGCTGTATGAATGCATCCTTCCACGGTAAGTGCTGGTGGTCGTCATGGTGATCCATCACTGCTGTATGAATGCATCCTTCCACGGTAAGTGCTGGTGGTCGTCATGGTGATCCACCACTGCTGTATGAATGCATCCTTCCACGGTAAGTGCTGGTGGTCGTCATGGTGATCCATCACTGCTGTATGAATGCATCCTTCCACGGTAAGTGCTGGTGGTCGTCATGGTGATCCACCACTGCTGTATGAATGCATCCTTCCACGGTAAGTGCTGGTGGTCGTCATGGTGATCCACCACTGCTGTATGAATGCATCCTTCCACGGTAAGTGCTGGTGGTCGTCATGGTGATCCATCACTGCTGTATGAATGCATCCTTCCACGGTAAGTGCTGGTGGTCGTCATGGTGATCCATCACTGCTGTATGAATGCATCCTTCCACGGTAAGTGCTGGTGGTCGTCATGGTGATCCATCACTGCTGTATGAATGCATCCTTCCACGGTAAGTGCTGGTGGCCGTCATGGTGATCCATCACTGCTGTATGAATGCATCCTTCCACGGTAAGTGCTGGTGGTCGTCATGGTGATCCATCACTGCTGTATGAATGCATCCTTCCACGGTAAGTGCTGGTGGTCGTCATGGTGATCCACCACTGCTGTATGAATGCATCCTTCCACGGTAAGTGCTGGTGGTCGTCATGGTGATCCACCACTGCTGTATGAATGCATCCTTCCACGGTAAGTGCTGGTGGTCGTCATGGTGATCCATCACTGCTGTATGAATGCATCCTTCCACGGTAAGTGCTGGTGGTCGTCATGGTGATCCACCACTGCTGTATGAATGCATCCTTCCACGGTAAGTGCTGGTGGTCGTCATGGTGATCCATCACTGCTGTATGAATGCATCCTTCCACGGTAAGTGCTGGTGGCCGTCATGGTGATCCATCACTGCTGTATGAATGCTTCCTTCCACGGTAAGTGCTGGTGGTCGTCATGGTGATCCACCACTGCTGTATGAATGCATCCTTCCACGGTAAGTGCTGGTGGTCGTCATGGTGATCCACCACTGCTGTATGAATGCATCCTTCCACGGTAAGTGCTGGTGGTCGTCATGGTGATCCATCACTGCTGTATGAATGCATCCTTCCACGGTAAGTGCTGGTGGTCGTCATGGTGATCCACCACTGCTGTATGAATGCATCCTTCCACGGTAAGTGCTGGTGGTCGTCATGGTGATCCACCACTGCTGTATGAATGCATCCTTCCACGGTAAGTGCTGGTGGTCGTCATGGTGATCCACCACTGCTGTATGAATGCTTCCTTCCACGGTAAGTGCTGGTGGTCGTCATGGTGATCCACCACTGCTGTATGAATGCATCCTTCCACGGTAAGTGCTGGTGGTCGTCATGGTGATCCACCACTGCTGTATGAATGCATCCTTCCACGGTAAGTGCTGGTGGTCGTCATGGTGATCCACCACTGCTGTATGAATGCATCCTTCCACGGTAAGTGCTGGTGGTCGTCATGGTGATCCACCACTGCTGTATGAATGCATCCTTCCACGGTAAGTGCTGGTGGTCGTCATGGTGATCCACCACTGCTGTATGAATGCATCCTTCCACGGTAAGTGCTGGTGGTCGTCATGGTGATCCACCACTGCTGTATGAATGCATCCTTCCACGGTAAGTGCTGGTGGTCGTCATGGTGATCCACCACTGCTGTATGAATGCTTCCTTCCACGGTAAGTGCTGGTGGTCGTCATGGTGATCCACCACTGCTGTATGAATGCTTCCTTCCACGGTAAGTGCTGGTGGTCGTCATGGTGATCCATCACTGCTGTATGAATGCATCCTTCCACGGTAAGTGCTGGTGGTCGTCATGGTGATCCATCACTGCTGTATGAATGCATCCTTCCACGGTAAGTGCTGGTGGTCGTCATGGTGATCCATCACTGCTGTATGAATGCATCCTTCCACGGTAAGTGCTGGTGGTCGTCATGGTGATCCACCACTGCTGTATGAATGCATCCTTCCACGGTAAGTGCTGGTGGTCGTCATGGTGATCCACCACTGCTGTATGAATGCATCCTTCCACGGTAAGTGCTGGTGGTCGTCATGGTGATCCATCACTGCTGTATGAATGCATCCTTCCACGGTAAGTGCTGGTGGTCGTCATGGTGATCCACCACTGCTGTATGAATGCATCCTTCCACGGTAAGTGCTGGTGGTCGTCATGGTGATCCATCACTGCTGTATGAATGCATCCTTCCACAGTAAGTGCTGGTGGTCGTCATGGTGATCCACCACTGCTGTATGAATGCTTCCTTCCACGGTAAACCTGTGAAAGACTTTTCATCCAAACCTGGTACATATATTAAGCAAGGACTGAAGTGGTGCCTTTTGCTATTAAGGAATTTTTCAAAATTTGATATTTCCCTGTTTCCATAGAAACAAGTTAGACTTGTTACTGAAACAGAGGTAGGTGTCGTTTCCGGAGCAGAACTAAAAGACTATTCAACATTTTTCATCCAAACTTAGTACATGTATTAATCAATGGCTGAAGTGGTGCCTTTTCCTATTTAGAAATATACTTTGACCCTGTTCATAGTGTTTCATAGTGAAACTTTGCACTGACAAAGGCCAGGTTGTCAAATGGTGTGTTTTTCTATTTAGGGATGTTTTGAATTGATATTTTTTTCTGTTTCTGTGGCAACAAGTTTGATTTTGACCCTGTTCATAGTAATGTGTACCTGACATAGAAATACACTCTGTGTTGTGCAGGTGATACTCTGCAGAAAGCAAGTGAAGTGGTCCCGATCCTCATCCAGACATTGGACAAGGCCCACAAGCAGCCAACCCAGTCACAGATCGTCACCGAGGCTGTCTCCGCAGCCTGTCTTCTAGTCCGTCTCTCATTGGTCGATATTGAGTCAGGTGAGAACATGTTTCCTCTCACTGTTAAAGCTGTTCGCTGCACCTCCTCCAACTCACTCACCCATGCTTGGGGATCAGCTGGTCAAAATGGCCACATCTCAATAGTACATTGATGGGTGATCTGAATGTTTGCATATCCTCACACAGTACTGATCAGAGTATCATTTCCCTGTGGAAATTCCAGGTTACAGTTGGTCCCCAGAAACCCATGCTTGTCCCCAGTAACCCCTGCTTGTCCCAAGCAACCTATGCCTGTCCCTAGCAACCCATGCTTGTCCCTAGCAACCCATGCTTGTCCCCACAAACCCATGCCTGTCCCCAGCAACCCATGCTTGTCCCCTACAACCCCTGCCTAACCCTAGCAACCCATGCTTGTCCCTAGCAACCCATGCTTGTCCCCATCAACCCATGCTTGTCCCCATCAACCCATGCTTGTCCCTAGCAACCCATGCTTGTCCCTAGCAACCCATGCTTGTCCCTAGCAACCCATGCTTGTCCCCACCAACCCATGCTTGTCCCCACCAACCCCTGCTTGTCCCTAGCAACCCATGCTTGTCCCCACCAACCCATGCCTGTCCCCAGCAACCCATGCTTGTCCCCAACAACCCCTGCCTAACCCTAGCAACCCATGCTTGTCCCTAGCAACCCATGCTTGTCCCCACCAACCCATGCCTGTCCCCAGCAACCCATGCTTGTCCCCAACAACCCCTGCCTAACCCTAGCAACCAATGCTTGTCCCTAGCAACCCATGCTTGTCCCCAACAACCCCTGCCTAACCCTAGCAACCCATGCTTGTCCCCATCAACCCATGCTTGTCCCTAGAACCCATGCTTGTCCCTAGAACCCATGCTTGTCCCGAGTAACCACTGCTGGTCCCCATCAACCCATGCTTGTCCCCAGCAACCCATGCTTGTCCCTAGCAACCCATGCTTGTCCCCACCAACCCATGCCTGTCCCCAGCAACCCATGCTTGTCCCCAACAACCCCTGCCTAACCCTAGCAACCCATGCTTGTCCCCATCAACCCATGCTTGTCCCTAGAACCCATGCTTGTCCCTAGAACCCATGCTTGTCCCGAGTAACCACTGCTGGTCCCCATCAACCCATGCTTGTCCCCACCAACCCATGCTTGTCCCTAGCAACCCATGCTTGTCCCTAGCAACCCATGCTTGTCCCCACCAACCCTTACTGGATGGGTGGTCAGGCTCTGTGACTTGATAGATTGCCTGTCATCGTCCCCTGGCAGTGTGGAACATTGTCCCTAGCAACCCATGCTTGTCCCCACCAACCTTTACTGGATGGGTGGTCAGGCTCTGTGACTTGATGGATTGCCTGGCATCGTCCCCTGGAAGTGTGGAACATTCCTCATAATCATCATGTCAATCACGGGATAGTCTGGTTTAGATTCAATTTATTTACAGGCTGCTGTCATGTAGCTGGAATAATGCTGAGTGCAGTGTTAAACAACAAACGAACAAATAAGCAATCAGTTTGATTCACCTACTCACTCCAAAAGTAATTTTTTTTCACGTTCTGTATGATTCTTACAACTGTTACAGAAAGTAAACTTGGCACATTTTGGACGACAGTTCTGGACAACAAGAAACAGCTGCTGGTGAACGAGAAGTTTCTGTCGGCCGCCACAGATGAAAGTAAGGATGACCCATGAAGATCCGGGGTGGAATAGGACTTCAGCAACCCATGCTTGCCGTAAATGGTGACTCTCAGGCTTATTGTAAGAGATGACTAGCGGGATCAGGTGGTCAGGCTCAATGACTTGTTTGATGCATGTCATCGTATCCCAATTGCATGGATTGTCTGGTCCAGACTCAATTATTTACAGACTGCCGTCATGTAGCTGGAATATTGCTGAGTGCAGCGTTAAACAAACAAACAAACAAACAAACAAACATCAAGTAAGTCTTCAGAAACAAAATATGTTTGATAAATATATTAAAGTTAAACATTATACAATCTAAAGTTTACTTAAGTTGAATGTCCTAGTGTTACAATACATTGAGAACCTGTGTAACATACTTTCTTCACCTCTGCTAACAGTAGTAAATTCCTTGTTTTGAAAGAGTGGTCCCAACAGTCGAGATTATGAAAGACATTTAATGAGAATAAATTGAAAAGGTTCTTGAGGACAATGAATGACAATTATATAATCTCCGTTGTTTGCCAGGAGGTCAATAAAGTGTTGTATTATCACAAGATTATCTAAAATTTAAAACTAGTGCCCTTGGCAGGCAGTTTGGGAAAAATGTAGATTTTTGTTTAGAGTTGTTAGGTTCTTTACAATGTATTCAATCTAACATAATGTAAAATTAAAGCACTTCCTCTTTATTGGTCATTTTACCATTGAAATACAAGTCAGTTGCCAGTGGGTGATCCAGTCGTCTAAGGCACTGCTATTCACTGTTCAGAGTTGCGTCCCTTAGGCACGCCAGAAACCTATGATTGTGGGTTCGAATCCCGGTTCACCATTATTATGTTTCTAGGTTTGTCAGCACTATACCCATGCTTGTGGGTTTCACCGAAGTGGTAAACGTCTGAGACCTGCATCACTTTGGGCTTTCCTCCCACATTAAGCTGACACACCGTGATATAACCGGAATAGTGTTAAAAGCGGCGTTAAACCCAACTCACTCACTCACAATGAAATACAAGTCACCGTGATCAAACCTCACATTGGTTATAACAATATTAACACTAACAGGGAATTTTGATATTTCCATTTGGGAAGTTTTCCTGACATTTGCTGCAGACTTGAGTTGAATATCAGGCTCTTAGCAGGTTGTGACAAAACCATGCATCACTATGGTCTCCTTCCATTCCAGCTCTGCAGAACCTTGTGACGCTGGCCGAGAGGCTCATCCTGGACTTCCCCCAGAAAATGACTGAGACTGTGGCAAGGTAGTATATGTCAACAGTGAGGATGAATGTGTTAATATCAGGAATGTGTCCCCAATACCATAATCTTGTAATGAGAGTGATCCGACAGGTCTTGAAATTAAGCGTGAAAGTCAAGGTGTTCTTGCCTAAGTCGTATACTTATGGAGATTTAGGACCTGAGAATCAAATACTTTGCCAGCAAACCTCAAGGACACCTTCCTTTTTTTTAAACTTGGTCAGTAGTAAATTCTGTCTGCCGTAAACCGGGTTACCTTATCACCATACTTGCTGCCAAGATGTTATTGCCAGCATCATTGACTGACTCCCTCTCTCCCCATGTGTAGCCCGTACTACAAGCTGGTGATCTACTGTTTGACGCGCAAGGCATGGACAGTCAGGAAACACGCGATCAGCTCCACCAATCGGCTGCTCTCCCTGCTGGGCGGGGCCCAGGTATCGCTCTGTCTCATCAGGGAGTTCAACACTCTACTTCATGCACAGAAGGTATAATACTGCCAGCATCGTATGCTTGTTGTCCTTCCCTCCCACCCTCTCTCTCTCTCCCCCTCTCTCTCTCCTCTCACCCTCTCACCCCCCTCTCTCTCTCCTCCCTCCCTCCCACCCTCTCACCTCTCTACCCATCCTCTCTTCTACCCTCCCTCCCTCTTTCCCTCCTTTGCTCACAACCTCTCTCCCATGTTCTCTACCACCCTCCACGTCCTTCCTTCCCTCCCACTTTCCCACACCCACTCTCTGCCACCCTCCGACCCTCTCTCCCACCTTCCCACCTTCCCCTTTCTTTCTCCCTTCCGCCCTCCCTCTCTCTCTGCCACCCTCTCTCCCACCTTCCTCTTTCTCTCTCCCTTCCATCTTCTTTCCCTCTTCCCCTCTCTTCACTCTGCCACCTCCCTCCATCACTTTCTCCCACCTTCCCTCCCTCCTACCTTCCCCTTTCTCCCTCCCTCCCTCTCTTCCTCCCTTCCACTCCTGCTCAGACAGCTATGTCTGGCTAAGTATACAGCTAATGTCCGGAAAGCATCCAACATTGAAACTAAAACTTTCCCAATTGATGTTTTTAGATTATTGCATTTAATGCAATTTTGAATTGAGGAAAATAAGATTATTATTTTTAATATGCCTGCCATGTGCTCTTAGTGTTGATTCCAAGACAAACCCCTGACACAATATTTACAATGTTGGGTTGTGAAAAAGAAATGACATTATTTTTAAGTGATTTTTGTTTTCATATTCTCTGTGGAATTGTGCTTTTTTCTGTGATACTGGCCCTGACAGTCTGTAACTACTTGTGAGGGTCGTGATGATTTATTCCGTGTTGTGATGATTTAGTCTGTGATGTGATGATTTATTCCGTGTTGTGATGATTTATTCCGTGTTGTGATGATTTAGTCTGTGATGTGACGATTTATTCCGTGATGTGATATCTTCTTCTCTTCCAGCTGTCTGACTTCCAGAACTTCCAGATGGCGGAAGACGACAACCGTGAGGGCGCAGGAGACAGCGCTGTCATCCTCACTCCCAGAATCCTCTCAGATGCTCTAATCACCATCTGCTCAGTGCAGAAAGCTGATGTTAAGGAGGCGGAGTCTATTGCCTTGGCAACGCTACTGACAGCCCATCATCCTTACATAGGTAAAATACTTTCAGTGTTATTCAACTGGGACCCAGTGTGGGGATCTAGGACAGACTGGATCCCATGCACCAGTCCTTGTTCTAAACTCGAACCCAGTGTCACGATTTAGGGTCTTTCCAGACTGATGTGTAAGCTTTGTTTCATACACTGACCAGTCTGGATGAATTAGACGTCATGTTTTTCCCTTCGTCATGTGTAAAGAAAATGACATGTATGGCAACAGATTTACCACGAATTGTGGACAAACATTTAGCAAGGTTGTAAGACTAGGTTTGATTTTCGTGTTTTTTTTCAGCACATGCCAATTCCTGCGCGTGGGTGGATATTCTCAGAAAGCTGAATGTTGACGCAGCCAACTTCGTCCGCTGCCACATCAAGGATTGTCTCAACCTGGTCCAAACCAACGATAATCCCTCGGAGGTAGGATTGTCAGAGTAGGGTCATTTATGTAACAAGCCTTCTTCATAAGTGAGGCGGTGGCGTAGCCTTGTGGTTTAAGTGTTCGCTCATCATGCAAAAACACACACGATTCTCCACATGGGCACAATGTGTGAAGCCTATTTCAGGTGTCCCCTGCTGTGATATGGCTGGAATATTGGTGACAGCAGCGTGAAACCATGCTCGCTCACTTCTTCTTCTTTAACGTATCTGTGAATGATCATTGAACGACAGACCGCCTCTGTGGTCTAGTGGTAGAGCGTCCGCCCGGAGAGCGGAAGGTTCGGGGTTCGATCCCCGGCCGCGTCATACCAAAGACGTTAAAAGATGGTACTTGTTGTTACCCTGTCTGGCGCTCGGCATAAGGGGCTTAAACAAGGACTGGTCGGCTTGGAGTCAGTATACTGTGTCTGAGTGGGATATTCATGTTAAACTGCGGCATGGTAACTCAGTGAGCTAGCACTATAAATAGGCATCGGTCCGGACTAGTACAAGCAGCCACACAAACACACACACGTTCATGCACGTCGCTATATAAGTGCAATTATCTTGGACGCGACGTTAAACCCCATTTCACCTCACACCTCTTGTGAATCATTAATGTTATGTCCAGAATTCCTCATAATATGGTGTTGTATGTTTGTCACAAGAGGCAACTAAATGGATCGGTAATCTAGCCTGGTTAATTGTTGTGGGGTGATGCTCATAATATCAACCACTGGTTTGTCTGGTCCAGACGTATGTGTTCACATGTTACTGTTATACAGCTTGAATATTGCTGAGTGCAGCATTTAAAAACACCCAGGAGACCCACCTCAGAAGTGAGGTTTTTAAGATGAGTGAAAGCAACTGACGTTGAACAATTACGCAGCACTGGAAGAGTAATTCCACACTTTGAACAATTTATCATATAATATGGTGTCATCTCCACAGAGCGTGTGCAATACGGTGAGCACACTGGCATTTGTGGAGCCGGCTGCCATCTTGCCACCGCTGCTGCGTTACGTCCTTGAGATTCTTGGGAATTCGGATCTAACGCAGGTCACTCAGACCGAATTCAAGATCTTCCTCACTCCTGACGGTCAGCTGTACGACAACTCCATCATTGAGAGGTATGTACAGGACAGCATCAATCAGTCAGTTAGTATACTACTCAAATTTAGTTAATATGAAAGAATTGTGTGTACTCAGACTTGTATTGTATTGTTAAACTCTCAGGTCTTTTATGTATAAAATCCCACTGCTGTCGTATAGCTGGAATATTGCTGAGTACGGCGTTAAACAACAAACAAACAAACACGTTGCAGAGGTGCTTATAATCCACGCTGCTTTAAAGAATCTTTTTCAAGTACATGCACAAGTGCAAGAGATGTGTTTTTACATTTGTTTCCCAATGTTCATGATTGAGAAAAATATTATGACCTAATTTGGAATGTGTAATTTGAAATGTTTTCAAATTAAAATCTTGTCTCATATGTTTTTCTGACAACGGAAATATTTGAGTGGACATAATTCATGGGTTGATGTTATTTTTTGTGATGTTTCCATGGTTACAGTGCCATGAAGTCTGAGACAAAGGAGACCAACATTAAGCGAGAGAACCGTCTGTACTCCCACAAGGAACAGATGGCAGAGTTGGAGCTGCGGAAGGTGAGGAGTGGCGCTGAGGAACACTCAGATGGGTCGTTCTTGAACCTGACATCACATGGAGAGTCCACATTGGTTGCCAGGGCAGAATAGAACCACATGCTTGTCTCTCTTGGGTTTCCAGAGCAGTCTAGGTCCCCAGTACCTCATGCTTGTCTGTCTGGGGATTCCAGTGCAGTCTAGGTCCCCAGTACATCATGCTTGTCTGTCTGGGGATTCCAGTGCAGTCTAGGTCCCCAGTACATCATGCTTGTCTGTCTGGGGATTCCAGTGCAGCCTAGGTTCCCAATGCCTCGTGCTTGTCTGTCTGGGGATTCCAGTGCAGTCTAGGTCCCAAGTACCTCATGCTTGTCTGTTTGGGGATTCCAGTGCAGTCTAGGTCCCCAGTACCTCATGCTTGTCTGTCTGGGGATTCCAGTGCAGTCTAGGTCCCAAGTACCTCATGCTTGTCTGTTTGGGGATTCCAGTGCAGTCTAGGTCCCCAGTACCTCATGCTTGTCTGTCTGGGGATTCCAGTGCAGCCTAGGTCCCCAATGCCTCATGCTTGTCTGTCTGGCGATTCCAGTGCAGTCTAGGTCCTCAGTACCTCATGCTTGTCTGTCTATCCTAGTCTCTATGGGGAATCCAGATCTGTATGCCCCAGTATCCTATGCTAGTCTCTCTGGGGAATCCAGATCTGTATGTCCCAGTGTCCTATGCTAGTCTCTCTGGGGAATCCAGATCTGTATGTCCCAGTGTCCTATGCTAGTCTCTCTGGGGAATCCAGATCTGTATGTCTCGGTGTCCTATGCTAGTCTCTCTGGGGAATCCAGATCTGTATGTCTCAGTGTCCTATGCTAGTCTCTCTGGGGAATCCAGATCTGTATGTCCCAGTATCCTTTGCTAGTCTCTCTGGGGAATCCAGATCTGTATGTCCCAGTATCCTATGCTAGTCTCTCTGGGGAATCCAGATCTGTATGTCCCAGTATCCTTTGCTAGTCTCTCTGGGGAATCCAGATCTGTATGTCCCAGTATCCTATGCTAGTCTCTCTGGGGAATCCAGATCTGTATGTCCCAGTGTCCTATGCTAGTCTCTCTGGGGAATCCAGATCTGTATGTCCCAGTGTCCTATACTAGCCTCTGGGGAATCCAGATCTGTATGTCTCAGTGTCCTATGCTAGTCTCTCTGGGGAATCCAGATCTGTATGTCCCAGTGTCCTATGCTAGTCTCTCTGGGGAATCCAGATCTGTATGTCCCAGTATCCTTTGCTAGTCTCTCTGGGGAATCCAGATCTGTATGTCCCAGTGTCCTATTCTAGTCTCTCTGGGGAATCCAGATCTGTATATCCCAGTGTCCTTTGCTAGTCTCTCTGGGGAATCCAGATCTGTATGTCCCAGTGTCCTATGCTAGTCTCTCAGGGGAATCCAGATCTGTATGTCCCAGTGTCCTATTCTAGTCTCTCAGGGGAATCCAGATCTGTATGTCCCAGTGTCCTATGCTAGTCTCTCTGGGGAATCCAAATCTGTATGTCCCAGTGTCCTATTCTAGTCTCTCTGGGGAATCCAGATCTGTATATCCCAGTGTCCTTTGCTAGTCTCTCTGGGGAATCTAGATCTGTATGTCTCAGTATCCTATCCTAGTCTCTCTGGGGAATCCAGATCTGTATGTCCCAGTGTCCTATTCTGGTCTCTCGGGGGGATCCAGGTCTGTATGTCCCAGTGTCCTATACTAGCCTCTGGGGAATCCAGATCTGTATGTCCCAGTGTCCTATGCTAGTCTCTCTGGGGAATCCAGATCTGTATGTCCCAGTATCCTATGCTAGTCTCTCTGGGGAATCCAGATCTGTATGTCCCAGTGTCCTATTCTAGTCTCTCTGGGGAATCCAGATCTGTATGTCCCAGTATCCTATGCTAGTTTCTCTGGGGAATCCAGATCTGTATGTCCAAGTATCCTATGCTAGTCTCTCGGGGGAAACCAGATCTGTATGTCCCTGTGTCCTATTCTAGTCTCTCTGGGGAATCCAGATCTGTATGTCCCAGTATCCTTTGCTAGCCTCTATGGGAAATCCAGATCTGTATGTCCCAGTATCCTATCCTAGTCTCTCTGGGGAATCCAGATCTGTATGTCCCAGTGTCCTATGCTAGTCTCTCTGGGGAATCCAGATCTGTATGTCCCAGTATCCTATACTAGTCTCTCTGGGGAATCCAGATCTGTATGTCCCAGTGTCCTATTCTAGTCTCTCAGGGGAATCCAGATCTGTATGTCCCAGTGTCCTTTGCTAGTCTCTCTGGGGAATCCAGATCTGTATGCCCCAGTATCCTATGCTAGTCTCTATGGGGAATGCAGATCTGTATGTCCCAGTATCCTATACTAGTCTCTGGGGAATCCAGATCTGTATGTTCCAGTATCCTATGCTAGTGTCTCTGGGGAATCCAGATCTGTATGTCCCAGTGTCCTATCCTAGTCTCTATGGGGAATGCAGATCTGTATGTCCCAGTATCCTATACTAGTCTCTGGGGAATCCAGATCTGTATGTTCCAGTATCCTATGCTAGTCTCTTTGGGGAATCCAGATCTGTATGTCCAAGTGTCCTATGCTAGTCTCTCTGGGGAATCCAGATCTGTATGTCCCAGTATCCTATGCTAGTCTCTCTGGGGAATCCAGATCTGTATGTCCCAGTATCCTATGCTAGTATCTCTGGGGAATCCAGATCTGTATGTCCCTGTGTCCTATGCTAGTCTCTCTGGGGAATCCAGATCTGTATGTCCCAGTGTCCTATGCTAGTCTCTGGGGAATCCAGATCTGTATGTCCCAGTGTCCTATTCTAGTCTCTCTGGGGAATCCAGAATTGTATGTCCCAGTGTCCTTTGCTAGTCTCTCTGGGGAATCCAGATCTGTATGTCCCAGTGTCCTTTGCTAGTCTCTCTGGGGAATCGAGATCTGTATATCCCAGTGTCCTATGCTAGTCTCTGGGGAATCCAGATCTGTATGTCCCAGTGTCCTATTCTAGTCTCTCTGGGGAATCCAGATCTGTATGTCCCAGTATCCTTTGCTAGTCTCTCTGGGGAATCCAGATCTGTATATCCCAGTGTCCTATGCTAGTCTCTGGGGAATCCAGATCTGTATGTCCCAGTGTCCTATTCTAGTCTCTCTGGGGAATCCAGATCTGTATGTCCCAGTATCCTTTGCTAGTCTCTCTGGGGAATCCAGATCTGTATGTCTCAGTGTCCTATGCTAGTCTCTCTGGGGAATCCAGATCTGTATGTCCCAGTGTCCTTTGCTAGTCTCTCTGGGGAATCCAGATCTGTATGTCTCAGTGTCCTATGCTAGTCTCTCTGGGGAATCCAGATCTGTATGTCCCAGTGTCCTTTGCTAGTCTCTCTGGGGAATCCAGATCTGTATGTCTCAGTGTCCTATGCTAGTCTCTCTGGGGAATCCAGATCTGTATGTCCCAGTGTCCTATTCTAGTCTCTCTGGGGAATCCAGATCTGTATGTCCCAGTATCCTATGCTTGTTTCCCTGTGGAGATGTAAGGTAATATGAGACAGCTCAAGTCCAGGTGATCTCGTGAATGATGATGAGGTCCCTGTAGACATCAAACAAGAGGTCATCCTCAACACTACTCACATTTGGCTGAAGTGCTTTGGCTTCAGATATTATAATTGATAACCTTCTCAGTCTGCTGCTTGAAGCTGTCATTTTGTAATTACCAGGAACTGGAAAAGAAAAAGGGGAAGAAGGACTCCGGACCAAAACTGACCAAGAAACAGGAAGAGATGGTCGCTGCACAGAAAGAGAAGGAGGCTGAGATCAGGAACAGGCTGCGAGGGGTGAGAGTTATGTCCCTTAGATGATGGTCACAGGCCATCCCTGCTCATGGCCTTGACCTTGTCAGCACCATGGGTTTCCCTTTGCTAATTTTCCTCTACAACATGTGTCACTGTTGGCGTTCCTTCCACACTTCGCGATATGACCGAAATGCTGTTTAAACCAGTGTAATGAGTGACCTTCAACATATCCCAAGGTGACTTGCAAATCTTGTGAATTCCAGTGATTCACCATGATGGAGTTAGGATTATTTATTCCAGACTTCTTGTGTTGACAACAGGTTTACCTGTGATGTTAGATTATGGCATTTATTAAGTATTTAGTATTACTACAAAATGAGTTGACCTGTGAAGATCCGGGTTAGGTTTTGTCTTCAACAACCCATGCTTGTCTTAACAAGCGAACATGCTTGTTATAAGAGGCGACTAACGGGAACAGGTGGTCGGGCTCACTGACTTGGTTGATGTATGTCATTTTATCCCAATTGGGTAGATCGATGCTCATGATGTTAATCACTGGATTGTCTGGTCCAGAGCCAATTATTTACAGACCACCATCATATTGGAATATTGCTGGTCTTAAACAACAAACAAACAAACAAAACAAATGAAGATGGTGGCATGTGTTCCTATGCACAGCGCACAAGTCACAAATCAAGTGAAGTTAAGCAACATTGTTTGCGGAGAGTCCTTGGATGGGTGACCACGTTTCAGCAGCTTGGCTCCTGAGAGTTTCTAGGGCCACAGTCCTGCCCAACAATGAAGCACATGTAACACAAGTGGCGTCTCCTTGGGCATGTGTCTTTGTTTGAAATGTGCCTCTGTTCACCCAGCAGTGAATGGGTACCAGATAGGATGAGATGTCATTGTGGTTGTTAACCTTCTAGCACCTCACAGGCAACTGGTTGTATACTCCCCAGGGAGCTGAGAATGATGAGTGCATACTAATCCAGTGACATGGGTAATAATAGTGCTTTGAACATGCCCGTGTGGTGTGGAAATATGCGCAGTATAAATGGCTTGTTATTGTTACTATGAATGAGATCATCTGTTCCGCAGCTTGATACAACACTCCAGTGTGCCTGCAGCTTAGTGATGGCTGCTGTCAAGGGCAACAAGTCTTCATTCTGCGTCTACATGAAGGACATCTGTGCGTTGTTGTCTCCCTTGCTTCAGTCCCCCCTGGCAGCTCCGAGGGCTAGTCAAGTATTTGTGGATCTCGGCCAGGCGGCATTCCAAGATGAACTTCAAGGTCAGATAGTGTGATTTCCCAAGGTCATTCTCACAACTGTTTTTCCCAAGGGAATCCCATGATAATCTTCATGGTCAAATAGTGTAGTTTCCCAAGGTCATTCTCACAACTGTTTTTCCCAAGGGAATCCCATGATAATCTTCATGGTCAAATAGTGTAGTTTCTCAAGGTCATTCTCACAACTGTTTTCTTTAAATAGTTCTTGACCAGGGGTCCGGAAAATTTAAAATCCCAATCGGACATTTGCATTTAGGCCACGCCCCCTTCAAATAGCGTATTTTAGTACGACTTTTCACACACATTACAAGTTTACGTATTCATAATATGATGAATTATGAATTGTTTCAATTTAAATTGTTTAATTCACCGGACAATTAATAACAAATAATATCATTTTAGATTTACATGGAAAACATACGTTTGTTTCTATTATAATAACGATCTGTTAACGTAGTGAACGGTCTAATTAATATTCATGAGTTATATTCATGAGTCTGCTCAAGTGTACGCGTTGTAACATTTGGATCGAGACTATTATCCCATATTTGGTTATCACGTGACCTCACGGGAATTTTTTTTTTTTTTAAACTAAAGATTTTTTTAAAAACAAGACAGATAATTTAATCACAAATAAAAAAATATCGTTGATAGCAATAGTTATTTGAATACTTTTTTCATCTGTACTTATTTATTGACCATAAACAAATTGGATATCGATCGTCCGAGAAAGCAAAATGGCGGTCAATCAAGATTCAATATATGACTAGCTACTGAAAACAATAAAATCTGCAAATCCTCATTGTATGTCAACCAAGTGAAAGTCGTTAGCCACGACTTACAAAATGATCGTCCAGACTTTGAGGGTTTGGCAGATCCGCTCAACTGATCTGCATCGGTCGACTGGCTGTCGTCACGCTTTCGCTTCTTGTCTGAGGTTACGTATCGTAGCATTGTGAGGATAATGAGGTACATCGATGATGCAAGGTATTAATGTACAGTTGTAAACACCTTTCACTCAAATTAACAAGATGTTCTCAGTAATTAATCCTCGATTAATCAGTGTCAACTCAGTTTATTGCCTATTACAGTGATTGACCGATTGGACTATCATGTAGGTACGATGTATTTACAGCAATCAAAACAAACAAAGCTTGTCAGTGTAGTTAATCTTCATTGTGTTGCAACTGCAGACAGAAACTGCTCAGTCCTAACTGTTGATCATGTTCCGGTCAAAATTTAAGAATGTCCGGACAATACTTTTTAAAATGTCCGGTAAGCAATATTTAAAAACGGACATTTGAGATTCCCAGTCGGACATGTCCGGCGCATATGACGGTTTCCGGACCCCTGTTCTTGACACAACAAATTTATTCCTTGTTGCCTGGATCTTCACAAAGTAAATATGTAGAGATTTTCTTTTCAATGACATCTTGTGCTTTCAAAGGCTGAAAAAAAGAAAATCATTGGCACATGAACACGTTTCAAAAGCTATTGATATAAGGGTTAGATGTAACTGTTTTTAATGTTTAAGCTTAATGGCCTATGCCAACCATTTTAGGGCTAAATTAAATATGACGTGATTTTTTTACATCCTTGAAAGTATTTAGTACATCTGACAAGAGGGTATAATTCAATATTAGTGGGCCCCCTTTAGGATCCAGGGAAGGAATTGCTCCCTAGTGACCTATGCTGATCGTAAGAGGCGACTTAATGAATCAGGCTGTCGGACTTGTGATTTGGTTGATTGCATGTGGTCGTACCTCGATTGATTGTTGCTCACAATATCGATTACAGAATTGTCTGGTCCAGGCTCTGTTATTTACAGGCTGTTGTCATATCTGGAGTATTGCTGAGTGCGGCGATAAATAACAAACAAACAAACAAACAGACAGACAAATAAACTAAACTGTATTAGTGTGAGCAGTATGACTAATACATGTACTTGTATATTTAAATAGACCGCCTCCGTAGAGTGTCCGCCAGGAGAGCGGAATGTCCCCCAAGTACAGTAAACTATGTTTATGACGAACTGACGGATATAACAAACTGACTGATATAATGAACTTATGGTTTTTGTCCCAATCATTTGCTGTATAGATGTAGTATATATGCTTATGACGAACTACAGTTATAACGAACTAAACTTAGTGGTCCCTTTGAGTTCGCTATAACCATAGTTCGATATGAGTGTGTTCGTTATAACCGTAGTTAACTGTATTCAGCTTTGACGTGTACATTTCAGGTATTGTTGTGAGCAACGTGACCCTCAGACAGTTGGAGCCAGTGTGTGATATCTCTGTTAGCTGGACTCATGAACCACGTGCTGAGCAAGCAGCCCGTGTGGTCCAGCTGCTGCACCGTACGGCCGACCTACATGTGGTGCCGGACGAGAGGGAGCAGTCATTGTTCCCGGCCTGTACATTTGCTTTTATTTATTACTTGGTGTGGAGTGTGCTGAGGAAGGGAGGGGCTGCTGTGGCGGGAGACGAGGGTGTTTGTGCCCTTGCGTTACAGCTCATTACTGAGCATGCCCGGATGAGGAAGGTTGGAGAGGACTGCGACACGTGTGGGGAAGAGGTACGTTACAGACATGTTACAGACAGTGTCGGGGATGGGGAAGAGATACGTTACACCCATGATACAGACAGTGTGTCAGGGATGGGGAAGAGATACGTTACAGCCATGTTACAGACAGTGTGTCAGGGATGGGGAAGAGATACGTTACAGACAGTGTGTCGGGGATGGGGAAGAGATACGTTACAGTCATGTTACAGACAGTGTGTCGGGGATGGGGAAGAGATACATTACAGCCATGTTACAGACAGTGTGTCAGCGATGGGGAAGAGATACGTTACAGCCATGTTACAGACAGTGTGTCAGCGATGGGGAAGAGATACATTACAGACAGTGTGTCGGGGATGGGGAAGAGATATGTTACAGCCATGTTACAGACAGTGTGTCAGGGATGGGGAAGAGATACGTTACAGACAGTGTGTCGGGGATGGGGAAGAGATACATTACATCCATGTTACGGACAGTGTGTTAGGGATGGGGACGAGGTACGTTACAGCCATGATACAGACAGTGTGTCAGGGATAGCAGGGTTTTGTGACCCGTCTATTTTGTCATTATATTATAGCTATTTCAGCTGGAATAAATTTTGATGCAAGGCCCGACAAGTTTATTTATTAAAGATGAGCCTACAGTTTCTTTAAGGGGTAGCGTAGCAGTTTAAGCATTCTCTGATCATGCCGAAGATCCCAACATGGGTACATTGTGTGAAGCCCATTTCTACTGTGCACCACCATGATATTGCTGGAATATTGCTTATAGCGTCGTAATACCATACTCACTCACTATTTCCTTAAAGTTATTTGAAAGAAAACATAAGCTCATATCAGTCCTCATAACAGTTCTTTCTCCCTTTTTTTTGCCTACTGTCTTTTGGTATTCTGAGCAAGAATTTCTGTATTACTAAGAATTAAATTAGTCTGCTCAAAGAATGGATAGCAAGACATGATTACGAAGGATACTGTTGAAGATGTTGGTCCTTGTGACAGTGTTGTCGTCAGTGAGACATGTATGGCTTGATGTGACGTATGTCCTTCCATTGCACGTCCAGTACGACCCGAGTCAGCTCCCTCTGAGGCAGCTGCTGGAGCTGTGTCTGCAGGTTGTGGGCACGATGCCAGGGAGTTCACAGCAGCACGCCACGCAGGCCTTACGGGAGCTGGCCTGTTGCAGCAACGGCGACACGGGCTGTGCCACAGTCAGCAAGGAGGAGATCACAGTCCTGCTGGAGGGGCTACAGTCACCCTGCACTGCTGTCCGGGATGCCTCGTTACAGGTGAGTTAATCCTTGTTACAGGTAAGCTGTGCCTTGTCATGGGTAGGCATGGTGTTGTTACAGGTAAGCTGTACCTGTTTGTAGGTAAACTGCCTCTTTGCAGGTAAATGTGCCTATTACAGATAGGCTGTACCTCGTTACAGGTAGGCTTTACCTCGTTACAGGTAGGCTGTACCTCGTTACAGGTAGGCTGTACCTCGTTACAGGTAGGCTGTGCTATGTCATTGGCAGGCTTGTTATAGGGGCAAGAATGCATTATACCGGACACCTTCCACCATTTTGGTAAGGGATGTGCATGAGCTCATTCATGAGTTATGGTCTCCAAGTTTTTCAGACACCATTTTTGTCGCCTCGCTAAAATAATGGGGTTTGGGGGGCTTGCCCCAACGTAATGGCTTGAATTAAATGCTTTCAGAAGTAAATGTAATGTTTAATTACCAATGTAGATCCAGAATATTACATGTGGCTGCGACGGATGTCATTGATGAGGTTGTCACATGCCATTATGGAACTTCTATTTTCGAGTACTTTTTTTATGATGATGTCCAATTGCTAATGTTTATGCATTGCTTTGATATTCAGATTCAAAGGTTATATCATATTTACCATACAAGTGCAAGCAGGGTTATTTTATTTGATTATTTTGAGCTTTATCAATCATCCTAGTTTTCAAATAGTGATGCTGTCGCGTGTGGCTTTATTAGAAGCATCAAACAAACATGGAGGATAGGTGTCCGGTATAATGCATGTGTAGTGTTATAGGTTACTGCTTGGCTTCTGAAGATGGATTAATGTTTGCAAATGTTGTTCCAATTAATTGATTCCATTGATGACTGAGTTCAGTTTCTATCCAAGTAATCAATTATAATATTTCTGATTGCTGAGTTGACTGTCTGTATATGACATTTTCCCCTTCTCCCCGTTGTTCAGTGCTTACAAGCTCTGGAGACTGTCTGTATGTGACATTTTCCCCTTCTCCCCGTTGTTCAGTGCTTACAAGCTCTGGAGACTGTCCTGCCAAACATAGATGACAGCTTTGATCTTGGACTGAATATTGCCAAAAGAGTGTGGGTTGCGTCAAATGATGTTGAAGACCATGTGAAGAGATTAGCAGAAAAGTAAGTAAAACGGGCAGTGTTGATCAGGGGTTTGGGCCGAAATGCCACCTTAGTCAGTTGGAGTTGGTCAGAACAACAACACCCCATAAATGTGTATGACCCGTGAAGATCTAGGCTAGAATAGGTCTTCAGCAACCCATGCTTGCAGTAAAGGGTGACTACGCTTGTCCTAAGAGGCGACTTATGGAATCGGGTGGTCAGGTTTGCTGACTTGGTTGATGCATGTCATCGTATCTTAATTGCATGGAACGATGCTCATGATGTTAATCACTGGATTGTCTGGTCCAGACTCGATTATTTACACACCGCCGTCATATAGCTGGAATATTGCTAAGTGCGGCTTTAAACAAACAAACCAAAAAATCTTAATTTTATGCTTTTATCGAGTCGTGTTGATATATTTGATATCAAAAGACACTCAGGGGATATTCTCTATCTATTCCGAGGGGGAATGTGATGTTATTGTGTCAGGAACTGTACCCACAGGAACATATGTTACATCTGTTATGTGGCGATTCCCAAATTTAAACAATATCTTAACCCTAGAATCTGAACATAAAGAATTTTATGTGAAACCAACAAACAGCCAACAAATGGTATACAATCAACAGTTGTATTACAAAATTAACTAGGTTTACAAATCAATATAAATTACTGTACAGCAATTACAATGGCATTACACAATAGAGTGGTAGTACAATATTCAATGGCAGTATCAAATGTGAGAGCAGTGGAAATGACTATGACAATAATCACCTCGCAGCAACAGTGGTCAGAGATAGGCCAAAGCTGAACACCCAAGGTGTAAAAGTGATCTTCACACGAAAGCTGGTCTTGATGAAATGCGAGATGAGATGGGGACACGCCTGCTCCAATTATATAGTCTAACCAGCTTCCAGAACTTTCTACGCAGTACTTCACCAGTCCAGTGTCACTAGAACATCCCAGAATATTCCATGTTTCTATAATGCTTGACATCCATTCATGCTATACCGAAAGTATACAGATAATTCAAGCATCTAAATATAATAACTTCCTCACCACTGCTCCAGTAAATAGTACTACGTTCTTGACAACTAATCATTGTCCAAATACAATGCAATGAACTTCTTCTGAATCTCAACAGAAACTATGTAACATTGTTTGATTAAAAATTACACTACCATATAACACGTCTGATATTGACTTGTAGACTGAAGGAAGATCTAGATCTGGAGGAGCCATACGAGGAGTTGAGCAGTGCGTTAGTGGAGGATGTTATCCATGACGAGGCAGTGATCCGCCGTGCCGCTGCCGAGACACTGGCCCAAGTGCTGGAGGTTCACCGGGAATTTGTCCCTCCCACAGTGCAACTCTTGCTGCAGAAATACGAGGACAAGTTATTTGTAAGTACATCAGTCATACCCCCATCAACTTGGATTCCACTCGTTGAAAAATGCTTGGTCAAAACAGGATTAAAATCAGGTATCATATTCCTCTGAATTAACAAAGCCTTTCACTCACAAAACTTGCATATGAATACATCGAATACATCGATTATGTCAATAGCCTACTTGTAACAATGGTTACGGATGACCCATGTGAACTGTATACGTTTAATATCTTAACAAATTTGAGACAGTTTTGATGTTGAGATGACAAAACTTAATGAAATGCACACAAATGATTATGAAAGTTTTAAGACATGTTCGGTAATTTTCTCATTGAAACAAACGATGATAAGAATTAAAACCACATGAGAAAAGTGAAAAAAATCTAAAGTCATCGGTTCCTAATAAGAATAAGAGGTATCTAATTTACAGTTAAACTACATCAAATTTCTGAACACAGAAGGTTTATACCCTAATTACTTACTTCAAACCCCTGGGGCGGTCGGGTAGCCTAGTGGTTAAAGCGTTCGCTCGTCGCGCCGAAGACCCGGTTTCGATTCCCGACATGGGTACAATGTGTGAAGCCCATTTCTGGTGTGCCCCGCCGTGATATTGCTGGAATATTGCTAAAAGCGGCATAAAACCATACTCACTCACTCACTACTTCAAGCCCCAGGTACTTCCTTTGTCAGGTTTCGTTTGGAACTGTGTCACCTGTTGTCACTGACTGACTAATCACTGACCTGACATATTGTATTTATGTGCACATTCCATGAAAACTTGCAATGATTAGGCAACAAAGATTAAAATTGGCAACAGAATCTTGGAAGGACATTATGTTAAAGAGGTTAGCACACTTGTGCGTTTTAGAATGGTAAATGGTCTGTGTTAGGAAGAAACACTATGTACAAGGCTGACTAAATACAATGTTTATTCCTACGATAAGATATTTACCATCTCAAGATACACTTCTGTGGTAACCTCTATTCATATCGCAGATATTGCATTGTCAGCAAAATACTCTATGTGTGGATATTATAATATTTCTTTCCCAATTTTCCTGCCGCGATGCATTTAATTTGAGGGAATTCCTGTCATCCCATTATTCACTTCTACCCCTCAGATGCCGCCTCCGCAGCTGGACCAGTTCGGGCGGTTAGTCGAGGAACAAGCCCCAGACTTGTGGCACGCCAGGTCGGGTATCGCTCTCGCCCTCCACAAGATGGCAGCACTAGTCCCGCAGGACAGCATCTCCGATCTGTTCGACTTCTACGTTCCTAACGCTCTCGGGGACAGGAACCCTGACGTCCGCTCCCAGATGCGAGATGCAGCACTGTCCTGTGTCAACACCCACGGCAAGGTAGGCCCCTACAGAGGGGTTGATAGTGTAGTGTAGTAACCATTCTGTTTGTTCATGTGGGACACTCCCTGTGGTATGTTCACTGGAAGACTGTCCTGTGTCAACACCCACGGCAAGGTAGGCCCCTACAGAGGGGTTGATAGTGTAGTGTAGTAACCATTCTGTTTGTTCATGTGGGACACTCCCTGTGGTATGTTCACTGGAAGACTGTCCTGTGTCAACACCCACGGCAAGGTAGGCCCCTACAGAGGGGTTGATAGTGTAGTGTAGTGACCATTCTGTTTGTTCATGTGGGACACTCCCCGTGGTATGTTCACTGAACACTGTCCTGTGTCAACACCCACGGCAAGGTAGGCCCCTACAGAGGGGTTGATAGTGTAGTGTAGTAACCATTCTGTTTGTTCATGTGGGACACTCCCCGTGGTATGTTCACTGAAAGACTGTCCTGTGTCAACACCCACGGCAAGGTAGGCCCCCTACAGAGTGGTTGATAGTGTAGTGTAGTAACCATTCTGTTTGTTCATGTGGGACACTCCCCCGTGGTATGTTCACTGAAAGACTGTCCTGTGTCAACACCCACGGCAAGGTAGGTCCCCTACAGAGGGGTTGATAGTGTAGTGTAGTAACCATTCTGTTTGTTCATGTGGGACACTCCCCCGTGGTATGTTCACTGAAAGACTGTCCTGTGTCAACACCCACGGCAAGGTAGGGCCCCCTATAGAGGGGTTGATAGTGTAGTGTAGTAACTATTCTGTTTGTTCATGTGGGACACTCCCCGTGGTATGTTCACTGAAAGACTCCTGTGTCAACACCCACGGCAAGGTAGGGCCCCCTATAGAGGGGTTGATAGTGTAGTGTAGTGACCATTCTGTTTGTTCATGTGGGACACTCCCCGTGGTATGTTCACTGAAAGACTGTCCTGTGTCAACACCCACGGCAAGGTAGGGCCCCCTATAGAGGGGTTGATAGTGTAGTGTAGTAACCATTCTGTTTGTTCATGTGGGACACTCCCCGTTGTATGTTCACTGGAAGACTGTGAATGGCATTACACTCAACTCACTCTTTCAAATAGTTGTTTGACTCCACTGGGAAATGTCATTGTTAAATTGTTGATGGTTAAATGTAGAAGTGCTGATACCGGTTTTATTGTTTGAATTGTTGGATAGGGGTTCCTTAGAAGTTGACGGATGACAAAGTAAACACAATTTAGCATTTCAACTTCTTTATTTTACTGTAATACCGACATTTGACTTTAAGCGGTTGTTGTTCAAGATCTATGATGTCTCTGTATGCAGGTTTTTCTATAATGTCATGCAAGTTCTGATGTGTAGCATCATGTTACGTTGTGAAGAAAGTAATCCTTTGACCCGCTTGTTTGCAGGAGAACGTGAATGTGTTGTTGCCAGTGTTTGAGAACTTCATGGCGAATGCGCCCGACACCGCCCAGAACGACACAGTCCGACAGAGCATCGTCATCCTCATGGGAACGCTGGCCAAGCATCTGGACTCGGACAACCCCAAAGTCAAACCAATAGCTGCCCAGCTGATCAGCGCCCTCTCTACCCCGTCACAGGAGGTGAGTGTCGTCACTGCACCAAGGAGGCGGTCGTGTGAATGCAAACCTGGCAGCCTTGTGGACAGCTTGGGTTGTATACTCCCCAGGGAGCTGAGAATGCAATTGGAATACATGTTGATCCATTGACTGGAGTAATAATGTCATGGACGTCTTTAGGGGTAATGTTGGGACCTAAATGCGAGGGATATGCTATGTATTAATCATTAACAGTTTAAAGTAGCCTGACTGGATGTGTGTTCTGGAGCCATGCACTACCCCGACTGTGTACTGCTGTAAGATTACTAAAAGAGAAACCCGTGGGAAGTCTGAGCTAGAATTATGCTGGTCGTAAGAGGCGACTTAATGGATTGAGTGGTCAAGCTCGATGACATGGTTGGGGGCGTATCATGGTACCCCGATGGAGTGCTCACTGCTCACAATATCAATCACTGGATTGTCTGGTCCAGTTTCAATTATTACAGGCTGCACAAGAGATTTCTAACGACTTGCTCTCATGCTACCCCCTCTCTAACAGGTGCAGGAGGCTGTGGCCAACTGTCTGCCCCCCCTGGTGCCATCCATCAAGCAGGGTGCCCCCGACCTGGTGCAGCGGCTGTTGCATCTGCTGCTGGAGTCGGACAACTACGGCGAGCGCCGCGGGGCTGCCTACGGCCTGGCCGGTCTCATCAAGGGGATGGGACTGCTGGCCCTGAAGCAACAACAGATCATGGACACGCTGACGGCAGCCATTCAGGACAAGAAGAACCCACGCAAGAGGGAAGGTAGGCGGATGCAGGGTAGGGGTGTCACGATAAATCGAAATATCGATATATTGCTATTGGTAAGCACTTAAAGGCAATAAATCGATTGTTAAATCAGTTTCCGATCAATAGCATCAATTTCAGTTAGGAATATCGATAGTTTCGATTTTATTCACCATATCATGTGATTGAGTCATCGAAACACCCTTGCGAACGCAGCCAAGTGAAGATTAGAGTTAACTGCCCTTGATCCTTAGCAACCGGTCTTTCTTAAGTAAAATGGCGGAGGGTGACAGTCAAGTGGAGTTTGTGACAAACTTGGATGGAAAATCGAGGGTTCTTTTCTTTAATTATTAGGGTAAAGAAAAAATTAATCAGTCATATCTCAAACTTTACTTTTTATTTGTTGTTATGGTTATCACATTCAAGGAAACTTCAGTTCCTAGGTTTAATTCAACTCTAAAATCCATCTAAAATGATACACTGAAAACTATCGCTATTTATCGCAATAGTTGCTTGCAATATTAATAGTTATCGCAATAGTGATTTCCAGACCAGTAGTCACCCCTAGTGCAGGGCTAGGTGCTTGGGGACGGGGGTAGCGTTAGAGATAAGCTTTCCCGGGTCAGACAAATCTGTTGTATCATATGATTGGTTTAAGTGCCAACTAGAGTGGGTGTTGATGGTCACATGTAATTGAGCTGTTTGTGTGTTTGCTATCTACCTCTGTTTGCCTGTATAGGAGGATGGCTGTATGATTTGCCGGTGTTGAGAGTCAGCATTACTCATGAGCATAATTTTAAGAGTTATCCAAGACTTTGATTAAGGAGATTGCAGTGTTATTGATTATTCAACTTGTTGCAGTCCCTTGAAGTGAGTGAGTTGGGTTTAAAGCCGCTTTTAACAGTATTCCAGTTATATCGCGGCGTGTCAGCTTAATGTCGGAGGAAAGCCTGAAGTGATGCAGGTCTCAGACATTTACCACTTCGGTGAAACCCATGAGCACGGGTATGGTGCTGACAAACCTAGAAACATAATCAGGGCAAACCGTGATTCGATCCCACAATCATAGGTTTCTGGCGTGCCCAAGGAACGCAACTCTGCACAGTGAATCCGGCAGATTCCTGTGCCCCCGCAGTCCCTTGGGTGTTTAATGGGCACCAGTACTGGCTGCTACAAACATGTTACAGGACACAATACAATATCATAAGAAGTATTTTGGATGCAAATCGCATCAAACATGCTGGATTCCTGTATCATGTGATACATCCGGTACCTGACGCTGGTTGCAGGTGCCCTCTTTGCCTTCGAGATGCTGTGTAATATGCTGGGGCGGCTGTTTGAGCCCTACATCGTGAACATCATCCAGCACCTGCTGCTGTGTTTCGGAGACAGCAACCAGTATGTGCGGGAGGTGAGTCATATAACTGCTGAGACTACTGTGTTACTCAGAGGCTAATGTCTGAGTAAGAAAATTTAACAGGATGGATTTTTATAAAGAAGTGCATTATTTCAACATGCATATACTTTTAAAAATGTAATGTAACAATTTAGATGCACATAAAATGCCTTTAGGTATTATTTTGAAAAATATTAAGAGTGAGTGAGTGAGTATGGTTTTATGCTGATTTTAGCAATATTCCAGCAATATCACAGCGGGGGACACCGGAAATGGGCTTCACACATTGTACCCATGTTGGGAATCGAACCCAGACCTCCGGCGTGACGAGCGAACAACGTTTAACCACTAGACTACCCGACCTCCCCAAAACATATTAAGAAACTTCTAGAGATGATGTTTGTGTTCAGGCAGCGGATGACTGTGCGAAGGCGGTGATGCGGAACCTGAGTGCCCACGGTGTGAAGCTGGTGCTGCCGGCGCTGCTCAATGGCCTGGAGGAGGACCAATGGCGGACGAAGACAGGTGAGACACAACTTCCTCCAGGGATGTCAGACTTCAGGGTCTGACGACCCGCTCTGTGGTCTTGTGGATAGAGCGTCTGCATGGAGAGCAGAAGATGGTGGTTTGACCTCTGGACGTGTCATACCGAAAGACATTATATGACTGTACTTGTTACCTGCCGCTCAACATTAAGGGGACAGAAGAAGGATGATTGGCTCGGAGTCCGTGTACTGCGTCTGAGTTGGGTATCCATGTTAAAGTGTGCCATGGTGACAGTGGACTAGCATTAAAAAATCGGCATGAGTCCTGGACTCAAGCATGCAAGTGCAATAATCTTGATTTTGACGTAAAACCAGGTTCTGACTGTTCGGCATCTTCTAGTTGATGTAAGCAGAGACTAGGAGGCCACAGTGAAACAGTGGAAGAGTACTGCTAAAAAAATTATGATCATATTCACCGAAGAATACCCATTTGTCTCCCTGTCCTCAACAATATTTTCAATTTTTGGCAATCAGTGAAGTACAGTAAACCGTTGTAAGCATATATACAGGATATACACAGCAAATGCCTGTTAAAACTGTTATATACAGAGTTTACTGAACTTGTCTGATTGGCCTGTGTCTGTCTGTCTGCCTGTACAGGGTCGGTGGAGCTGCTAGGTGCCATGGCCCACTGTGCCCCCAAGCAGCTGTCGGCGTGCCTGCCCAACATCGTGCCCAAGCTGACGGAGGTGCTCACAGACTCACACATCAAGGTGCAGAGGGCGGGCTCACAAGCTCTCATGCAGATCGGGTCCGTCATCAGGAACCCTGAGATTCAAGGTGAGTACCTGTGACTGGTGTCACAGATTTTCATGATTTTTAGAAACCTCAAGCGATGAAATTTGGACTAGTTTTCATTTTGGTACAACTACATAGATCACTTTTAAAAGGGGAACCCGTGAAGATCCAGGGTAGAATAGGTCTTCAGCAACCCACGCTTGCCGTAAAAGGCGACTAACAGGATCGGGTGGTCAGGCTCGCTGACTTGGTTGATGCTTGTCATCGTATCCCAATTGCGAAGATCACTGCTCATGATGTTAATCAAGGATTGTCTGGTCCAGGCTCGATTATTTTCAGATCGACGTCATATAGCTGGAATATTGCAGCATTAAACAAGAAAGAAACAAACAAACAAATAAAGGGACCATTTGGAAATATTCAAAATTTCGGATTCATGTTAGATAACTCAGAGGAGGTTCTGTGGAAGGACGGGTCCCATGTACCTGGTGCTTTTGATGTAAGTTTTTATAGAGGGCCAACATGGAGGTCTAACGCGGCGTAGGACCAAGATGTGACCCAGTGGGTAAAGCATGGCTCACCATGCTGAAGGCCAGGGTTTGATTCCTGTGAGGTACAGTGTGTGAAGCCCTGTGTTGGTGTCCACACCATTATTTACAGGGGTGGTCAGGTAGCCTAGTGGTTATAGAGTTCACTTGTCACGCCGAAAGCCCGGGGTTCGATTCCCAACATGAAGCCAATTTCTGGTGTCCCCAGCCGTGATATTGCTTGAATACTGCTAAAAGCAGCATAAAACCATACTGACTCCATTATGTACAGACCACCGTCATGATTAACATGGCATTAAACAACAAACCGACAGCATGAATCTTTACTCATAATATCAATCACTGGATTGTCAGGTCCAGACTTGATCATTTAAAGGGTGCAGTCATATGATTGCATGTCATCGTACACAAGGTGAATCGTTGCTCATTGTTAATCACTGGTTTGTCTGATCCAGACTGGATTGGTACAGGCTGCAGGCATGTAGCAACATCACACAAGTAACACACTCACTCACTCATGCTTCTTTATCCATCCTGTGATGACCTGCTGTCACTAAGTTTGCCATTTATCGTCCGGGGCGGTCGGGTAGTCTAGTGGTTAAAGCGTTCGCTCGTCACGCCGAAGACCCGGGTTCGATTCCCGACATGGGTACAATGTGTGAAGCCCATTTCTGGTGTCCCCCGCCGTGATATTGCTGGAATATTGCTAAAAGTGGCGTAAAACCTTACTCACTCACTCACTCACTGTTATCCTTCAGCTATTGTGCCCGAACTGATTGACGCCCTTCAGGACCCGACCAAGAAGACCACGCCCAGTCTTCACATCCTGCTCAACACCAAGTTTGTCCACTTCGTTGACGCTCCGTCGCTGGCCCTCATCATGCCGGTCATCCAGCGAGCGTTCCAGGACCGGACGACGGACACCAGGAAGATGGCTGCACAGATCATGGGCAACATGTATTCTCTCACGGACCAGAAGGTCAGTGTGGCAGTAGTCGGGCCATCTGTGTTGTGCCTCACTCTCTCAATAGCTGCAAAATTAAAGGGCTAATTATGTGTCAGTTACTGTATCACATTTAGTTCATTTAGATAGTCAGTTAATAATTGATTAATAATAAAATTATTCTGTATGTATATTGATGAAACATTAACTATATGCACCTGCAATTAATAAATTGATGCTAAATATGAACTAGGCTGGTCCATTAAATGTTTGAAATTGAATGTTTTTCCTTTTCACTGTCCATTGTCCATGTTAAGGCTAAAAAAATAAAATAATTGGTTCACAGGCAATGGCGTTTGAAAATATAGTGTGGGTGGGCGGTGTTTTTTTGTTGTTGTTTTTGTTGTTCATACTACTATGTAACCAAATAAACAGATGTGTAACCAAATAAACAGTTGTGGGAAAGGGCCAGGCTACATAAATTTATTCCTTGGTAAATAAAATACTGCAATACTGTATTTGACTTCCATTGAATTTGAAATATTTAAGGATTTTTTTATTTTTTTAATGGAAAAATAAATGAAACGTGCGGCAAACTTTATGATGATGTGGGCAGAACAGAATAGATATTACCAATTTATCTATACACAATGACATTCCGAATGTAGGCCATTGATTCACTGACTGATTGCTCCCCCCTGTACACCATTGACTGACTCCCCCTTCTCTGTGGCGGCAGGACCTCTCACCGTACCTGCAGTCGGTGATTCCTGGACTCAAGCAGTGTCTGCTGGACCCCGTGCCGGAGGTGCGGAGCGTGTCGGCCCGCGCCCTGGGAGCCATGGTGAAGGGGATGGGGGAGACCATCTTCGAGGAGCTTCTGCCCTGGCTCATGGAGAACCTCGTGTCAGAACAGAGCTCCGTCGACAGATCTGGTGCTGCACAAGGTGAGGGACACATGGTGGTCAGGGCCCAGTCCACAAACTGCTCTTAGCACTATGATTGTCTATGGTTAAGTATGGGAGTTATAAATGTCTTATCACTATGACTGTCGTATATAATCTATACTTAAAAATGACTGTGATTGTCACGAGTGCGATTGTCGTGAATTAATGTTAACGTATCAGTGTTTTGCTTGTCTTAGAGCGGAAGGTCTGTGGTTTTATCCCCTGGCTGTGTCATACCAAAAGATTGTACTTGTTGTTACCCTTCCTGGCACTCAGCATTAAGGAGATAAACAAGGAGTGGTCAGCTAGAGTATACTATGTCTGAGTGAGGTACCCATATTAAACTGAGACATGGTATCTCAGTGGGCGCATGTCACGTTAACCGCCATTTCACCTTGACCCAAGAAGAGGTCTTCAGCAACCCCTGCTTGCTGTAAGAGGCGACTATGCTTGTCGTAAGAGGTGACTTACTTGGTCAGGCTCACTGACTTGGTTGAAGCATGTTATCGATCCCAATTGTGTGTATCATGCGGGGTTAAACAACAAGCAAACAATCTTCTAACAAGGTTCTACCAGAAGCTGAGACTATATGTCAGTAACCTTTCTCCCCCAGGTCTGAGCGAGGCCATCGGCGGCATGGGACTGGACAAGCTGAAGAAGCTGATGCCCGGCATCATAGAGACTGCGGAGAGAGACGACATCGCGCCCTTCGTCAGAGACGGATACATCATGACCTACATCTATCTGCCCACAACATTTGGCAGAGATTTTGCGATATTCGTAGGCCCTATTCTACCATCCATCTTGAAGGTAGGTGGAAATTAAGCTGTTCCAGGGTAGCTTCTGATTAACAAATATGTGTGATTCTGTGGTCACTCCAAACAGAACTAACGGGGTCCGTACTGAGAATGTTTCCATGTGTAGTACGTCCATTGATCAGGCAAAATGTATAGCAACACTCTATGCTCCCTCAATGAGACCTTTTGTTTTGTATCAATCTCTGTGATGAAAGAGAATAGAAAGAGTCTGGCTATGCTGGAAGAATGAGCATTATGTGCAATGATTTAGCTTGAACGTTTTTACATCTGGAGTTCATTGCAGCCCCTCCAGATGTTTTGTTGCTGTGATACGCTTTTAACGTGTGTCTGGTGACACAGGTCCCCAAGGTTTATCAGTTCAGTAATAGTGATTCCCTTGTATTGCAGGCTCTTGCAGATGAAAGTGAGTATGTACGTGACACAGCTTTGCGGGCTGGCCAGAGAATCATCACGCTGTTCGCTGACACCGCCATCTCACTGCTGCTGCCAGAGATCGAGAACGGACTGTTTGCTGACAACTGGAGGATCAGATTCAGCTCAGTACAGCTCCTTGGGGACCTGCTCTACAAAATATCAGGTGAATACTGACAGCTCATTCAGACATGGACGCCCTGTAGTCTTGTGGCAGAGTATCCGCCCGGAGAGCGGAAGGTCTGAGGTTCCATCCCCGGCCGCGTCATAGTAAAGGATGGTACTTGTTGTTACCCTGCCTGGCACTTGGCATTAAGGGTCTTAAACAAGGACTGGTCGGCTCAGAGTCAGTATACTGTGTCTGAGTGGGGTATTCATGTTAAACTGCGGCATGGTATCTCAGTAGGCATTAAAATCGGCATTAGTCTGGTCTAATACAAGCAGCCACACACACAAGTGGATTCACACAGCCATATAAGTGCACTAATCTTGGACGCGAAGTTAAAACCCATTTCACCTCACCTCACCTCACCTCACCTCACCTCACCTCACCTCGGGGGCACGGGTGGCCCAGTCGTGTAAGGCGCTGCGATTTGCCGTGCAGAGTTGCATCCCTTGGGCATGCCAGAAACCTATGATTCTGGGTTCGAATCCCTGTTCGCCCTGACTCTGTTTCTAGATTTGTCAGCACCATACCCGTGCTCATGGGTTTCACCGAAGTGGTAAACATCTGAGACCTGCATCACTTCGGGCTTTCCTCCCACACATTAAGCTGACACGCCGTGATATAACTGGAATACTGTTAAAAGCGGCATTAAACCCAACTCACTCACTCACTCACTCGCTCACTCACTCACTCACTCACTCACATCTTGCGACCTCATTCAGACATAACAATGGAGGTTAGAATAAGAATAAGACGTGTATTTCCTGTCGCCTGACATGTACTGACGGTGTATTAATTCTGCAGGTGTCTCCGGCAAGATGTCCACGGAGAGCGCAGGGGAGGATGACAACTTCGGTACAGAGACATCACAGCAGGTAGGCAGGCCCCTGATAGTTACCATGGTTACGATGTACTTGCCATCTACTGAATGGAACAAATGCCTCCAAAGCTTTACTGATAAGATAGATGCCCTGGTTATGTTAAAACAATGGGGAAATTGGAAACTTTGCACTAGCCCATAGGAACTTGTATTGGCCTCGGGCTAGCTTTGTGTTACTCACTCACAGTTTCAAAAAAGTATTGCTTGGGGAAATTATGGACAAATTACTTGAAAGGAAAAATAATGGATTGAATGACAAATGAGGTGGTTGCTTCCGTATTGATCTTCTTTTTAATTTTTTTTAATATCAGTGAAATTATTTAGATGAGCTTGATGGGGGTAATTGGGGGTTGCATCCCTTAGTCATGCCAGAATCCTATGACTGTTGGAATCCCAGATTCACCCTGAGTATGATTCTTGGTTTGTCAGCGCCATGCCCATGTGCATGTGTTCCACCATAGTTGTAAACACCTGAGCCCCGCGTCACTTCAGACTTGACGCACACCGGGATATAACTAATACTGTTCAAGGTGGCTGTAACCCAACTAACTCATTCAAAAACTGGCTAAAGGCTGAAAATGATGCAGTAATGCATAAGAAGCATTACTTCTATTGTTTACATGGTTTTGTTTGTTTGTTTGTTGTTTAACACCTAGGGCTGGGACGATTCACCGATACATCGATGTATCACGATACATTACAGTTCGATACGACTATCGATTCGTGGGTCTATGTATCGATACAAAACGATACACAGCTGATATACTACGAGTAACAAAACGTATTTGCCGCTGTTTACATCGTCCGTTTTGTTCCAACGCAGTCAGTAAAGAAAATCAAGCGATGATACAAGGACAAATATGATAGGTTGATTTTCGAAGTAGGACCAATCAAATGACTCGTATTAGTTTCAGCCTTCAAACATGGCGACTGGCTTTCCGGCCAAGAAGCATCGAGTCCCCAGACACCATTTACCGGCCAAGTCGTAGTCACGTCAAAATAGTATATCTTTTTATGGACCTACCTGTAATATCATTCATTTATTAAATCTATCACATTTCATAATGTCTGAAATACATATTCCAATTCAATTTATCATTTTTTATCGATAAATTAAAAAAATATTCACTAATATTCCCGCGATGTTATTGAAATACGGGTCCACATCGAACATGTCAAAGAGCAAAATAAAGACGTTTTAAACAAATCTTTAAATATATTATACAAAGTAATAAATGATATCAACAAAAATATATTACATCTAAGTTATTATTTCCATCTTTTCGTGCTATCGCGTGTAATGTAAGTCAAATGACATCTCGGCTTTCGTCGCCTTGAATTCTCGGCTCGGACACAATGTCTGATGCAAAAATATATGCATGAAAAATCTTTGTCACAGCTCGTAACCTAGCACGATACGTTCACGAAGTTCCATATTTTTAATATATATCGTGATTTACTGCTTAAAACGTTCAGAATAGCACGATTTAACAAAACATCTTTCGCCAACTTTTGAAATCAAACACGAGCTTGGTATCACAGCTGTAATTTGATTGGCTGCCTTAGGTCACGTGCTCAAAATTGTCAAATCACGAAACTTGTAGCAGATTTCGGCAAGAAAGCGTCATTAGAAACCAATTTTAATCCAACGAAATCGCTTGTTATAACTCGGAAAAAAACAGTCGATGTTACGAGAATGTAGATGAAGGAATAAGCTTTCCAGCGATGTGTCATATGCCATTCTTCGAAGAACGTTTTATTCATACGAAGCCTCGAAAACGGGGGTATTTCTTCATGTTACTGAGCGGACAGCCGCTGTTATCGGGAAATGGGTGATGACAGAAACTATTCATAATTCTTTTTTTTAAATGATTTTCCAATTACGTAAACAATGAAAATAAAACAGAAATAGGTAAGTGGATTTTATGAATTCTTATATTTGCCGAAAATCGTCAAGTTTTCCCTTCCTTGGTCCTTAATCTGGATGTTAACAACGTGTTAGCTTCCTTTTTTCTATTTACAACCAACTTAATTAAGTTGTAAATGCATTATTTTAAATAATGTGAAAAACATAACTTTCATATTTATAAACCATAGGATCAGACCTTTCAAATGGTGTATAACATGTAGTGGCAAATATATTTTACAAGCAGATATTTTCTTGATAAATGTTGGCTTCATCTATCACACAAGAGTCTCTGGGAACTTGGTGTCCCAGCAGTAAACACTTCTGGTTGACTGGTGTTGAAAGAGTTAATGTTCAGACATCAGTTAAACATGTCTGACTTTGTTATTTACTAATTAGTGTGATGTTGATTATTCAAGTTCAGAGTTTCAGACAATTTGCCTTTCAGTGATCATTGTGAGAAAATCACAAACCAGTGGTTGTTTTTACCAAATAGTTCTGCTGTTCAGATGACATTTAGAGTGCATTTTTATTGCAGAAAATCCAGGTATTTAGTCAGGCTCCTTAACTCAGGTGTTTTGAGTCTTGCTATTGAGTGACATGTGCTGTGTTTGACACATGTTCTGAAGAAAATATTTAGTTATTTGATGAGAACTATTTTACATTAAACTTTCATCATCTTCCACCAGCTTGTGACATTATTTTTTGTATCGTATCGTACGTATCGTATCGTGACCCCACTATCGTGATAAGTATCGTATCGTGACCTTGTGTATCGTCCCAGCCCTATTAACACCACACTCTGCAGTTTCCCAGCTATGTGACGGCAGTCTGTTAATAATCGAGTCTGGACCAGACAGTCCAGTGATTGACATCATAGGCATCAATCCACGCAGTTGGGATATGATGACATACATCAACCAAGTCGGCGAGCCTGACCACCCAATCCCATTAGTCACGTCTTTCAGCAAGCATGGGTGGCTGAAGACCTATTCTAACCTAGATCTTTACGTGTGGTTTACTTACCAGTGGCATATCAAGGTTGCATTCTATCATTGTTTTCCCCAGGCTATCACCAAAGCCCTCGGTGTGGAGAGACGGAACAGAGTGTTGGCAGGGCTGTACATGGGCCGGTCGGACACGGCACTCCTGGTGCGGCAGTCAGCACTCCATGTCTGGAAGGTGATCGTCAGCAACACTCCGAGGACACTCCGGGAGATTCTGCCGACCCTCTTCTCTCTCCTGCTGGGTTGTCTAGCAAGTACCAGCCACGACAAGAGAACGGTGAGTTAGATCCTATACTTGTAAGCCTGATCCTACACTTGTGAGCCTCCAGTTTTGTAGGGGCCATGTTCAGGTGCCTGGTTGTGTGATGCAGCAGCCATGTTCCGGTGTCTGGTTGTGTGATGCAGCGGCCATGTTCCGGTGTCTGGTTGTGTGATGCAGCGGCCATGTTCCGGTGTCTGGTTGTGTGATGCAGCAGCCATGTTCAGGTGTCTGGTTGGGTGATGCAGTAGCCATGTTCAGGTGTCTGGTTGTGTGATGCAGCAGCCATGTTCAGGTGCCTGGTTGTGTGATGCAGCAGCCATGTTCAGGTGTCTGGTTGTGTGATGCAGCAGCCATGTTCAGGTGTCTGGTTGTGTGATGCAGCAGCCATGTTCAGGTGTCTGGTTGTGTGTTGCAGGTGGCGGCCCGCACTCTGGGCGACCTGGTGAGGAAGCTGGGTGAGCGTGTCCTGCCAGAGATCATCCCCATCCTGGAGCGGGGTCTGGACTCCGAGGAGGAAGACCAGCGGCAGGGAGTCTGTATCGGCCTCAGCGAGATCATGGCCTCCACAAGCAGAGACCACGTGAGTACTTAGTCTGCATTGTCCTCAGCGAGATCAAAGATTTCGGGAGCAAAACTCCAAAACCGTTGAATATTTGAAAAATATGGAAAATACTGAACAGTGTTATTTTCCTCACTGAACTGAAGGTATCCATTGGCTATGAACCAAGCTGGGGGTATACCGTATTTTCTTGAGTATAGTGCGCACCCATGTATAATGCGCACCCCCTTCTAGCGGATTAAGTATTTTGAAAAAAAAAAAATTTGAATGTAAAGCGCAGAAAAAAAATACACTGTAGATCTACGCCTTCAGCGAATTCCGGTAAACGAACGGGTGATGAGAAACTTGGTCAGTACAAATTCGAAATTTGAGATAAAAAATCACTAGACATGTTTATTTACCGTTTAAAAATGAGATTACCTTGTGTCTTTTCTCGTAAACTAAGCCGGAAACAGCAATCAGCTGTGTTTCGTGCTCACGGTAATATCTTTCCATAGGGGAAAAAAACATCAAAACTCATTATTTCGTGTATAATGCGCACCCCCTTCTACACAGCTGTGTTTTTTGGAAAAAAAGTGCACACTATGCTCAAGAAAATACGGTAAGTAGCCAAACTCCATTTCCTTTCTGCACCAGACTGGCCGGATGTGTCATCTCCTGATGACTCTTGTTGCAGGTGTTGGTGTTTGCAGACAGCCTTGTCCCCACGGTGCGCCGCGCACTGTGCGACTCACTCCCTGACGTCAGAGAGGCTGCCGCCAAAACCTTCGACAACCTCCACACCAACATCGGAACACGAGCCCTGGACGAGATTCTCCCTGCTCTACTTAAACAACTGGTGAGATATACTGGAAAGATTTTTTTTCCTAGGGAGCACGCAAATGGCTCCTTCTGGGGTGCACAGAAAATTCAGTGCAGAGTTGCACCTCTTAGTAGTGCCAGTAACCTTTGAACGTGGTTTCGAATCCTGGTTTGCCCACTATGTTTCTTGATTTCAAAGCTGAGGTCAAGGAGTTTACCGAAATATTTGATCAATGTCTAAGACCTGCATCAAGAAAATGCCTTGATATGACTGAAATACTGTACAAAGTGGCGAAGGCGAAACTCATTTTCTAAATTAGGTAAAATGTAATTGCAGTGTACTTGACTTGAAAATCAAACAATGACAGAGGTAATGACAGGCTCTGGGTTGGCCCAGTAGTTTATGGCGACACAATTGGCTTTGTTGCTTCAGAAAATGTGATCGTGATTTCGGCCTTAGGTCGCCCTCATTATGAGTCCTCCTATATTGGTCAGCACTATCTCTGCTGGTGGGTTTGGTGCTAAGTGCTGAATGTCTAAGACCTGCATCACTTTGGGCTTTCCTCCAACATTAAGCTGACACGCCGTGATATAACTTGAATATTGTTAAAAGCGGCGTTAAACCCAACTCCCTCACTCACTCACTCACTCACTCACTCACTCACTCACTCACTCACTCACTCACTCACTCACTCCTCCAACATCAAACTGATATGCTGTGATATAACTGAAATAAAATCGGTGTTCAACCCAGCTAATTCCCATTGTTATCCACCATTGCAGGACAACCCCTCTCAGGAGGAGGCAGCGCTGGACGGTCTGAAGCAGGTCATGACAGTCAAGAGCAGAGTTGTCCTTCCTTACCTCATACCCCAGGTCAGTAAACGTTTACTGTCAAGAGTTGTCCCCCCTTACCTCATACAGCAGGCCAGTAAAGGGTGACAGTCAATAATGTCCCCCCTTACCTCATACAGCAGGTCAGTAAATGGTGACAGTCAATAATGTCCCCCCTTACCTCATACAGCAGGCCAGTAAATGGTGACAGTCAAGAGTTGTCCCCCCTTACCTCATACAGCAGGCCAGTAAAGGGTGACAGTCAATAATGTCCCCCCTTACCTCATACAGCAGGTCAGTAAATGGTGACAGTCAATAATGTCCCCCCTTACCTCATACAGCAGGCCAGTAAATGGTGACAGTCAAGAGTTGTCCCCCCTTACCTCATACAGCAGGCCAGTAAAGGGTGACAGTCAATAATGTCCCCCCTTACCTCATACAGCAGGTCAGTAAATGGTGACAGTCAATAATGTCCCCCCTTACCTCATACAGCAGGTCAGTAAATGGTGACAGTCAAGAGTTTCCCCTTACCTCATACAGCAGGTCAGTAAATGGTGACAGTCAAGAGTTGTCCCCCCTTACCTCATACAGCAGGCCAGTAAATGGTGACAGTCAAGAGTTGTCCCCTCTTACCTCATACAGCAGGTCAGTAAATGGTGACAGTCAATAATGTCCCCCCTTACCTCATACAGCAGGTCAGTAAATGGTGACAGTCAAGAGTTTCCCCTTACCTCATACAGCAGGCCAGTAAATGGTGACAGTCAAGAGTTGTCCCCCCTTACCTCATACATGCAGGCCAGTAAACGGTGTCAGTCAAGAGTTGTCCCCTCTTACCTCATACAGCAGGCCAGTAAACGGTGACAGTCAAGAGTTGTCCCCCCTTACCTCATACAGCAGGCCAGTAAATGGTGACAGTCAAGAGTTGTCCCCCCTTACCTCATACAGCAGGCCAGTAAATGGTGACAGTCAAGAGTTGTCCCCTCTTACCTCATACAGCAGGCCAGTAAACGGTGACAGTCAAGAGTTGTCCCCCCTTACCTCATTCAGCAGGCCAGTAAACGGTGACAGTCAAGAGTTGTCCCCCCTTACCTCATACAGCAGGCCAGTAAATGGTGACAGTCAAGAGTTGTCCCTTCTTACCTCATACAGCAGGCCAGTAAACGGTGACAGTCAATAATGTCCCCCATTACCTCATACAGAAGGCCAGTAAATGGTGACAGTCAATAATGTCCCCCCTTACCTCATACAGCAGGCCAGTAAATGGTGACAGTCAAGAGTTGTCCCCCCTTACCTCATACAGCACAAGCTCCTCACAGCGATATCCCGTTCGCGGAGCTCTCTATACTATCGCTGCAACCAGTCAAAACTCCCCACAGTGATAGATGACCACAACCATGCTTGGAGTTGAATTGGCAGCCGATTGACCCTTATGTTTACAAACAAGTTACGACTGTCGTGATGCCGAATACACTTACTCCTGCTAAATTACTTTCTTTGTTTGTCAATTTGAATTTTTGAAGGGAGAAGTTGATTGATTTTCCATTATTCTGCGATCTCGAACCAATCTGATTATACAAACAACAAAGTAAATTCATCCGGAAAACATGGTCAGTTTTTTTCAAAATGAACTATGATGGCATTCCCAAACACATAAACAAAAGTATGAACTTGACTACATTTGGGGTTAGAGGGCAAATTTCAAGATTCTTGTAATGGCCGCACCCACACTGGTGGCAGGTGTGTTACCAAGAGTGTAACGAAGGTGTCACGCACTGGGAAGGAACTTGCATAAAGCAGGCCAGTAAAGGGTGACAGTCAAGATTTGTCCCCCCTTGTTGGTACTCCATCTGTTATAGGGCTGGAATGTTGCTAAAAACAGCATAAAAACACTCACTATACTCCAGGAAACACTCCTGTTTCATATCCTGGTTATATCTTGTTTTTAACATTGTGGTTTGGATAGAGGTGTAAAAACTGATCCGATGACAAAACATCAGTTGGAAGTAAAGTGTCAACAGTTGACATTGAAGTAGTGTAGATAGAGGAGTTCAAATGAACATGTGATGTGAATAACTTTTTTCCTTTCATATGTTTTGATCCAAATTACGCTTTGTTTGAAGATGAAACTTATTAGATGTAACTACCCAAGCAGTGTCCTGCATACAGGACTTAGTGGGTAACACTTTGTCATGAAAGAACATCGGCATTGTAGCCAAAAAAACAATGCATGTGTTTCAGGTAACATGGACCCAAGACATAAGGAGTTGGTTTTTTTGTTTTTTACAAAAAAAATTATTATATTTAACACAGATGGCTTGTTTAGGTCTGATGTTAGATGCAATGTTTCTCAAATTTGAAGGTCAAAATGGCTACAGCATCGATGATAAGTGAAAGTATGACTTTCTTCCAAATGTCAAATATGGGTTTCTTGATGTCAGTCCCTCCTTTATAATAAATTACCAGTCCCTAATTGCAACAAAACTTGATATACTATGTCTGTTTTTGTCTGTACAAAACTTGTTATCCAGGGGACCCCAAATACTAATTACAGGGGTCCTTCCTCACAGGACGTATGTAAAGTAATGAAATGGTGTAGTGTAAGGTACTGTAAGATTTAATCATTTCTTTATATCAGGAACTTTAAATTTTTTGTCAAGAATTTGGTATGATGAATAGTATTGTGGGTCCCTTGGGACACAATATATATTTTTTATGCATCTTTTCTATACATTTGTGCATACAGGACGCACATTTCTTCGTCTGAGTGTGTCGGCTCAGTGCTAAGTTCTATGTTCTATGTTCTATGTTGTTGCAGCTGATCAGTCCCCCAGTGAACACCAAGGCTCTGTCACTGTTGACGTCAGTTGCCGGGGACGCGCTCACACGCCACCTCGGCAAGATTCTCCCAGCACTGATGACAGCCCTCAGTGAGAAGGCCGGAACACACGAGGAGGAACAGGTGGGTGGTCCAACATGAACACCTTGTAAAGTGATACTTTCTCTATAGGCTAAAACACACCTCCGGGGTTTGGGTTGAAAATGTAAACACGCGAACGAGCTCAAGGCTTTACATGTTCAACCAAAACCTCGGAGAATTTGAGTGCCATTTTTGACCATTTTTTGTAAGTTTGGAATAAAAGTGGAAGTGGCAGCAGAGTAGTCTGAATCAAGGTATGGCACAGTGTGCCACCTTGCACATTGCACTTAGCATCGCCAGCCATGAGTCCATCTCAATCAGTGTAGGAGTATTTAGCATCCGCCCGGAGGCTTCATCTGCCTAAACACACACCCACACGACCTGTTTCTGGTGCCCCACCCCCTGATCACAGGGGCCCCCTGCTAGAGGGTTGACGGCTTCTCTCTCAGACCTTCCCACGGGCAGTAAGCAACAGGTGCTTGTGTGTAGCCCCTAATGCAAGCTTTGCCACCACGCCTTCTTAGGCAGTGTCATTGGCTGATGATATAGTTGCTATTGAATGACTTTTTTCTCAAAGGGGTGTGTTTATATGTTGTTGTAGTTTTAAAATTGAATGTTTATTTTGACATAAATTTGTGGTTGTTATGAGTGGGGGTATAAATACTGTCCTTTGTGGTTTAATAATTGTTGATTAATGTTTAGTTTTTAATTTTTTATGAACTTTTTATGAGATTGATCTTAGCTTCTTGAGATCATTGTTGATATGTCTTCATTTGTTTTCTTGTGTATTTTACCATTATGACTGCATTCACATATATTGTGGGTCAGGGTAAGAGAACAAAATGTACCATTTTTTTATCAAAATGTTTATTATTTATATTTTAAGGAATTAGGCTACTGTAGGACCGTCGTTTTGTCAGTGGAGGATGAGGTCGGCGTTCGGACCATTATGGAGGACCTTCTCAGTGCCAGTCAGATGTCTGATGCCAAAATGTGCGCCTCTGCTGTCACCATCCTCCACGCGTTCTGTAAACAGACGGAACTCGACTTCTCGGAATATGTGCCCCAGCTTCTGCGTGGACTTATATATTTGTTTACCCGCTCCGAGGATACTATTCTCCTGGCGGCCTGGAACTGCTTGGATGCTGTTACCAAAGTGAGTAGAAGTTGCTTGTGATGGAACTGCTGCTTATTAATATTAGAACAAGATTTCTGTCTTAAAACTGAAAGACAAAACAGAAAAAAATATCTTGGATGGATGGGGCTTATGCAAGGGAGATAACTCTTGAATGCCTGAATATTTTCAAATGTTATATCATCCATTTAGTTGCTGAAAATATAAAAAAATCCAAATCTTTTGTGAAAGTCTGTTAAACAAATAGAACTGAGATAAATGTGTTATCACTTAAAGTAAGTCTTTTTGCAATATTTTATGAAAAAGGTTTCATAAACGGATCACAAAATGAACAAAGGATGTTATCATTCCTTGGTATTATGTTATACTTCTTCATCTCTGCAATCTAAGTATTTCCAAGGTGATACTAACACATTTTTCAATAATGTAATTGTTTCATATATTAATAAATCAATTTGTAATTATTATTTAAGTTAACTTATACAAAACTGGCTTCTGCACTAGATACTCCTGCTTTGAAATTGCATCACATTCTTTGCAGACTGTTGTGATATGATCAGTAACCATCACTAATCTGCCACTAAAGCTGTTAGCTGTACCTTTTACGCTCAATACACTCGTTATTACTGTTTACAAACAGAAAAAAAGTTGGAAGAATGATTGATATATAGAATCTAACCCTCATGTCTTTTAATATCAAATATGTCAATGTGAGTTAATAAAGGTTTAAGTCCTTATTGAGCCTTATTGATATATTGGATATCGCAAGATACTCAGGTGAGATTCTGTGTATAAAAACAACTTAGTTTGTTAGTTGCTGTGAGGAACAAGGAATTCAAGTCATGTTTGTTTGTAGAAACTAGACACGTCAGAAATGCTCCAACACATCGCTGACGTGCGGACGGCTGTCCGGTTTGCTGTGTCCGACTTCAAGGACACCAATCTTCCTGGCTTCAGCATTCCAAAGAAGGTAAGACCCCGGTGTGATCAGTTTGTTCATCTGGGTAAATTTGCACTTTGTATTGGGATTTACACGACCCCTAGTCCACTAGTCTGAGAAACATTAAAATTTGTACTTATATTCTTACATTAATTCTTCTCCAGAATAGTAATAATAATAAAACACCATTGCAAAATTAATTGTGGACTAGTTGAATTTAATTTGTGTTCTACCTCCCTTGTTTTCGAGCTTTTGCGTTTATCACTATTTCAAAAGTCTTATCGTACAATCTATTCATTAACAATGATGCATGATAAAAATCTGTATCCCGCAATTTTATTTGGTTCAACTTATGACAACTTTCTAACTAATCTCAAATTATTCAGTTTATTTATGAAATAAATGTTGTCCCTTTTCCAACTTCTGGTGCCTCATCAGGTCGACCTTTTTATGTGTTTCAGGGAATCACACCAGTCTTGCCAATTTTCCGGGAGGGGATTCTGAATGGGTCCCCAGACATGAAGGAGGCTGCCGCCATTGGCCTCGGGGAGGTCATCAACCTCACCAGCCCAGAGGCTTTGAAGCCCTCCGTCGTCAACATCACGGGCCCACTCATCCGTATCCTTGGTGACCGCTTTGCATGGCAGGTCAAGGTCGCTGTCCTTGAAACCCTCACACTTTTGCTGGGCAAGGTATGGGAAATGTTTCTATGTATATTTATATTTAATTAGGTTAACATGTACCTCGGTACATCATACATGTACATACAGAGCTCTAGATCAGCTTTTGGTTATTTGGGTATCTTACCCAGGGCTTTGATTTTGATTGGGTATCCCCAATTCTTAGAGCGTATTCAAATTGTTTTTACCCACCAATTCCTGGACATTTAGGTTTTTGAACTTGAAAACCTGTTTCGTAACAATCTCTGTAAATCATTTCAAACTAAATGCTAGTGGTATGCCCATATGCGTCTGCTTGCTAGCTCCCTCTTTGGGAAGCCATTTTTGTTTGCAAAACCTAGCATTGAAAGAAAGGTGATTTTTGTAATCACGTATCATCAACTGTTTTAAATACTGGGCACGATGTGCTTTCAGTTGAACCTATCGGTATTTGAGCTTGTTTGTCAAACAAGCCTTTCCGAATGTAACTGTTGGTAAGTGAATTTCACGATCGGCTGATACGCAATCGTTTTATGTAATAGTTGATATATGTAGTAGTTTTATTTCCATAGCATATTTATGATTTTTGCTGCGTATGTAATACACTAGGATTTGATATGTCTGCATATTTAAGTTAATTCTATGCATATGGTGTGCAAATACACAGCTTCTCTCGAGCTCTGTATATAAATTATATTATGTTAACATCTACCTCAGTACATCATACATGTATAATGTTCTGTGGCGCTTTATCGTTATCAATGGTAAATATCATGCTGAAAGTGCATTATTTCCCCCAGTCAATGGATCAATGTGCACTCATATTTCATTCTCAGTTCTCTGGGTACTATACAACCCATGCTGTCTGAGGCGCTAAAAGGTTAACAGCCACATTGCCATGTCATCCTACCTTGTACCCATTCACTGCTGGGTGAACAGAGGCGCATTTCGAACAAAGTCACTTGCCCAAGGAGACGCCACTTGTGGTTTAGTGTGGGGCAGATCTGAAGCCCTAGAAACTATCAGAGCCAAGCTACCCAAAAATGGTCACTCATCCAAGGACTGTCCGCGACCAACGTTGCTTAACTTCACCGACCCGTGAAGATTCCTGGGTAGAATAGGTCTTCAGCAACCCATGCTTGCCGTAAAAGTCGACTATGCTTGTCGTAAAAGGCGACTAACGGGATCGGGTGGTCAGGCTCGCTGACTTAGTTGATGCATGTCATCAATCCCAATTGCATGGATTGATGCTCATGATATCAATCACTGGATTGTCTGGTCCAGACTCGATTATTTACAGACCGCTGTCATATAGCTGGAATATTGCTGAGTGCGGCGTTAAACAACAAACCAGCCAAACCAGCATAACTTCACCAGATTTATGACTTGTGCACTGTGCACAGTGCCAGACTAAAAATGAAACAAAAAATATCTAATTCTTTTTCTTTCTTGCCAGGTGGGAATGATGCTGAAGCCCTTCCTGCCGCAGCTGCAGACGACGTTCTTAAAAGCCCTGAATGACCCGAACAGGTCAACCCGTCTGAAGGCGGCGGCTGCCCTGGGCAAACTGATAGTCATACACACGCGTACAGACCCACTGTTCACTGAGCTGCACACCGGGATTCGTAACACCGAGGACACCAGCGTCAAGTAAGTCACTGCAGTACACACTGGCCGTGTGAGGATGTCAGGCTGGGTACACTGGCCGTGTGAGGATGTCGGGCTGGGTACACTGGCCGTGTGAGGATGTCGGGCTGGGTACACTGGCCGTGTGAGGATGTCGGGCTGGGTACACTGGCCGTGTGAGGATGTCGGGCTGGGTACACTGGCCGTGTGCGGATGTCGGGCTGGACACACTGGCCGTGTGAGGATGTCGGGCTGGGTACACTGGCCGTGTGAGGATGTCGGGCTGGGTACACTGGCCGTGTGAGGATGTCGGGCTGGGTACACTGGCCGTGTGAGGATGTCGGGCTGGACACACTGGCCGTGTGAGGATGTCGGGCTGGACACACTGGCCGTGTGAGGATGTCGGGCTGGACACACTGGCCGTGTGAGGATGTCGGGCTGGGTACACTGGCCGTGTGAGGATGTCGGGCTGGGTACACTGGCCGTGTGAGGATGTCGGGCTGGGTACACTGGCCGTGTGAGGATGTCGGGCTGGGTACTCACTGGCTGTGTGAGGATGTCGGGCTGGACACACTGGCCGTGTGAGGATGTCGGGCTGGGTACACTGGCCGTGTGAGGATGTCGGGCTGGAGACACTGGCCGTGTGAGGATGTCGGGCTGGGTACACTGGCCGTGTGAGGATGTCGGGCTGGACACACTGGCCGTGTGAGGATGTCGGGCTGGGTACACTGGCCGTGTGAGGATGTCGGGCTGGGTACACTGGCCGTGTGAGGATGTCGGGCTGGACACACTGGCCGTGTGAGGATGTCGGGCTGGGTACACTGGCCGTGTGAGGATGTCGGGCTGGGTACACTGGCCGTGTGAGGATGTCGGGCTGGGTACACTGGCCGTGTGAGGATGTCGGGCTGGACACACTGGCCGTGTGAGGATGTCGGGCTGGGTACACTGGCCGTGTGAGGATGTCGGGCTGGGTACACTGGCCGTGTGAGGATGTCGGGCTGGGTACACTGGCCGTGTGAGGATGTCGGGCTGGGTACACTGGCCGTGTGAGGATGTCGGGCTGGACACACTGGCCGTGTGAGGATGTCTGGCTGGGTACACTGGCCGTGTGAGGATGTCGGGCTGGACACACTGGCCGTGTGAGGATGTCGGGCTGGGTACACTGGCCGTGTGAGGATGTCGGGCTGGGTACACTGGCCGTGTGAGGATGTCGGGCTGGGTACACTGGCCGTGTGAGGATGTCGGGCTGGGTACACTGGCCGTGTGAGGATGTCGGGCTAGGTACACTGGCCGTGTGAGGATGTCGGGCTGGACACACTGGCCGTGTGAGGATGTCGGGCTAGGTACACTGGCCGTGTGAGGATGTCGTTAAGTCTATGTTAAGATATGGGTGTTACGATCACCTAAGTGCTACAACTGTCATAAGTCTATGTTAAGATATGGGTGTTACAATCACCTTAGTGCTGCAACTATTATAAGTCTATGTTAAGATATGGGTGTTACGATCACCTTAGTGCTACAACTGTCATAAGTCTATGTTAAGATATGGGTGTTACGATCATCTTAGTGCTGCAACTGTCATAAGTCTATGTTAAGATATGGGTGTTACGATCACCTTAGTGCTGCAACTGTCATAAGTCTATGTTAAGATATGGGTGTTACGATCACCTTGGTTCTAAGATTGCTTAGTATAACAGCACTGTGGGTCGGAACATGTGTCAAGTGCTCCATTGTTTTTGTAAGAGCTGACTATACTGATGATCTGCATCAACAGAGGGATCTCAGCACTACGACATCGTAACTCTGATACACCAACACAGGCTCACGACGGTCGTAGCTCTAAGACTGTTTTGTGCAAGTGGCACCTGATAGTTACAATGCATGACCTGGCTGATTTGGTGTCATCATACCCCGATTGTATCAACCACAGATTTGCCTGGCCACAGTGATTTTGCTGGAATAGTGCTGATTGTGACGTAAACCAACATTCACTCTTTAGGGTGTTGGGATCCGTAAAGATCCGGGTTAGAATAGGTCTTCAGCAACCCATGATTGCTGTAGACGGCGACTGTGCTTGTCGTAAGAGGCGACAGACGGGATCGGGTGGTCGGTTGGTTGATGCATGTCATTGTATCCCAATTGCGTGGATCGGCATCCTCCTCTAGGATTTGCACAGGCTGCTGTCATCAGAAGATGTTAAATTTTCAAAAAATTTGAAATAACTGCGTTTCCTGTCCCCGCAGAGATACGATGCTGCAAGCCTTAAGGTTCTGTCTGGCTGGCGCAGGGAGCAAGATGACAGAGAATATCCGCAAGCAGCTCACCTCAACGCTGAGTGGAATGCTGGGAAGTGGAGAGGACAGTACTAGGACGGTGGCGGCAGGCTGTATGGGGCAGCTGTGTAGCACGCTCGGGGAGGTCGAGCTGGGAGCTGTCATGTTGGACTATTTGTTGGGTAGGTGACAGCTAGAGAGCTGCCATGTTGGACTATTTGTTGGGTAGGTGACCGAGCTAGAGAACTGTCATGTTGGATTATTTGTTGGGTAGGTGACAGCAAGAGAACTGTCATGTTGGACTATTTGTTGGGTAGGTGACAGCTAGAGAACTGTCATGTTGGACCATTTGTTGGGTAGGTGACAGCTAGAGAACTGTCATGTTGGACCATTTGTTGGGTAGGTGACAGCTAGAGAACTGTCATGTTGGACCATTTGTTGGGTAGGTGACAGCTAGAGAACTGTCATGTTGGACCATTTGTTGGGTAGGTGACAGCTAGAGAACTGTCATGTTGGACCATTTGTTGGGTAGGTGACAGCTAGAGAACTGTCATGTTGGACCATTTGTTGGGTAGGTGACCGAGCTAGAGAACTGTCATATAACATTATTGGACCATTTGCTGGGTAGGTGACCGAGCTAGAGAACTGTCATATAACATTATTGGACCATTTGTTGGGTAGGTGACCGAGCTAGAGAACTGTCATATAACATTATTGGACCATTTGCTGGGTAGGTGACCGAGCTGGAGAACTGTCATATAACATTATTGGACCATTTGTTGGGTAGGTGACCGAGCTGGAGAACTGTCATATAACATTATTGGACCATTTGCTGGGTAGGTGACCGAGCTAGAGAACTGTCATATAACATTATTGGACCATTTGTTGGGTCATGTGACCTTATAATGATCCCAGAGGCCTGCCAGGCAAATTGTATTTGTAATATTTTATGGTTTTCAGTTCAGTGACTAGCCAAACAGATAGCCATGTTTTACAGGACAGTGACAGACCAAATGATATCTAAGTCTTCAAACAGTTTATTATGATTGTTTATTTCTTATTTGTCACAGAGGTTGGTGCTAGTCTGGATTGGCAACTGCGTCATGGTCGAAGTGTGGCCCTAGGCGTGGCTCTCAAGACATGTCCCGACAAAATCCTCACCCCACAGTACCTGAAGAGCGTCACCAAGGTCGTGATGGACTTAGCCAGTGCCGACAGAGTGAGTTCACTTGCAGTGGAGATGGTTTTACAAGAGAGGGCATGAAAGCATTTGTTTCATTAACAGCAAAGCTGCATTATGAAAATTAATTTGTAGGACTAATTCCTAATAAAATAACAAGATATTGTAATTTAGATTTGTGCAAGATTTCAAGTTTCATGAGCCTTCTCATTGTTTGTTCAGGGTTCTTAATTCATAAAGGCATAGTTTAATTATGTGAGTTATGTTTAAACATACTTATGAAAAGAAATGTATTGATCATAGAATAAAATGCACCTTGTGTTTATGGAATATTTGTTCCTGTTTCTGTAGATTCCGATCTGCCAGAGCGGACTGCGAGGGATCGCCTACATGCTTCAACACCAGAGTCAGACAGGGGAGATAACTCCAGAGCTACTAGCAGCTCTTATCAAGGTATTAGCATCTTCTATATCTTCTAAATCTCTACAATTGCTTTTAAGCAATCTTCCCTACAGAAGCATCTTATTATTGATGACCGCCTCAGGGGTCTAGTGGTAGAGCGTCCGCCAGGGAAGGGGAAGGTCCAGGGTTCGATGCCTGGCTTCGTCGTACCAAAGATGGTAATTTTGATACCATGCCTGGAGCTCTGCATTAATTGGCTAAAACAAGGACTGGTCAGCTCGAGTCAGTACACTGTGTCTGAGTGGAGTATTCATGTTAAATGTATGTGGCATGGTGTCTCAGGGTAGCACTTGAAAGTCAGCATCAGTCCGGACTAGTACAAGCGCACGCATGCACATGCATGCACCTCACTATATGAGTGCGATAATCTTGGACGCAACATTAAACGCTATTTCACCTTACTTCTTACAATTGATAGTTTGCATTTGTTATTATTTTGCCCAAAAAATGAGAATTAGTTTTTGGGGCCCAGCGAGTAACATGGTTTTTTTCACGAAATAATAATGTTTATAATGGATGGATGGGGATGTTTGCAGGGGATGAAACACGACTCCAACGATGTGAAGCAGCTAGTAGGCCGGGTGGCAACGTTCCTGGCCCAGTCCCGGGGGGAGCCGCTCCCCCAGACCGTGGTCAAGCCCCTCATCCCCCCACTCGTCAACGGCACCAAGGAGAAGAACACAATGGTCCGTGCCAGCAGTGAGTTCGCCCTGGTTGCCCTGCTGCACTTGAGAGAAGGGGAGGCGGTGCTGCAGGTCAGTTGCCATGGTTACCTACTGAATAACTAATGAGCTACTAGGAACTATGGACATCCGTTAGCGTTAGAAATTGGCACTAGTCCAGGACTCCTTGCCATACTGCCCAATAGTTCAAGTATCATTGGGACTTGTAGAACTTTGCCTTTATCATTGGTTATTATTGTGCTATATGTTATCACTGTAAGGATAAGTGGACTAAAACAGTTAGTGTGTATTGCTGTCCTTTCCTTGTTGTTGTGTCTGTCCATGCCCCTGATGGACAGACTTGAAGGACACAATCCATCATTCTCAGTTGCACGTAGGTTAATCTATACCCGTTATAGTTTTAAGGAAAGGAGAAAAATTATGAAATGGCAGAACAATAATGTTGTAATTTGTGTCATCATGGACAGTGAATGACAGTTATATTAATCTCAATAGTGGAGCAGTATCATTTTGCCTTCACTTAGAAGTAGTTCCCTGGACCTCATGCTTGTTTAAAGAGCCAACCAAAATGGGATGTTGTGCGCTCTGCAACTGGCTCATGATACCAATCACTTGTTTGTCTGGTCTGGACTACATGGCACTACAAGTGTAACGATATAGTGATACAGTATTGTATTCCGATACGAGCCCCTGATACAATACATCAACTTACAACCCATCACAATACATTATGCTACAAGTTATATTGGTGTAAAAACCTGTGAATAATAACTGTGATTCACTTGCTGAAAGAATATTAACTTATGAAATAGAAGTATTATTCGGGATATGAATCATATCATACCCATGGTATCTGGATATGTATCGCATCACAAATCTGTCATATCATTACTGTAAAAGTCATAATAGGCGACTAACAGGATCGGGTGGTCAGGCTCGCTGACTTGGTTGATGCATGTCATCAATCCCAATTGCGTGGATTGATGCTCATGATATTAAATTATAATCACTGGATGGTCTGGTCCAGCCTCGATTATTTACAGACCGCCATCATAGCTGGAATATTGCTGAGTGCGGCGTTAAACAACAAACCAACCAACCGACCATATCATTACACTTCTATTAAACAACAAGCAAAACAGTTCTGGAATGTCTGGTCCAGACGTGATATTGTTGACATCACCAAGAACAAAAACATTCCTTTTTAGAACGTATTTGATGGTAGGAGGTGCTTGTGTCAATCTTTGCTGCCATCTTGCGAAAGGTACGTGTTGAAGTTGAGAATCCCTGTCCAGCTCTGTGCACTATAGCATTCCTGTTGCAGAGTGCCCTGAGTTGCTTGGAGGCGGGGATGCAGGACTCCCTGAAGGAAACGGTCAACAAGACGTTGAAGAAACTAGCAGGACAACAGCAACATGGAGGCAAGGAGGACATCGATGACACCTTCCTCACCTAGCACTGCCCACGGACACTGTGACAAACCCATTCCACATCTACCCTCCAGGATCTTACACTGACGCTGATGACACTTCACAGTAGCGGAAGAATCATGGGGAGTTTTAACGTTGTACCATCTTGGAGTGATTCAGAGAACGACTTGAAATGAGCAACACTTTTCTAGCGAGGGGCAGGGAGGATGCCAAGTTACCATATGTTGAAAAGTATTGACTGTAGAGTCACAGAAAGTTGTGACTCTTTCAACAGGGATGACTTGTATACCAGTATGCTGTGAAGGGACTGATGGTGAACATGGGCTGGTTTATGAAGGTTAGGATGTAAGAACGCGAAGTTGTTAAGCATGTTCAAATGCTGAATGTGATTTGTTAAATGGGTAGAATCACACTGCATGTATTTTGGATCAATTGTTTTGTTGTTTACATGTTTGGTTTGTTTTTCTTGTTTCATGGTAAGTAAAAGATTTCACATGAGATTACTATTGAACAGGACGCTATGCTGGACTATATATGTCCTGTTTAAACTGACTCTCACCCAGCTATATTTGTGCTTTAACTTTTAAAGAATACACGGAAACAATGGTCATCAGTTGAGTGGTCACGTGACACGTCACATGACTCGTCACATGACTCAATGCTAGTGTCAGTTCTAAATGATCCTCGTATTGTTGTGACCAGTCACTTGCTTGTACCTTGATTATCATGAAACATATTTTTCATTATGAGACTTAATAAATGAGAGAAGAATTTCTTCCTGAAGACCTTTTTAAGATGTTGCCTTTGCCAGTGCTGGTATGACCCCTCATGTAAATTAAGACAGGGCCATTAGGTTCAACATGTACATTATCAGATGAGATCATCTTTGAGAGGTTGTCAAAAGGTGTTCTCATACTTTGTAATTTGAAAACTTGCAGGGCTATTAATTACTAAGATAAATAACACCTATAGAAAATGGAACTTGACTTATTTCAACTTGGACATGTAAAGATCAATAGCAGCCTACTTAGGAGGATGTATCTACATATACTACTGAATTCTGGCAAGGAGAGATGAGTATGACCAGAATCAGACAGGACATTTTTAACTTGGTTATTGCTACGTGTTTCAACTGCAAGGTGTACACAGAGTGTTGTGTTGAAAGCTGCTATCATCCAAAGTATCAGTTCTACGTGAATGGGAAGACTTGTGTGTGTGACACAGATTTGGTGCCCTGTGAATGTTCAGGCATGGCAGCACCACGTATAATGGTGCTGGAATGTTGAGAAAATGTGTAATTAAATATCTGTATCTTTATGCAAATTGTTGGCTTGTTTGTTAAATCAGGGTACATGTATAGTCAGTCCACCCTCTAGGTCACCAGGGCTCACACCCAGGATCCATTCTCGTGGTTCTTGCAACATCAAATTATCTGCCCTTGATTTTCCATTTGCCAATTTGATTGACTACATTGCTAGGTCTAACGAACCAATCAGAATGCGAGTAACAAACCAGCCTCAATGTTGTCCCATTGATGATGATCGAGATTGTGAGAAATTCAACTTTTAAAAACTGACTGGCACGAAAATGAAAGCCCTAAAAGATGGAAAGGATGTCTCCGTGTCCTTTAATACTGGTGGTGGCTTTGGTTTCCAGGTAATACGAGTTACCTCCCTCACCCTTTCCCTGACCCGTGAAGATCCGGGGTAGAATAGGTCTTCAGCAACCCATGCTTGTCGTAAAAGGTGACTATGCTTGTCGTAAAAGGCGACTAATGGGATCGGGTGGTCTGACCCGGTTGATGCATGTCATCGATCCCAATTGCTTGGATCAATGCTCATGTCAATCACTAGATTGTCCGGTCCAGACTTGATTATTTACAGACCGCCGTCATATAGCTTGAATATTGCTGAATGTGGGGTTATACAACAAACAAACAAACAACAATATCAAGGTGGCCATTCAGTAATCAAGCTTGGGCCAGTCATACCATTGGTCAATATCATGAGCAGATCCACAACAGTATGATGACACACTACCAGCCAGCCTACACAGTAACCACCCTCTGTCAGATGGTCTCCTCTCCCGACCAGGAATCCCCTTAGTGCCATGACCCACTGTTCCCCGAAAATAAGGCTTAAAAAAATAAAAGAATTGGTTCTCAGACAATGACTTGAAAATATTGTGTAGGCGAGCAGTGGTTTTTTTTCACTTGTTCAAACTAGTATGTAACCAAATAAACAGTTGTGAACAATGAACCTGGGAAAGGGCCTCCCTATACATGTATAAACAAGCATACAAACTCCTATTGCCGCCATGACCATAACACTAGATGTGCAGTAAAGCTGTGCGCATGTAAAGGGAAGTAACTGTGTGCTATATTGGATCGCATTGTTTTTAAGTATTTCCATTTTTTTCTTTTAAATGAAATAAAAACAATATGTGTGGCAGACTTTATGATGATGCGGGTGGTGCCTGAGAACCAAGACTACTTTTATATAACCCAAGCAGCCTGTGAGGCGATGGAAGGGTAACTGTCCGATTACCATCTCATCCTACCTGGTACCCATTCACTGCTGGGTAAACAGAGGCATATATCAAACAATGTCTATTGCCTTAGGAGACACCCCAGGACCTCAGTGTGCTTAAGAGCTGAGCGGGCCGAGCAGAGTCACCCATCCAACTACCAACGTTGCCTAACTTCACCCGATTTGTGACTTGTGTGGTGTACATTTAAACATGTGCCAACACAAGTCGCCAGACACATTACCATGGAAATTAACTCTAATGTGACATTGGCATGATTAATATCTCACTATGCTTACAGACCAACTATTTCCAATTCTGGTATTTTGGGATCTTGCGATTTTCTGCTTAAGTAATAGAATATGTTTTTTCCAGTCACAGCTTTCAAGACATACAATTGTTTTTCCCCAACACAGTTCTTTCAGAATATCCAGCATGTCTTGTGAACAATTTTGTATGTGTATAAAATTAGGCAAACTTATTTTTTCTAAGGACATCCAAGCCCCCAGTCCCAGATTGTAATATACAGTCCCTTATCTTCACTACAGCTCCTATGTAGCAGAGTCATGTCAACTGACTCAGGAAAGTCACTCTCAGCTGTTTTAGAAAACATCAAGTACACAAAAACTGATGAAGTAATTTCTTTAATAAATAAATGATGCATCTCTTATGTACAAGGACAGATATGTTTGGACGGACAAGAACTGGGGAACATTAAGGTCACTTCTGGAGAATCAGCTGCTCAATGAACTCAGTCTGTTCTCCCTCGGCTTTCTGCAAGGCGTCATACTGGATCCGTAATCTGGAACAAAACACTTGACATGAGCAGGACGGTAGATGCCGTATCTCCCATGACTATATACTGAAATACTGCTGTGGTGGCTTCAAACCATTTCTTATCTTAGAATACTAATTATTTTCACTCCATGAAAAGTTGTCTTGCTAATTTTGTACTGACAGGTCTTGTATGTGTGGCATGGGCATCTGGTTATCAGAAAGACTGAGCAGGAATGTCAATGTGTTTCTCAGCCAGGTAGACTGATGGTTAAGCTTTCTCCTAAGAACCAGGGTTCCACAAAGTGACTAGTGCTACGACAGTTGATGTCGATGTTAAAGTATGGGAGCTATCATCACCTCAGTGGAACAGAACCAGGCTTGAATCCCCTCACTGTACAATTGGAAAAAAACATTTATTGAAATATTTCCAAGATCTAGATGATGTAATTAGAAGCCTTGGTGAAGCAGCGACTTGAGAGAGCAGACAAGACACAGGAGTACTTTTAATGACTTGAATCTAACTGTCAATTGGCCCACTTCCTCTTTTGGTGCAGTTGTAACCATGGTAACTGACCTCTCCAGCTGCATCTTCCTCTCTGTGATGAGTGCAACCAGCTGCAGCTGCTGAGCTTCTCGTTGCTTAGCGATTGACTTGAGGAGATTCCGGGCACCAATTGCCTGCAACAAAACATGAACAATGTCAGGAATGTAACCTGCATAATCTGTCCTTGCAAACGTGTGAGGAACAGTAAGTTTTGTTTGTTGTTTAATGCCGCATTCAGCAATATTCCAGCTATATGATGGAGGTCTGTAAATAATCAAGTCTGGACCAAACAATCCAGTGATTAATGTCATGCGCATCAATCCACACAATTGAGATACAATGACATGCATCAACCAAGTCAGCGAGTCTGACCACCCCATCCCGTTAGTCGCCTCTTACGACAAGCAGTCGCATTTTACGGCAAGCATGGGTTGCTGAAGACCTTTTCTACCCTGGATCTTGACGGGTCAGAACAATAAGTAGAAAGATCTTGTTAGGATATACTACTACCGGGTATACAGGTAACCACTGATGCATGAGAGTGCCATCAGTCAATGGTGAGGAGAAATAGGGTTTAACTTCGCTTCGAAGGTTATTGCACTGATATAGTGATGTGCGTGTGTGTGTGTGTGTGCATGCTTGTACTAGTCCAGACTTATGCCGATTTTATAGTGCTAGCCAACTGAGATACCATGCTGCAGTTTAATATGAATACCTCATTCAGACACAGTACACTTACGCCAAACATTTCATGTCCTGATGAGTGCCAGACAGGGTAACAACAAGTATCATCTTTTAATGTCTTGGTATGACGCGGCCGGGGATTGAACCCCTGACCTTTCACTCTCCGGGAAGACACGCTACCCACTAGACCACGACATCACTCAATGGAAAGCGACCACTGATTGATGACATGGTGTAGACAGCAGATATAGTAGGAGCAATTGATAACAAGAACTTTGTTTATATACCACAAAGATTCTTCCAACAATACAAAACAGGATTTTGCAAAGAAATTAAATAACTTCATACATCTGAAGTGGAATGACGTGAACACTGTTCAACAAAGGTTGATACATAATAATCATGAAACAAAATGCTGAGAAGTGTGAAAGGATCCACAGCGTAGTGCTTCATGTTTCAGTCCAGGCTTGTACACTGTAATAGAAATGTGATTCCCTGATGCGACATACCTTCATCTTTTCCTTCTCCACTTCGGTGGCAACACCATCCACAACTTCAATGAAGCCGCTTACTATCTTCTGGAAATCCGCAATTTCTAAAAGTAAATATTACGAATTAGTTAAATGAAACAAAAACACTTCCTGTGACACCATACAGGATGGGTGGTTTTAATACTTAGCAGGACACGGTACTAATACACATTTTTGAGAGCATATCCAGGGGCAAAATGGCACAATTTCAGACATATTTTATATTTTTCGGTCCCATGCAAATGTTGATTACAATATCCGAAATAGGCATGAGTGACCTTGCTAAGAAGTTCGAGTTCAACCTGAACAAATAAAGAATATGTGTTGCTTTTGTTAATAGTCCACTCAATTTAACAATCTATAAGACAAAGAGATGTGGCAAGGTATTTTGTAACTAACATTGATTGCAATCACATATTTTTAAAAATTGCAATTATTATTTCAAATATTTATTTCTAAGAAAGAAATCAACACACTGATTAAACTTTCTAATGATGTTCCTGAAGTAAAAATGGTTTTATTTCTTGTTTTACACCACACATGGTGACATGCATAAGCAATACTCAAGCTATAGGATGGTTTCCTGTTAGTAATCTAGTCCGGCTGAGGCAAACTAGGGATTGATATCATGAGCAACATCCCAGGTCAGGTATGATGACATGCAATTGATCAAGTCCAACCAATCCATTTAGTGAACACGTATTTATAACGACAAGTATTGCTTGCCTGGAATCCACACAGGGTGTGTAAAATGGTGAAGTGTCTCAAAGAACCCAAACAATCTGATTGCATTCCTTCACACCACTGAAAGTTTGTCGAAGGTTTACCAAAATGGCAAATGTCCACTGACATAGGGGTCAACACCTTCACATTCTGTGTATCCATAAAACGGTTAAAATGCCAAGTATCATCACTATCATGGGATATCAATGTTTCATTACCGGTACGTTAGATTTTGCACATATCAAATACCATATAACACATCATGTGTCATGATATAGGGTTGCGGCCATAATAAATTCATTGCTAGATTATCATCTGCTTTTTTTCAAAAGTGGAGAGGGAGGCTTTTATTTTTTATTAAAGTCGTCAAGTTGACAACTGGACATCTTGGTATGAACAAAAGATGACTGAAATAATAAAGATAATAAATAAACATTGATTTCAAATTTTGAATAGAGTTTTGTCTTTATTTTATTGAAATATACAAACAGAGAAGTATCATTTCCCATTCTGGGTTGCAACATTTAATCATGACAACTCCGCTGTAATGAAGATCCAATTCAATACTTCAGCTTTAAGTCCAACACACTGACATCAGTACTTTAAAAGCATCCACAACTTGGCATTTGTTGTATCTATTTTCACACTCCCCTTCAAATGTATGGACCCAGAAATGCCACACATTCCCAAACAGAAGAAGTCGGACGTATCAGTGTCGTTTTGCTTGCCCCAGCTTGTACTCGTGCATTTATGAATTTATCCTCAATTGACGTTGACTTGTCAAGTTCCCCACAAGAGCACCATCTTGACAGCAAGCAGATGATAGGCACACAGGCACACACTGAGAGTCGGTTGTGAACCAATTTACGGCATGTCAGAAACATGCATGATGAAATGGCTGTTTGACTGCTGATGTTAAAGTGCTCTGAACATCTCACATGGACAAATAACATGAATCTGTCAGGGGGTTTCGTCGTGAGTCAGACAGGGATGGTAATCGATCAATTAATTTATTATGGGCTAACCCTTTTTTGATTTCATTAATAAGACAATATTATCATTGAATTATGGTTCCAACCATCTTATATTCATTTATAACATGTGTATAAGACAACATTATCATTGAATTATAGGGTTCCAAATATACTTTTCTTTTTCAACGTCCATGTTTATCACGATTTCTTCCACTATAACGAGTGGTATGTCACAGTGGAGCAGTCCATATATCTCATAGGGAAAGAGGACAAAACAGACGTTTTTGAGATTTCATAAAACAACTTTATCACTATGAAATCATCATCATATCATGTACCTACAACTGGTATTATTACTACTAAACATCTCCGACTACAACCAGTGAAGATCCGGGGTAGAATAGGTCTTCAGCAGCACATGCTTGTCGTAAAAGGCGACTATGCTTGTCGTAAGAGGCGACCAATGGGATCGGGTGGTCAGGGTCGCGGACTTGGTTGATGCATGTCATTGATCCCAACTGCGTGGATCAATACTCATGATATGTATCACTGGATTGTCTGGTCCAGACTCGATTATTTACAGGCCAACCTCAAATAGCTGGAATATTGCTGAGTGCGGCTTTAAACAACAAACCAACCAACCAACCGTCTCAACAGCTACTGGGATGAAAGAGCCCATCAGTAATTGTCAATTGAAACACTGTTTTCTTGAAGATGAGTTACGTCAACAGATAAACTTCCGTTGTTCTTGTTCAAATAAAATATTGCTCATACGCAATGACAGTATCTTAATCTAAAATTTTATTTCATATAGTGTAATTCATTGCTTATTACGAAAATACTTTCGATTTGGAGTACGAAATCTCTCATTTCTTGGGGTACGAATTCGTTTGGGTTACGAATTTACATACACCCACGATATATACGCATGTATACATGTTTTACCGTTGATTAATGGGGAAAACAAAGAGACTAACGTGTACCTCAACACTAAATACTGACGATTTGTTGAATGAGAACAGGTTTGTTTACAAATAAATAATTAAAGATATCATGTCATCCACAGAGAAAAATAACCCCCATCTTACTGTCGACAAAGTCTTTGCACTCTTCCTTCAATTCAACAGTTTGTTGTGCGACTTCAGGCTCTAAAACTCTAATCTTATTCAGTTCATCAAAATGAAGTCCAGCCCTTGCAAGTGCTTCGTCCGCCATTTTGCTTATGGAATGTAGCAACGACGTAAACAAAAAGACACTACTCGTACGGAATCGAACATGAATCGAAAATACGTATATACAGTATTATGAATTATACGAAATAAGATACTGGTGTTGTATTGGGAAAATACTATGAAATTACGATTAGTTAATTACAATGAACCATTTACATTTTTGTGATCTATCATAATTTTTATTAAGAGATATGATTCGTTTTAGTTTTCCCCCTTTGAAAAGATATATGCTCAGACCCATTATTTGTAGCCGTACAACGTATCGCAATCTATAAATAGATCTAGACGTGGTGAAGTTGCTGATCCAAACTATCATTAAATTATGTTGAAATCATGTATTTAGTTTCAGTTCTTGGGGTTTATTCATATCTGTGTTAGCAGACAACGGCAATCAGGGTAAATTCGAAACTAACGATATCGGCAAGTATCCGGAAATAGAACAAGTTGACGTCATTTGCAGCCAGTATATATCATGACACTTTCTTTGCCATATCTATATTTAGAAACGCCTATTTAAGTTTGGACTCTTTAGAAAACATTCAGAATTTGTTCATTGCCCGGCGGAACATACGTTTTATGTCATCGTAGACACCGAACAGAACAATTTTCTCCCCAAACATTCGCCCAGTGGACTGGGCTGTTCCTTCTACTATGTCGGGCGACTCCCACAAAACGGTCATCAAAGGGAACACTTCAAAATATGTGAAGTTAAATGTCGGCGGCTCGCTGCACTACACGACGATTGGGACACTAACAAAGCATGACACAATGCTCAGAGCAATGTTTAGTGGACGAATGGAAGTGCTGACGGACTCTGAGGGTAAGCATCTAAGAGCAAATAATTGAACAGACGAAAGTCTGATTATGAGCGTTCAAATTTTATTTTATTTGTATGTTTAGTTTTGAAAGGACCCTTGTCATCGTGGTTCTGTAATCAACATTTGGAGAACCAGTCCTGATGATTGTCTCTGTTACTGAATGTTAAGTATCTATTTATGTCGTTCATGAATGTTTTGGAGGTATGTGTGGCCTTTTCATAAAAGATGCTGCAGTTTGCCATGTAGAGTAGTGCCCCTTAGCGAAAGTCATACTGAGTGGGTTCGAATCCAAGATTTGCCTTGACATTGAACCTTCATCACCTCATTGGTTGTGAGTTTTAAAAAAGGTTGAATCATTTGCTTCTTATAAGGCTTGGGCTTTTACCATGTTTACCCCATCTATTTCAAACAGTGATAAATCAAACTCTTTCTCTAAACACTGCTTTACACAACAGGCAGGCTCTGTGTTATCACTGTATCAGACAGCATAGGAAAATCTTGTAATCCAAGAAGCATTACTTGTGATGTAGAAGAACCCTTTCAAATGTTTCGTTATGTTTCAGGCTGGATCCTTATTGACAGATGTGGGAAGCACTTCGGTACAATCCTTAACTTCCTGCGCGATGGAACCCTTCCACTTCCAGAGAACCGCAGGGAATTGTATGAACTGCTTCAAGAAGCAAAGTATTACCTTGTACAGGATCTCGTTAAGTTAATTGAAGCTGCCCTCAAGAAAAAAGAAGAACTGGAACCGATTTGCAAGGTGCCCCTGATAACATCGACACGAGAAGAACAACAACTGGTGTCATCAACTATGAAGGTACGAGAGTTACAGGGGCGTTAGAATAGCTTTGTGGTTTAAGTATTTTTATAAGTTATATGTGTCAACATTGTTTATCCCACAATGTGTGAAATAGTGTACATGCTTTTGAAACATGTGACAAATTTATCTTTAAGTAAAATATTTTTGCTGTTCTTGCTGTCTTCATGACATACAATGGTATTTCTGGACAGTGGGGTAACCTAGTTGTAAAGCATTCTCTAATCACACTGAAGACCCAGGTTCGATTACACACATCAGTAGAATGTGCAAAATCCAATTTTTGTGTCCCCCCAAATAGAAATAACAGAAACATTATAACTGTGAGTATGTGTTTTTCATTTTTCAGCCAGTTGTGAAACTGATCTGCAACAGACATAACAACAAGTATTCGTACACTAGGTAAGCAATGTGGAACATGTATACAGGATGATGGGGGTTCAGGGAAAGAAGAGGTCCCTAGTTCACTCCGCTTGTAGCCAGACTGAAACCATGCTTTAGCAGGGTTAGAAATGAACTTCCATTTTCACTCGACCACAAAAATGACATGCTACAGTGTTGCTATGTATCAATGGTAAAACCTAATGTTGAATTTTCGTACAACAAAATGTCATTAAACTATTGGCCTCATGGCACTTATACAAAATAATTCTGTCTGGCTAATGGTAAAACTGGTAGCCCACAAGGAAATGTCACCAGTCCTCAATTTTACTGGTTTCAGACCAGTGGACTTATGTTAATTACAAACCCTTTTTGGGCATTGGAAAATGTGGTCTTTTTTATTTGTTTTATCATTTGCAGCAGTGTGGTTTATGCTATCAACCACTGGTTTGCCTGTGATAGACTGTAAATATTTATAGAGCTTAAATATTGCTAACACTGGCACCGGACTACATTCCCCCAGTAATCATAGTAACAAAAATTGTCATTTGTGGAAGTGTAGATCTGTGACTTTTCCAGATCGCAAAAGATAACATTTTCTCTTTAACAAGGGTACAAAATGAAATGTGTTGAAACCTTGTGTTTCCTAATTTCTAATCAGTGTTTTTTCTCCATGGTGTAAATTGAAATGGCAGAATTTGTCATAGATTTGGGCTGTATGTTTCAGCAATTCTGATGACAATTTACTCAAGAACCTAGAGCTGTTTGACAAGTTGTCGCTCCGCTTTAATGGAAGGATCTTCTTCATCAAAGACGTCATCGGCAGCAGCGAGATCTGCTGCTGGTCCTACTATGGACATGGACAGAAGATTGCCGAGGTTTGCTGCACGTCCATCGTGTATGGTACAGACAAGAAACACACAAAGGTATGTCCACTTCATAATTCTAATACCCACATTCATATCAAGCCCCAAAACAAATCAGTAGAGACAGATATAAGGGTCTGTTTTTGTCCCAGGATCTGTTTGATTAAAGAAATGAGCTTACCTATTAGAAAATGTTGTGAAAGTAATCATATCAGAGCTCCAGAAAAGCTATGGGTTAAAATACTTAAAATAGATCACCTTTACCGAAACAATTTTGAGCTTTTTCTGTACAAATACACATTTTGACCCTGTGTATAGCACCCGGATCCAGGTTAGACCAGGTTTCCAGCATGTAAAAGGAATTAAATTGGAAGAAGTTTCTGGCTCGATGACTAGGTTAGGTTTGCATGAACATAGCCCATCAATGTGGGAAATTGCTCATCACGTCAACCACTGTTTATTATTTACAAACCACCATCCTCTAGCTTGAAAATGATGGATAGTCATTCACATTGCCTGTTCATTGGTTCACAGTTGTAACCATGGTAACTAGCAAGAAGCATGATAAGTATTATTTACTCCCTGAGCTATTCCATGCCCTCCCATTGCTGCCAGTCATTCAGCAAGTTGTTGAATGTTTTCCAGGTTGAGTTCCCAGAGGCCAGGATATACGAGGACACGTTGAATGTATTATTGTACGAACACAGAGACAAAGGACCGGATGCTGAACTTCTGCAAGCTACAAGGGGATACACTGTCGGGGGTAACGGTTACCATAGCGACGAGGATATGGATGAAAAGCTGGATTTGGTTGATAAGCTCCGTAGAAAATGAAGTGCCAAGTATTATGACATGTGCTCAAATCACAGGTCAGGAATGTCAATTCCATGGACAGCGAGGGGAGATAACTCAGCACTACATGCATGATATAGTCTAGTGCTGATGTGATATGCAGACAGGTCCACCATGCTTGTCAGATAAACAGCATTCATATTTATACAAGCTGGTATTAACTGCAGGCCTAAGAAAGCACACCAGTGTTATCATATTGATAATGCTGCACTGCTATGCATGTGACCGTACGCTTAATGCCAATATTGTAACTAATTTCAGTATGCTAAATGGGGATAAGAATTTTTTAATATTGGCATTAAGTACTTGTGATAAATTCAGCTGTTTTGAATTATTTATTTGCGGTTTTGTGGTGTCAGGTTGGAAGTTGATCATAATGCTTCAGTACTTGGACAAACTTACTCCGCTTAAGAAACCCATCACTCATCACACATGCTAGGACATTGTGACGTATTGTGATAGCTGTTGAGAAAATAGATACATTTTCGCCATGTCTTACAATATTTGAAACCTTACAAACAGCTGATACCATCTCCATGTGAAATGGAAGCACTATAGCTTTACATAGACACGTGTTACCTGACTGATAAGTTTGACTATGGACATGATGAACTTGATGAACACGGTACTAGTGTTAGGATTTACTGTTAATGGGGTTTATAGTTTTTGCAGAGAATATGATATGTTCAGTGGGAGCTCTTAGGTAATGATAAGTGGTTATTTGTCACGGAAGAATGAGGATTTGCACTCTGCAATCTCTGTACAGAATCATGTGTGCCAGGATGTGCTGGGCATCATAGTTGGAATGCCAGATCCACCCGGACAATAATCCTCCTTGATAATGGTCCTCCCTGATAATTGTCCACCCTGATAATGATCCAGCCTGATATTGATCCTCCTGACAGTGGTCCACCCTGACAATGGTTTGCTAATGATCCACCCTGATAATGATTCTTTTGATAATAGTCCATCCCCATAATGGTCTCCCCTGTCAATGATCATTCTGATATGGTCCACCCTGATAATGGTCCACCCTGATAATGGTCCACCCTTATAATGATCCATGTCTATCCACACCACACTGCAGTTGTAGGTCTCATGACAATAGGAACTGCGTAACTCCTCCCAAATGAAACTGACAGTAGACTAAAGGGGTGTCACGAGACTTTGTGTATTAAGACACTGTGAATGTACACCGGACACTGTGATACCCATTACACCTACCTCTACACTGATTAATGATTGTATTCTCAAGTGATTTTCAAAAGTGATACTTACTAAGTTTTGCAATATTCATGATAACTACACAAGTTAATTAATTTACCATTTTTCACAAAAGAAAATGATAATTGAAGAATATAACATATGTGATACATCGCGTATCATGACTCAAGCATCGCGGTATGTATCGGTACATAAGAAATTGAAACTAGTTATTGACCAGGCTGCAGGCATTATCCACTGGCAGGTTCAGAGGAAGGGGTGCAGTCATTCTCTCTTTAAAAACCCCCTACCCCCAAGTTATTCTTCCACAGATTCCTAATTGCCTAATATGGGGTTGGCATTTGGATATTGCTTTGGCTTTAGATGCAGGATATTTTAGACATCTGAAAATCATTATGCTCTACTGCCCCGGATGAGGGAATGTAAACAGCTAGATTCACAAGACGCTGTTTTTGAAGGTTTTTCCCTGAAGTTAGTATCTCCAGATAGATGGGATCAGTGCTTCCACCACCACGTTTCATCATTACCTTGGTGAATCATTGCATAGCAACCTTTTGTATACAATATTGATGAGGAAAACATGTTCCAGTGAATGTGTAACTTAACGAGCACCACTGTACACTTCTCAAGTCATGTCTTCCAAATTTGTCAAACTCTGTTCATGGAAGTTATTAATGCTTTATCCTGGTGAAATGTCAGTTGTGTCCTCTCAAGAAGATCTCTCCACTGACAATGATGACGTTCTGAATCTGTTGTAAACTTCTGAGAGTTGGCCAAGGGTGAACATGAGAAAGCGTTTGACTGATCACATTGAGGAAGACGCAGTAACTAGCAGCCAAGGCTTGATTTCCTTTTTTTGAGTCAAATAATTGCCAAAGGAAATTGTTCTGTCATAAGAAATAATTTATATTTGTTTGCCATTATGAATAAATTTCTTATGTAAAAGGTGTTTGTTTGTTTGTTTGTTTGTTTGACACTGCTGTTGGTGTTGTTCCTGCTGTATCACCATGGCATGGAAAAATCAAGTCCCACACTCCATGACACAGTCAACCGAGTCTCACCACCTCATCCAAATGTGTCTTACCACAAACCTTAGAGTGATCGGACCTGTTATTCCCCAGTTCCCCACAAGGTGTGTGTTATTCCCAGCCCACATGAAGTTTAGTTTCCCTTTAATTTTCTTGATTAAACTTTGTAAGAAAACCGGATTCATTCATCACACCGCCCTGTTGGAATTCCCATTCGTGACCACCTTTTCTGCGACTGGGTTCCGTGTAAGCGCAAACGGGCATAGCTGAAAGAATTGTCAACTCGTGTTATATACCATATATATTCCATCTTCCCGAGGCAAGAGAGTTAACTGACTTTAAAAGTCCAGTTTCCACCCTGGTCGAACTAGGCTGGAATTCCTGGGCTCGATCGTTGCGCCACCAGTGGCTATTACGAGTTATGTCCTTTCTATGCCTCTCCTATTGACCAATCAGATTCAACCTCTCATATCACTTACATTTGCTTCAAACAAAACGGTGGCGCCCAGTCAAGACGATCTGATCGATAATCAAGACCTATATTGTGATAAAACGAGTCTTACATCGCGAAGTGCATCAAATCACGTGAGCACCTTGATTAAAAACATGAAAAGAATTAGAAAATATCTGTTGACAACGAGTTAGCGGTGCACATGCTTTGCAAATCCTGCAGTCGACCGAAATCTGCTTGACACTTTACGATCCGGATTTCGATTTCGGTGCGCGATTTTGATTGGACTATGCATAGTCTCGTTAGTCCAGCCAAAATGTAACTCCATAATACCAGCCTAGTTCGGCAAGGGTGGAAACTGGACTTTTATAGTCAGTTAACTCACTTGCCTCGGGAAGATGTATATATTCCAGATGCTATTGAAAACAAATCGGGACTTACAGTATTATAAAGTATGACCGAACACATTTACCTGTATCTTGGGTATATTCTAAATGCAAGATATATGGGAAATCTAAAAAAAAAATTCCTGAGGGATTCTTTGACCGAGTGACTTCAAATCATTCGCGCATTCTGATTGGCTTGTCGTATGTTCGCACATTACATTCATCGACCGGGGAACGAGTCTTCTTGCAGGCTGGGACCCGTGAACATCCGGGGTAGAAGAGTGAGTGAGTGAGTGAGTTATTATTTAACGTCACATGGGCAATATTTCAGCCATATCGTGACGAGAACTGACATAAAATACATATATTCGAATGGAATAAATATCTGACACGGGGTAGAAGAGGTGTTCAGCAACCCATGCTTTCTGTAAAAGGCGACTATGCTTGTCGTAAGAGGCGACTAACGGGATGGGGTGGTCAGGCTCGCTGACTTGGTTGATGCATGCCATCGACCCCAAATGCGTGGATCGATGCTCATGATATAAATCACTGGATTGTTTGGTCCAGACTCGATTATGTACACAGACCACCGCCATATAGCTGGAATATTGCTGAGTGCGGCGTTAAACAACAAACAAACAAGCAAACAAATCTTGCAGGTTGGATTCGAATGTTGCCGTGGAGGAGTCGTCGGTAACAGTCCGGGTTTGTTCAAGTATGTTTCCAGTCAGCAAGCACCTGCCCCGCGATGAAGACGAAGTGTAATTCTCCCTAATATTAAAACGAGAGTTGGGGAATCAGCTCGCTTGGCAGAGGAACCATTATAAACGACCAACCCACACAACAACACAAGACCTGAGTGAATAAATAGTCAGTTATTAGACTGCCACAGAATCTTATATACAATCAGTCAATTAGAAATGTTTACAATCAATTATTAGGGAAATTTTACAATCAGTAATAGAAGTACATATATGTGAAGAACATTAGATGAACATGATATAGAATCATTACACAAGATACATACTATATTAGTTAAGATACACATTTCAGGGTACACGACGTAATACAACAGTTTACATATGATTGAATATTGTATACCCGACACACACTAACTAATACACTACCCGGGTGGGAATTCACACAAGATACATTCAGTTCAGCCACAATACATATTCCAAACGGTAATCGATGTCATACAATTAACAGAATTGGCATTATCTATACACAGACGTAGTACAATGGGATACACAGGTACAGAATTGGCATTATCTATACACAGAAGTAGTACAATGGGATACACAGGTACAGAATTGGCATTATCTATACACAGAAGTAGTACAATGGGATACACAGGTACAGAATTGGCATTATCTATACACAGAAGTAGTACAATGGGATACACAGGTACAGAATTGGCATTATCTATACACAGAAGTAGAACAATGGGATACACAGGTACAGAATTGGCATTATCTATACACAGACGTAGTACAATGGGATACACAGGTACAGAATTGGCATTATCTATACACAGTAGTACAATGGGATACACAGGTACAGAATTGGCATTATCTATACACAGAAGTAGTACAATGGGATACACAGGTACAGAATTGGCATTATCTATACACAGACGTAGTACTATGGGATACACAGGTACAGAATTGGCATTATCTATACACAGACGTAGTACAATGGGATACACAGGTACAGAATTGGCATTATCTATACACAGAAGTAGAACAATGGGATACACAGGTACAGAATTGGCATTATCTATACACAGAAGTAGTACAATTGGATACACAGGTACAGAATTGGCATTATCTATACACAGACGTAGTACAATTGGATACACAGGTACAGAATTGGCATTATCTATACACAGACGTAGTACAATGGGATACACAGGTATGACTGTTAGAGTTACCAAACAGACTTGCAGGTATTGCCAAGGGTAATAGCATAAAGTTAAGATTTAACAGTACAATATAGCAACGTTTATTACGCTGTGAATAAACAGTCAGTTTATTAGACAGCCACAGAATGATTTGTGACTATCTGTCGTCCGTATTTATACCTATTCTAGCTACTACAGATAATCTAATTTACTGATTAAAGTTGTTATTGCGAACTTTAGTGGCGCTATCAAGACATACACTCTTCAAAAAAAGAAACGCACAGGTAGTATGTAGTTCATTGAACCTGACTACACAAAACATCCGGTATATAAATTGGATATATGTTATTGGAAAATGGATATTCGATAAACGGTGCGTAAAAACGCAGCCATTGTCGATTTGCAATGTCTGAAACGGCATTGTTTTCACACTTTTCCAAAAATGTCATAGAGGAAAACAGTAATGCAAAATGCACGTGCAAGTTATGGCATTCATAACTCGTGGTAGTGGTTATAAAAAGGCAAGCATAAGCCAATAATTTCATTAATTTGTCATTCAATTGACAACATCTTTCAAGTTCGAAAATGCCGAGACTCAGCGCTGCCGATCGGAATATCGCCATTGGACGTATCCAAAGAGGGGAATCGCAGTCTTCTGTGGCACGCCACTTCAACGTCCACCACAGTACCATTTACCGCCTTTGAGACCGATACACACAGTTCAATTCCACTGCAGACCGACCGACCAAGAGTTACCACCCCTGCACAGGATCGCTACATTCGACTGTTCCTCCTACGTCATCGTTATGCCACAGTTACGGAGACTGCAGGACGCATCCCTGGTTTGAGGAGGATTTCGGACCAGGCTGTCAGCAACCATCTTATTGAGGTTGGAATCCGAACTAGAAGACCAGTTATCGTCCCTGTTTTGCATTTGCAACAGATCCATCGACAGCGACGCTTGCGTTGGTGCCATACCTTACAGCCTTGGAATTTGAGAAACTGGAGACGAGGGTGGTTTAGCGATGAATCACGATTTCTTCTTCACCGGCGAGATGGAAGACAACGTGTTTATCGTCGGCGAAATGAGCGTTTTTCCCCACATTGTATACGTGTATTCGACTATTTCGGTGGCGGTAATGTCATGGTGTGGGGGGCCATATCCTACATCATGAGATCTGACTTGGTTGTGGATCAGGGAAATTTGACAGCAAATCGCTACATGAATCACATTCTTCAACCTCACCTTCTGCCAAACATTGACCACCAGAGGGAGCTGTTTCAACAGGACAACGCTCCATCGCACACAGCTCGTGTCACGGTAGGCTACCTTCATAATGCCAACATCAACGCCTTGCCCTGGCCGTCGAGATCTCCAGATCTCAACCCAATGGAACACCTCTTGGATGAACTCGATCGACGTGTACGTCAACGTCAGAACACGCCGCAGACACTCCAACAACTGGCCAACGCGTTACAAACAGAATGGCGCACAATTCCGCAGGACAGAATTCGTACACTTATCCTCTCAGTGCCGAGGAGATGCAGAGCCGTGATTGCTGCTCGGGGCGGTCACACGAGATACAGAGTTCAGCGCAACCTTGTGGCCTTATGTGACATGATAATAAACAGTTTTCAATGCCTTTGTACGACAACATCTGGCTCCAAAATTTCATATTTGTATCTATGATATTAAATTAAATATATCGACGTTATTAGGTACAATAAATTTACTAAAAATCAACCTGTGCGTTTCATTTTTTGAAGAGAGTAATTATATAATTAGTTTGACCGAGGTATTGATGATAAAGGTGTTTCTGAGTGTCTTACAAATATGTGATAAATCATGTGTAAAGAAGATATTGAATAACTGAAAAACGAAACGAAAATGTACAGAAAACCATCTTAAATGGTAAATAGTTTTCACCGCGGTGTAAATAATATTTACACCGAGGTGAAAATAGTTTTCTGTATTTTCATTTTAGTTTTTGACATTTTCGTTTTGTGTTTTTGACATTTTCATTTTAGTTTTTGACATTTTCGTTTCGTTTTTCAGCGATTCAGTATCTTCTTTACACATGATTTATCACATATTTGTAAGACAAATCGTGTTAATTTGCAAAAGGTTACGATAAATGTAAGTGAAATATCAAAATATTGAAAAACAGACTCCGTGTCCCTTATGGGCCACCGTATTAAACAGATGTACGAATATCATGATAAAATGGGCACTGTAAAAGAAAATGGGCTTCATCTTCAACACAATTAAGATTACAAAATTTACAAATGCGTTCTGCAGCGGGGATTGGTGGGTTAAAATATCTGCCCATTTCTATTGCTAGTTTAAGTGTGCCACATCTAAATGAAGCTAAAATACTACGTTTGTAACGTGGGAGATTAACATAACATTCAGTAGATAAACAAATCTTAAAACGCCTGTAAGTTCTAAGTTTTGGCATTGATTGAATACGCTGATACCAGCTATTAAAATCTACCTCCTTGAGATGTGCAGATACTTTATGTACAGTAAACTACGGTTATAACGAACGCGCTTATAGCGAACTGACGGATATAACGAACTTACTTTTTGGTCCCGACTACGAACTCAAAGTTGACATGCTGTATATGTACTTACAATGAACTACGGTTATAACGAACTCAAATTGGTAGTCCCTTTGAGTTCGTTATAACCGTAGTTAACTGTACAATACACCCAGGTGAATAACATTATACTTTTTACCATTTATACACAGCCTCCACTTAAATATCCACTTGTGTAAGATATCTAACAAGTGCTGAAGTCTTGCCGCATCTGGCGCTAACAAAACAATATCATCTGCATACAAAAGAACGGTGACATTCATATAATCAATCTGAATCCCACAATTGGATCTATTCAACTCCAGTGCCAAATCGTTTATGTAAACAGCAAATAACGTAGATGAGAGTACACAGCCTTGTTTGACTCCTAAATCAACCCGAAACATATTTGTCTGATAATTATTAACTTGTACAGAACATAAGACATTGTCATATACAGATCTGATTGCAGACAAGGCGGTCGGGTAGCCTAGTGGTTAAAGCGTTCGCTTGTCACGCTGAAGACCCGGGTTCGATTCCCGACATGGGTACAATGTGTGAAGCCCATTTCTGGTGTCCCCCGCCCTGATATTGCTGGCATATTGCTAAAAGCGGCGTAAAACCGTACTCACTCAATTAGATGGTATGGACAGAATAGTATTAGGTCGATAACTAAGAGGGTCACGGGGGTCACTGTCCTTCGAAGACTTAGGTATAGGCTTGATCGTTCCTCGATTCCAAACATCTGGGACTTTACCACTCTGAAAACTGTTGGAAATAAGTCTGTACAACAGTTCGACACACACTTCATAGCTGATAGTATGTTGTCTTAGCCGGCTGCCTTACCAAGCTTCGCTCTATCAATGGCGAGATGGACTTCATCCTTAGTGATTGGGCTGTTTAAAAAATCTGATCTGTAAGTTTAGAGTTGCAAGCTCTTCAAGCTTATCTTTTACACATCTGAGATGTCCATCATCAAACACACCAGCTGTATCTTCATTATTACTGTACAGTTGCTGATAATCTTTTTCCCAGCGCTCAAGGACCTGGTCTTTGTCGGTACACACATTACCGTCGTTGTTGACCACTTCCATTGGAATAAAAGTCTTCCTATTACTAGCCCCAGTTCCTTCCACAAGTCACGTGTATTATCACATAACATACTACTCAAATTGTCTTTCTTCTGAAGCTGAAATTATCGCTTTGCTTGTCGTAAAACTTTGTTAAAACGTTTACGTTGTTAAAAAAATTCGTGTTTTAGTTTCGCTTTCAATGGTGTAGAACCCTTGAACTTCAGCCAAGTCTTTTCTTTTCTTTAAGTTTTCATTAGGTATGTCGGAGTGCGAGACTGTCGGATTAACGGGTCTAAATAGCACTGATTTATCGATTCCCATCATTAGTGTCGGTTAAAGCCGATTGTCGGATTAACGAGACTTGACTGTAATCAGGTTTCTGTTCGTAATCAAATGGAAATCATACAGGGAAGTACGTGCGAAATGAAACAGTCATCCTTTCACTTTCACCCGCTATTATGAATCTGTTGTGCTTGTATTAGCATGTGTTAACTGGACCACGTGCTACATTTCCAAGAGTGAACATTCACAAGGGCTTGATATGCCCTCCTTTGTCGGCATAATCAATGCAGGGCCTGGGACACGAGTTGACTGGAGGAAAAAAAACTGAGAATGCCTTCTGCCTTTGAAAAGGTAGCTCTTCAATGATTGAAAAACGAACTCTATATGACATTTGTGTCTTTTCAATTGCATTTGAAATGTTTTGTCCTGTGTGAATGGCGTCCTTCCATTTGACCTCCACTTGTTAGACGTTATAGTCATGGTTGATTGATTATTCTGCCCACATGTGCTACCAAGCTACGATTCAAGGAGAAATCCCTTTTTTCACCCATTTGTCAGACAGTAAAAAGAATACTACAAACTGTTCCTCATATGTTTATTAACAGCACTAGAATTTCAAATGACACGGGTCATAATTTATAACAATGCAGACAATACAAAGATATGAATATTTTATATAATATCCTGCCTACAAGGGTTTTTATATCAAATCAATGTTTTCTCATTTCACATAACAAACGTTTTATCTGCAGTAAACTACGGTTAAAACGAACTCAAAGGGACTGCTAGTTTTAGTTCGTTATAACCGTAGTTCGTTATAAGCATATATACAAAATATATACAGCAATGGCCGGGACCAAAAAATAAATTCGTTATATCCGTCAGTTCGTTATAAGCGTGTTCGTTATAACCGTAGTTTACTGTATATGTAGTCCAATGCCGCGTATATAAAGCCTCTCAGTAGATGTTATGGGGTTGATAATTTTTTCAGTTGTTGGATGATCTTTCTTTGACAAGTGTCCCCTTATCATCCTCACCTGGTGTCATCTCTACAAACTTCTTATTTGTCTTCAGATATAATTTGCAGTATCTCTCATCCTGAGGAATATTATTGTGTTTCCAATCTCAACATGTAATCTTAACTTATTTCACCTAAATTTAGATAAATGCCACTTATTCTAGCTATATGGCGGCGGTCTGTAAATATCTGGACCAGACAATCCAATGATTGACATCATGAGAATCGATCTACGTAATTAGCAAACGATGACAAGCATTAACCAAGTCAGCGAGCTTTACCACCCAATCGCCTTTTACGGCAAGCATTGGTACATTTATATGCCATCTTGTTGTAATTTGTATAAATTTAGGAGGACAATGTAACCCACGCACCGCAGTTGGTCGCCCCTTTGGGTATAATGAAGTGAACACAAGTTTAATCGAGTTTTGACTGGACTGACAAGAGAAATAAGTGAACTGAGTTCAATGTCATTAATGATTCACACAGTTGTGTTCTACAAGTTTGGCGTTTAGAATTCGTCTTCGTGTCATTATGGCTAATGGTCAGCTTAAACGTTCGTTTTATTTCGAAAAGACGCAGTTGTCGTAACGACATGTTTGAATGGTACAAGCACCGTATGAAGAATAGGCGCACTAACAGTAACCGCTGGTCTTGCTGCGCGTGTACATAAATGAAAAATAGACGTCTATCCTTGTTAAATATTAACTTGAAACATGCTTCATGTTGCCCTGACACGACCCCCTGCTTGTGACGACAGTTACGTGGGTGGGCGACCGTGACGTCCCGGGGACACCAGATGTATTATCTGCTCGCGCAGTCAGTCACACGCGAGGTGGTGTCTCAAGTCTCGTTCGGGTTGCTTGTGGACATAGACAGGCGCGAGCGTGTACTGTTACACAATCTTGTATTATAGGACATCTACTGTCTGAATGTACACCTGTTGATGTCACTGCCTTTAGAATGGTGTCGTATTTACGTAAGTATGTATACACAGTTTTGTTTCTGGCTAAATGGCTACTCTTCAGTTCAAACCACTATATGCTCATTCAAAGCATTACAGATGACGCTACACGTTAGTTCATTACCCTGCAAACAACCATGAGCTGGAACTACATAGGATGTACTTGGTGTTCATGTGTCCATTATACAAATGTATACAATATAATTTCTGGATCCATTCACTCCAGACCCAATGACTGGCAATAAATCAGTAAACAATATTGATTCCTTGTCATATTTTCCTGCTTGCCTTGCCAGCGTTACCTCCCCTGTACTAAGTGTATCGAAGCGTATAACACTATCACATGTCCCTGCTGGTTTGAACGCCATGTCGACTGTGTTACTATGTACTGTGCAGTAGGGCTGGGACGGGTACCTGGGTCGGGTGGGTACTGAGTAGGACCCGGGTACCCACAGGACTACCCTGAACCGTGGTTAGTCACGTGATATATTGTTTAATGACAAAAAGTATCTAGAACTCTATGGTTACCCTACAAGTCACTAATGTTTGCATTTCTTTCTGGCTGTGCACCCATTCCCTGAGTTTTCATATGGTTGAATAAAGATATAACTTGATCCAGCTTCAATGTATGCATGACCAGATTGTTTAATACGTGTATCTAAATACGTTTTGCCAGGGCTATGGTAAAAAAATGCCCAATGGGACATTTCGTGCGTATCTCTTGAGACCGACAGTGGGTACTCGGGTAGGGTAAGTTAAAACACATCTGTGACGTCATTCTATTATTTGAACGCTCCATTATTTTTAAGGAATGGAGAGTTACTCGGACATTCCCCTCTACGTAATAGGGGTTAGGGTACCCGGGTAGTAAATTCGGATTCGTCGCAGTCCTACTGTGCAGACACTCGGTCACCTTTGTATTACAACCCCTGTCGTCTAATTCTTAGAGCTTCACCATGCCCGGGTTGCCTGACCATGCATGAGTGGTTTTCTCCATGGCTCGGTGCGACCCCCGTCGTCACTGACGTGTTTTACCTGTTGGGAGAGACAATCAATGGCATAGGGGAGTTTGGATTGGGACAACGTTAGATAGTTCTGCAATAAAGAGATTAATAGGAGTTTCATTTTTTCAAGTACTTAGTACTGGGATATGATTGTTTAATTATTTTTTTTAAATTGAAAAAATGTAAGTGAACTAAGATAGTTTGACAGTATAGAGATTAGCGTATAACAGATTCAGGTGAGGTGAAATGGGGTTTAACGTCGCGTCCAAGATTATTGCACTTATATAGCGACGTGCATGCACGTGTATGTGTGTGTGGCTGCTTGTACTAGTCCGGACTGATGCCGATTTATAGTGCTAGCTCACTGAGATACCATGCCGCAGTTTAACATGAATACCCCACTCAGACACAGTATACTGACTCCGAGCCGACCAATCCTCGTTTTAGCCCCTTAATGCCGAGCGCAAGACAGGGTAACAACAAGTACCATCTTTTAACGTCTTTTGGTATGACGCGGCTAGGGATCGAACCCCGGACCTTCCGCTCTCCGGGCGGACGCTTTACCATAAGACCACGAAGGCGGTCTATAACAGATTCAAGCACTTAGTAATGAGATAAAATAATTACAGGGTTTTTTTTCAATTAAGAACTGTAAGTGAATTAATTAACTAAATGCGCGGAGTGGTATAGTTGGGTACATGTGCTCCATGAACAGAGACAAGAATGGCTCTGTGTACTGGAGGCGCACAGATAGAACACGCAAGGGGGACACTGTTTGTTGGTTGTTTGTTGTTAAACGCCGCACTCAGCAATATCCCAGCTGTATGACGGCGGTCTGTAAATAATCGAGTCTGGGCCCGATAATCTAGTGATAGACATCATGAGCATCGATCCACGCAATTGGGATACAATGACATACATCAACCAAGTCAGCGAGCCTGACCGCCCAATCCCGTTAGTCTCCTCTTACGACAAGCACAGTCACCTTTTATGGCAAGCATGAGTTGCTGAAGACCTATTCTTCCCCGGATCTTCCCGGTCTGCAAGGGGATGCTGCAGACTGTGTGAATGATTTGCCGGACTCCCTACTTTTGAAAACCAAATGTAGTATGTTGTGCGCGGTACAATTATCTGAGAGAGAATTTTGATATTTTTTACCCCTCCCTTTTGAAAATGTTGCCAAGAGACTTTCTTCATTTTCGGTCTGATACTGCGGTAATCTAGACTTGCCAAATATTATAGACTTGCATGGGCTTTATTGGATATATTTGTTTCAGGGTCTGCAAGACAGACTATATAACTCTCATGGTTTACAGCAGTATATGCTGCGAGTGTTAGGTTTCGTGTTAGCCACAAGTCAGTGATAACCGGGTTATCTACCACGTACACAGGCGATCTCTGTCTATCTCAACTGGTTACAATGTCACAGAGTACTTGTCATAAGAGCATGGAGATATGACACGTTGGGTAATCGGACTGTGTGGCTACTTCAAGAAACAACACCTGCCATACAAAGTTGTGTGAGAGTAGTGTCAGCTTACTTCTACAAATCTACTACTGCTGCTGCTTCTGCTGCTCCTCCTCCTCCTACTACTACTAGACCCGTGAAGATTCGGATAAGAACTGATCTTCAGCAACCCATGCTTGTGGTAAGAGGCGACAAACGGGATTGGGTGGTCAGGCTTGCTGACTTGGTTGATACATGTCATTGTATCACAATTGCGTAGATCGATGATCATGGTGTCTGGTCTAGACTCGATTATTTACAGACCGCCTTCGTATAGCTGGAATATTGCTGGAATTTGGTAATCAAACATTTTCGAGAACGGATTAATAAAAAAGAGAGACTACAACCACCACCACTACCCCACACCCACATTTAACTCACATTACCACCACACAACACCACACCACGCCACGTCACCTCACCCCATCCCACACCACACCACACCACACCACACCACACCACACCACACCACACCCACCTCCGTGGTCTAATAGGTGTGCGCCCGGAGAGCCGATAAACGGTGGTTCGATCCCGGCCGTGTCATTCCCAAAGACGTTAAAAGATGGTACTTGTTGTTACCCTGTCTGGCGCTCGGCATTAAGGGGCTAAAACAAGGACTGGTCGGCGCGGAGTCAGTATACTGTGTCTGAGTGGGGTATTCATGTTAAACTGCGTCATTGTGTTTCAGTGGGCTCGCACTATAAAGCTATCATCAGTCAGGAAGTGTACTCACAATCGTTGATATTTGACAGGAAACATTGCATTTGGGTCACCCTTATCTTAACCCTCAAATAGGACGACTGGTTGTCATGGTAATAGAAACTGTCTCGGGGACTGATAGTGTTACGTATGAATTTCTAGCTAAATGTTTCTGTCAAGTGGCCTCATTTGTATGTTTCTGGGATCGGGATAGTTAATTACATTTATCGGTGTGGTTTGTCGCATTGATAGTACTATCCATTATATGAACACGTACTGTTGTTTCTTGCAGCCATGTTCAAAGTTACCGCTGGAAGACATCGGTCGAAGCTGAAGTCGTGTATCTACTGCTTTGCTATCATCCTCATCACCAACGTCGTCTTGCTGTCGTCGCTGTCACGGCTACTCACGCCGACAACGGAGATGTGGTTACCAAAACTTCGTAAGAACGCTACACGGAAACACGGGACCTTTGTGCAGAAATTCCCCAATAAAAGAACCAACTTGAACAGAACATTACAAATCTTGCTCTGGACGCCATGGTTTGGTGATGCATCCTGGGTAACAAATTTCGAGTCCGCATTTTCGCCCTGCCCTGTGTCTGACTGTGTGTTGACCAGCGATAAGTCGGCCATAGCTGACAGTCACGCTGTCGTATTTCATGCGATGGATTTACTGAATTATTTCTTAGGATATCCCATGCCTGAATATCGCAGAAACGACCAAGTGTGGGTTTTGTACAATATCGAACCACCTCCTAACATCGCCACGGACTTCCGGTCGTACGGAGGAGTGTTCAACTGGACGTCATCGTACAGGACAGAGAGTGACATACGGCTGCCTTATTTCAGCATAGAGAAGCTGCCCCAGAAAACAAGCAATGTCAAGGACATTGCAGCCACGAAGACAGCGGGGGTCTTCTGGGTGGCCAGTAACTGCGGCGACCAAGCGAGACGACAGATGGTGGTGAGAGAATTACAAAAACACATCCAAGTAGATACGTATGGGAAATGTGGTGAATATGAATTGACAAACATGGATGACATTAAGCATTATAAATTTTATATGGCTTTAGAAAACTCGTATTGCCGCGACTACATCACTGAAAAGTTTGCAACTCCGCTGAACCACCAGCAGATCCCAATTGTGGTTGGCGGCGGGGATTACCGTAAGGTGGCGCCACCACACTCCTACATTGACATCAGTGATTTCAACACCATTCAGGAGCTGGCAGAATACCTCAAGTATCTGGACAAAAATGACACTGCTTATAACAGTTACTTTGACTGGACCCGAGAATATCGCCTGAGCAGCGCTAATCACATCGAAAATTTATTCTGTAAATTGTGTGAAGCTCTCCATGACGGGACCCGCTCTCATCAGACCTACACCGACATACAGGGATTCATACAGGATGACACGTGCCAAACATGGACGGTAGGTGTTCTATATTGATCGTTGGTGTTCTATTGTGGCTTCTTTATGGATAATAGGTGCTCTACACAGACGGTAGGTGTTCTACACAGGCGGTATGTGTTATACACGGACGGAAGGTGTTATTCATGGTCGGTAGGTGTTCTACAAGGACGGTAGGTGTTCTACACGGACGGTAGGTGTTATACATGGGCGGTAGGTGTTCCACACAGTCGTAGGTATTACAATGGACGGTAGATGTTATACATGGACGGAAGGTGTTATACACGGATGGTAGATGTTATACATGGTCGGTTGGTGTTCTACGTGGACGGTAGGTGTTATACATAGACGGTAGGTGTTATACACGGACGGTAGGTGTTATACCAGGACGGTAGATGTTCTACACAGACGGTAGGTGTTATACAAGGATGGTACGTGTTACAATGGACGGTAGGTGTTATACACGGATGGTAGATGTTATACATGGTCGGTTGGTGTTCTACGTGGACGGTAGGTGTTATACACGGACGGTAGGTGTTATACACGGACGGTAGATGTTCTACACAGACGGTAGGTGTTATACAAGGATGGTAGGTGTTACAATGGACGGTAGGTGTTATACACGGGCGGTAGGTGTTATACATAGACGGTAGGTGTTATACACGGACGGTAGGTGTTATACACGGACGGTAGATGTTCTACACAGACGGTAGGTGTTATACAAGGATGGTAGGTGTTACAATGGACGGTAGGTGTTATACACGGACGGTAGGTGTTATACATAGACGGTAGGTGTTATACACGGACGGTAGGTGTTATACAAGGACGGTAGATGTTCTACACAGACGGTAGGGGTTATACACAGACGGTAGGTGTTATACACGGACGGTAGGTGTTATACATAGACGGTAGGGGTTATACACGGACGGTAGGTGTTATACACGGACGGTAGATGTTCTACACAGACGGTAGATGTTCTACACAGACGGTAGGTGTTATACACGGACGGTAGGTGTTATACACGGACGGTAGATGTTATACACGGACGGTAGATGTTCTACACAGACGGTAGATGTTCTACACAGACGGTAGGTGTTCTACACAGACGGTAGGTGTTATACATGGACGGTAGGTGTTATACACGGACGGTAGGGGTAATACACGGACGGTAGGTGTTATACACGGACGGTAGGTGTTATACACGGACGGGAGGTGTTATACACGGACGGTAGATGTTATACATGGACGGTAGGTGTTATACACGGACGGTAGATGTTATACATGGACGGTAGGTGTTATACACGGACGGTAGGTGTTATACACGGACGGTAGGTGTTATACATGGACGGTAGGTGTTATACACGGACGGTAGGTGTTATACACGGACGGTAGATGTTATACATGGACGGTAGGTGTTATACACGGACGGTAGATGTTATACACGGACGGTAGGTGTTATACACGGACGGTAGGTGTTATACACGGACGGTAGGTGTTCTACATAGACGATAGGTGTTATACACGGACGGTAGGTGTTATACATGGACGGTAGGTGTTATACACGGACGGTAGGTGTTATACACGGACGGTAGGTGTTATACACGGACGGTAGGTGTTATACATGGACGGTAGGTGTTATACACGGACGGTAGGTGTTATACACGGACGGTAGGTGTTATACATGGACGGTAGGTGTTATACACGGACGGTAGGTGTTATACGTGGACGTTAAGTGTTATACACGGACGGTAGGTGTTATACATGGACGGTAGGTGTTATACAAGGACGGTAGGTGTTATACAGATAGGGGAAGGGACATTATCTTGCACCCACAGCTGTCTAGGTAACATCCGCACGGCCATGATTTCTTCCGTTTTCTGAACAATATCGATGGATAGGATGGCCAAAGCTACTTCAAGCGAAATCAGATTATAACTATTTATGGGAAAGTATGGCTACACACATTGTACCCATGTTATCATACCCGTGTGATGAGCGAACACTTTACCCACTAGGCTACCATGCACCCCCCTTATAGATACTAGTAATTCAGTACAAGTAGTAGATACGTAAAACCTGTCACCTAGGATGACAATGTCGAAATCGGAAAATGTGAGTACCGAAAATGAAATTTCCTGTGTGATTATTTTGTTTTCGTCTTGTCCTTTTATACTGATGGACACGCGTACTCTCATTTCGATGAATGTCTTTATTTATCAAAACTAATCACGGCATGCTAGGAACATTTTGTCCATTTGGGGGTTGAATGCGAGCAATATTGGATATTCAGGGGACAGGTTTGTTTCAAGGTCCTCTGGTTCGTAACGCGGGCACGGGTGGCCCAGTCGTCTAAAGCGCTCTGCAGAGTTGCGTCCTTTGGGCACGCCAGAAACCTATATGATTGTGGGTTCGAATGCCGGTTCGCCCCTATTATGTTTCTAGGTTTGTCAGCACCATATCCGTGCTCGTGGGTTTCACCGAATTGGTAAACGTCTAAGACTTTCCTCCCACATTAAGCTGACACGCCGTGATATAACTGGAATACTGTTAAAAGCGGCGTTAAACCCAACTCACTCACAGATTTCATTGACCTCTGCACTACTTTCTCTCCCACAGCTATCGGGATTCTTGTACCAACATATCCAGGGTTACGGCATTAAACTGGGCCTGATATGACATGCCGATGTCGCTTTGAGCGGCGGGAGTTCGTCTACAAAACGTGACTGGAGTCCCGTCTACTGAAATGAGGGGACAGGCGTAGGCCCAATCTCCTTCCCAGAGTTCCATGCGGCCGGAGTTGTCGAATTCTGTGACGTGACGACTCTAAACAGCATTTCTTGGTCCTCGGTAGCAAATAAATACAAAACAGAGGACATTGTGAGGTTTATTAGAGGAAGTTGGTTGGTTGGTTTGTTGTTTAACGCCGCACTCTCCAATATTCCAGCTATATGACGGCGGTCAGTAAATAATCGAGTCTGGATCAGACAATCCAGTGATTGACATCATGAGCATCGATCCACGCAATTTGCATACGATGACATGCTTCAACCAAGTCAGCGAGCCTGACCACCACATCCCGTTGGTCGCCGCTTACGAGAAACAGTCGCCTTTTACGGCAAGCATGGGTTGCTGAAGACCTATTCTACCCCGGATCTTCACGGGTCTAGGGGAAGTAAAATTGCTCTCGTCAAAATTAACATCCGCTGAGCAGTTTGTTAAGAGTATAAATCGCCCAAAACACACTTTTCATGTCGTCATGTTTAGATTCGTAAATATAAGTGCTACGCATGCGCATCTATAACAGGATGTGGTTGTGCGCTATTGATACGCTGAAAAATCACCGCTACATCACCTGTAATACCACAGACATATGTAGGTACTACCCAGGTACTAGTATCTGCGGTTTTATTTGTTCCCCGACCAGTGGATCCGTTTGCGTTCCAGTCAACTCAATCTCAACATCATTGGTTTGCCTGGTCCATGCTCAAATATTTACAGACCACTGATCTATGGATGACTGCGGCATTAAACTACATCCACTCACTCACAGTGTTTTGGCATTTCGTATTGTATTCTTCAACATGATTAACCCTGTGCGTACATAATGCGAAACCATTGCTTGTAAGTTGGTTGTTGGTTGGTCAGCAATATTCCAGCGATATGACGGAGGTCAGTATATAATCGAGTCTGGACCAGAGGTCAGTATATAATCGAGTCTGGACCAGACAATCCAGTGATTAATATCATGAGCATCGATCCACGCAGTTGGGATCGATGACATGCATCAACTAAGTCAGCGGGCCTGACCAATCGATCCCGTTTGTCGCCTCTTACGCCAGGCATAGTCGCCTTAGAGGCATGGGTTGCATTGCTTGTAAGAGTCGACTGACATGAATATATTGCAAGTAACAGTGTGGCATTGGAAGACTAACCAAGGAATCTTGTTTGCGTTTAAAGTTTGCATCAACCGAAAAATAAGCCACGCCCACTAACGGACTACTGTTTCCGGATTGGCTGATAATAGATTGGGCGGGGCTTGAGTTGCATTATTACGCTGATACTGATTTCATATTGTCTAAATTGTGTGTGTTAATGATTGAATAAGCAGTGTGTGACTGAATACGCACCTCTGTAAACGAAAACAATATATATTTTTTTTAATTCATATATACCAAACATCCCAAAAATAAAAAAAAGTAAATAAAGTGTGGGTTTGGGGTTGTTTTTTACACCACAAAGAAGACAACTACAAAGACAAAAACATTCACTCACACACTCACGTAGTCATACAGAACTTGAAACAAATATATCCAATACAGCCCATGCAAATCTATAATAGTTGGCAAGTCTAGATAACTGCAGGTTCAGAGTCTCTGGACTCCTTTTTATTATATTTTATTAAGATAATTTAACTGCTGACTCTCAGCAGAGTCCTTTGAAGATGTTTTGTCTGAAAATATTTTTTTACAATTCAAATAAATTAATAAAAAAAATCGTGCATTCAGAAAGAAATGGTTTGAAAAAGGGTATTTTTCAAATGTTTGACATAGTTTATGATTCTGGAGACTTTCTTACTCTTACAGAATTTAACAATATGTGTAATTTGAATGCATGTTTTATGAACAAAAACAGTAATGAAGTCTTTTCTTTTAAATGGATCGGGAAACTTGGTGACGTAGCTGATGGCGTACCCCAACTACGAGGGGCATTGCTCATAATATTAACCACTTGTTTCCCTGTCCCTTGCAGACTCATATATTTACAGGCTGTCGGCACATATAACTGACATATACATCGCTGACTTCTGTTTTTTAGTACCTAGATTAATAACATGAAAAGATTTGCAAAATATCTGTTGACGCCCCGTTGACAGTACCAATGCTTTGCAAATCCTGCAGTCGCCTGAAATCTGCATGTTGAAATCCATGTTGTTTAAGAACGGGATGTCTAGTTGGTTACACAATTTTGATTTGACTATGCATAGATTTGTTAGTCCAGCCAACTAGGGAATTCCAGCCTAGTTAGGGAAGGGTGGAAACTGAAATTTTATAGTCAGTTAACTCCCATGGAAGATGTATTAAAACAAGTCCATCATGGGAATCCAACGACAACAGTGCTCAGACAATCTTGTCTATTGAGAAGGAACTAAGGCAACTAAGGACAGAGTAATCGAGCCAATTGGTTCTTATGCCGCTTTTATGAATATTCCAACAATATCTTGGCAGGGTCAACAGAAACAGGCTTCACATTATGCACCCATGGGGAGAAACAAACAGGCCTTTAGCGTGACAAACGAACACTTTAACCACTTGGCTACCCCACAATCCGGACAGCAAGGAACTTGGAGAAGGAGAGCGTGGCTATTTAAATTAATTTATAGAAATAATTCATTCAACAAAACACATCTAAAAGTAAAATAATTTATTGTGTTGAGACGTAGAAAGATGATGTGTTCACATCAAAGACAGCTGTGCTCGTCTCACAAAATGGAGGCTGTCTCGCACCCGAACGTTCATCCATCAGGTGTCAAAACGTTTAAACACCAGACTTCATCTATGGGCCAAGACAGCCACCAGATGGCTCGACACGCACAAATAGAATCAGCATGAAGCACAAGGTAAATCATAGAAAATTCCAAGATATACTAATTCTACAAATTCTAGGAAATGACATCCCTGATACCATTTGAAAATCAGATGCAACACAGATTGAGCAAAATAGGAAATTATTTTCATGTTTCGAAATTATGAAACTTAAATCACATTTTCACAATTGCATGGAGGGCAGTGTCAGGTCTTCAATGGGAAACAAGAACATCAATAAATATAGGAAACAACCTAATAAATATTACTTGACAACGTGATCGCTTTACATTTTCTGAAATATATGTTCATTGAATATTACTATCCAACGCCATGGAGCTCAGTGACTAGGTTCAGTGACTAGCTTCACTCTGTTTATTCACTGACAAATCCGTAAACTTAAACTCAGGTTTGTCAAACGTTTATAAAAATATCATTTTCTAAATATTTTTCCATATTTGCTCAGAATCACAACAAAATTAATCCCTCTGAAAAGCTATGTACCCTCAAAGGCTGACCCAAGAAGTGTTGAAATATGAAACAGACCATAGAAGCATCCTACCTGTGACCAATCTTTTTTCTCAGAAAAGTTCATTCTAGCAACATGTTTTTGGAACTTCAAAACATCAAACTTTTGCAAAGAAATACAATGAATTTATCACTCAGAGAAGTAATCAAAACTATCTCACACCACTGAACAGTTGAAGAATAAATATTTCGATGTTAAAACTATATATATCAAATATATGTGGCGTGTTATCAAAGGGAGATAACTATATATTCTCATAAAATATAGAAATGATTAGCAAAATATATCAAACTATTCCATATGAAATATTCCAATCCAGATTAAACTGAATTCACAGATGCAGTGGGATACACATTTGTTTTTGTTTTTTCACTTATTTTTGTCAAGTTGATCTAAAGATCTTCAATTTCTAAGCTTACACATTTCAAACTGAACTTGGTCGACACAAATGTGATTCTTGTGAAATTACATCTCATGTAAACTAAATAAGTGGTTTCACATTTTACACATTACCACGACAACACCCATAAATACTCTTACATTCACGCTAGGAACAAATATTGCATATAAATTTGCTCTTGGAGTAGTAGGTATCGATGAAATAACTTGGACCAATATTTTAAATCGATCTAAATCTATCTACCATTGTAAAAAGACATTTGAATATATTCCCTGGACTGACATTTATCAGAAATAGTCTTGTTTTAATTTCACAAAATTTAAATTAAATCATATTTAAAAGGTCAAAATCAAATAAATGTCATCTCTTTCTCCAAGTAGATCAGCACTAGTAGTGTTGTAATTCTTGCACAAAAACACAGACTCTGCATATGTGGTATTGCAGTTGTTTTTTAAAACGGAGTTCAAGTAGCACAGCCCCACACCTGCTCCTCAAGGTAAACTAATTATTACTTAGACATGTTAAAGTTCATCCTTCGAGTTTTCTTCATTATTTTTCTTTATACTTTCCAACAATGCTTCATCTTCATCCTTTTGCTTCTGTGCTGCTTCCTGCCATTTCTGTAAATCTTCGTCAATCTGCGATTCTGTTTTTTCTTTGTATGGACCATCCTGATGATCAGCAGGAACATACTCTTCTGCATCATTTTTCTTAAAAAATCCCTTTCGTAACAAAAGTTTTGTGCACTCATTCTGAATTAAAGGACTCAGGTCATGTTTCTGAAAAAAAGCAGCAAAAGATTTGAACACATGATCACAAATATTGTACCCTCCATTTTATCAAGGAGTGAGTTGGGTTTAACACTGCTTCTAACAGTATTCCAGTTATATCACGAAGTGTCAGGTTAATGTGGGAGGAAAGCCTGAAGTGATGCAGGTCAAAGACGTGTACCAGATCCAGCCTCCACACCCGACCCAGCCTCCACACCCTCCACACCGGACCCAGCCTCCACACCCTCACCAGACCCAGCCACCACACCCTAATCACCAGACCCACCCTCCACACACCCCACACCGGACCCAGCCTCCACACCAGACCCAGCCTCCACACCCTCATCACCAGACCCAGCCTCCACACCCTCATCACCAGACCCAGCTTCCACACCCTCACACCAGACCCAGCCTCCACACCCTCATCACCAGACCCAGCCTCCACACCCTCATCACCAGACCCAGCCTCCACACCCTCATCACCAGACCCAGCCTCCACACCAGACCCAGCCTCCACACCCTCATCACCAGACCCAGCCTCCACACCAGACCCAGCCTCCACACCCTCCACACCCTCATCACCGGACCCAGCCTCCACACCCTCATCACCAGACCCAGCCTCCACACCCTCCACACCAGACCCAGCCTCCACACCCTCATCACCAGACCCTGCCTCCACACCCTCCACACCAGACCCAGCCTCCACACCAGACCCAGCCTCCACACCCTCATCACCAGACCCAGCCTCCACACCCTCATCACCAGACCCAGCCTCCACACCAGACCCAGCCTCCACACCCTCATCACCAGACCCAGCCTCCACACCAGACCCAGCCTCCACACCCTCCACACCCTCATCACCGGACCCAGCCTCCACACCCTCATCACCAGACCCAGCCTCCACACCCTCCACACCAGACCCAGCCTCCACACCCTCATCACCAGACCCAGCCTCCACACCCTCCACACCCTCATCACCAGACCCAGCCTCCACACCCTCCACACCAGACCCAGCCTCCACACCCTCATCACCAGACCCTGTCTCCACACCCTCATCACCAGACCCAGCCTCCACACCCTCATCACCAGACCCAGCCTCCACACCAGACCCAGCCTCCACACCCTCATCACCAGACCCAGCTTCCACACCCTCATCACCAGACCCTGCCTCCACACCCTCATCACCAGACCCAGCCTCCACACCCTCCACACCCTCATCACCGGACCCAGCCTCCACACCCTCCACACCCTCATCACCAGACCCAGCCTCCACACCAGACCCAGCCTCCACACCAGACCCAGCCTCCACACCCTCATCACCAGACCCAGCCTCCACACCCTCATCACCAGACCCAGCCTCCACACCAGACCCAGCCTCCACACCCTCATCACCAGACCCAGCTTCCACACACTCACACCAGACCCAGCCTCCACACCCTCATCACCAGACCCAGCCTCCACACCCTCATCACCAGACCCAGCCTCCACACCCTCATCACCAGACCCAGCCTCCACACCAGACCCAGCCTCCACACCCTCATCACCAGACCCAGCCTCCACACCCTCATCACCAGACCCTGCCTCCACACCCTCATCACCAGACCCAGCCTCCACACCAGACCCAGCCTCCACACCCTCATCACCAGACCCAGCCTCCACACCCTCATCACCAGACCCAGCCTCCACACCCTCATCACCAGACCCTGCCTCCACACCCTCATCACCAGACCCAGCCTCCACACACCCAGCAAACCGGACCCAGCCTCCACACCCAGCACACCGGACCCAGCCTCCACACCGGACCCAGCCTCCACACCAGACCCTGCCTCCTCACCCTCATCAACAGACCCACCTCCACACCCAGCACACCGGACCCAGCCTCCACACCCAGTACACTGGACCCAGCCTCCACATCCAGCACACCGGACACCACACCCTCATCACTACCCCCAACCCGGACACCACCAACACACCCTCATCACTACCCCCAACCCGGACACCACCAACACACCCTCATCACTACCCCCAACCCGGACACCACCAACACACCCTCATCACTACCCCCAACCTGGACACCACCAACACACCCTCATCACTACCCCCACCCTGGACACCACCAACACACCCTCATCACTACCCCCAACCTGGACACCACCAACACACCCTCATCACTACCCCCAACCCGGACACCACCAACACACCCTCATCACTACCCCCAACCCGGACACCACCAACACACCCTCATCACTACCCCCAACCCGGACACCACCTCCACACCCTCATCACTACCCCCAACCTGGACACCACCAACACACCCTCATCACTACCCCCAACCTGGACACCACCTCCACACCCTCATCACTACCCCCAACCCGGACACCACCAACACACCCTCATCACTACCCCCAACCCGGACACCACCAACACACCCTCATCACTACCCCCAACCTGGACACCACCTCCACACCCTCATCACTACCCCCAACCCGGACACCACCAACACACCCTCATCACTACCCCCAACCTGGACACCACCTCCACACCCTCATCACTACCCCCACCCCACCTCCACACCCTTATCACTACCCCGCCCCGCCACGCCATGTACTCACCTCAACCACCTCATCTTCAGAGTTCAGCAGAAACAGCTCCGGTATGGCACCGTGTACCGTCTCAAACTTAACATTGTGACTTAAAAAGGTCAAGGTCATTAACAAGTTTATTTGTCTTAACATGTACTGTAAACATAAGGAAAACAACTTTGACATTAATTTGCATCCACCATATATGACAGCTTCACCAATGAAAGGGTTAATGTACATCCCAAGCAAAATTAAGATTCTAAAAGAAAGCTTGGATTAGCATGAAAAGAGACATAAATTTCATTTTCTGATAGTGGTTATGGCATACCGGTTACGGTACATCAACATATTGTGAACCAAAAAACACAGGACATCCAGTTAACAATTTTCTGTAAAACATGAAGCAACATTGTTTTTGTCAGTACTTTTTGGAACCAATTTCTTAACAAAATTCAACCCCAGATATCTGAATAATATTACCCAACTTGGTTCACAGATCTACCAACCAAAAAGTTCAAATATGGGGAACAGCATCTTGAGTTTGAGAAACTTTTTCCTTTCCCCCTTCTACTGTTACTTTCAGTAATAAAGATGTTAAGTGTTATCTGCTGTTAAAAAATTATAGTAGATAAAAAACATTTCCTCTGAAAAACATAATAGCCATGAGAAAGGATACAACAGAGGGAGATCTATTCTAATAAACCTCTTGACCTCTGGCAGGCGATTCAGTCGTCATCCAGAACAACTCTGAAAAAAAGGTTTTAGATGTGCAGTTATGTAGTAAATTAGTTCATGAGTTTCATATTTACAGTCAACAACATTCAATAAATACCAGGGCAGGCTGTAAATAATTAAGTATGGCTCGCCAGTGGCTGACATATTCAGAGTTCCAGATGAGAGGATTTGTAAAGTTGCAAAGTAAACCGCCACAACCCAATTGCTTTGGGTTTGCTTACTAACCCGCCCTCCACACCCTCGTCACTGGACCCGCCCTCCACAACCTCGTCAATGGACCCGCCCTCCACACCCTCGTCACTGGACCCGACCTCCTCACCCTCGTCACTGGACCCGCCCTCCACACCCTCGTCGCTGGACCCGCCCTCCTCACTGGACCCGCCCTCCAGACCCTCGTCCCTGAACCCGCCCTCCACACCCTCGTCGCTGAACCCGCCCTGCACACTCTCGTCGCTGAACCCGCCCTGCACATCCTCGTCGCTGAACCCGCCCTGCACACCCTCATCGCTGAACCCGCCCTCCACACCCTCATCGCTGAACCCACCCTGCACACCCTCATCGCTGAACCCACCCTCCACACCCTCATCGCTGAACCCACCCTCCACACCCTCATCGCTGAACCCATCCTCCACACCCTCATCGCTTAACCCGCCCTCCACACCCTAACTTGGATCAGGGCATAAATATATGCACATAAGAAGTCCTCTGAAACAGCATTTGGAGAAATGTTCTGAAAAAGGTTTAATAGTTGGTTTAAAAATACCCCCAAAAATTGATCCAAGGGAGTAAAACTAGATTGAATACCCAAAGAAAACTATCAATACCCAGCAAGTCAACTCAATTTTTCCATGTTTTCTGTTTCATTACTCATGACAAAGACCTGGTGTATTTAAACATGAGTTTGAAACAGAGTGAGCACAAGTGGGAATACAAATGACAACAATATTCAACATGCAACAGAAGCTTAAACAGCTTCAAATTAGCATCAGACATAGTAACGTTACCAGAGGGATTCCTAGCTATGATACTGCTTAGCATACAAGGTATCAGTGACAAATCAATGCTGTATAGTTAAAGCAAAGCAGTCCATGGATACGGTATTACAGTTACCATGGTTACTCTGTAGTGAACAAAATGTCCGATAGCAAAGGAAACAGCCCCAGTTTAGTTAAAACATCCCAAAGACAAGGCAAAAACAACCCCACATAATAAATGTACATTGTCAAACAATCCAAGCATCACAGAAAAGCGTAGCCATTCATTAAATTTCTAACAAACATATACAAATTACTTCAAAGCTCCTTAAAATGCATCTGCATATATACTTTTGAAAAGAACTTTTAAATCTTAACATGTTTTTGTGGTGGACAAGACTAATAACAAGACTTGGTCCAAAACTATTATCCATATTTTTCATGGCATGCTTAAAGGATAACCAGGCAATAGGTATCAAATGGGCTCCATCACATATAGTGTTTGTAACATGTGTTTTAGCAAGTGATACATATTTTTACTATGCAGATCCATATAATGTAGAGTTTGCGACATATGAAATGTAAGACATGTGCATTTTATAAATTATCTAGGCTAATCATCTATGATATCTTATAAACATTTGAAAAATAGAAAAACATGGTTAAATACATAATCTTTAATTTCTATCTTATTAATCATCAGGCTTTTCATAGGCCTATTTGTTTTATGCAGAGCAGGGCAAATATCACCAACCATTGAAACATCAGACTGACAGGTGGTAGTATGTTACTTTCAGTCTCTTTGTATAAGCCGTACAACGATTACTCAGAGTATGCAACAAAAATATAATAATGACATCTACTTTACAAATATTAACATAGAAAACATATATAAAGAACACTATAAGAAATCCGGGTAACGACATAACCGAGATAACTACCAGGATGGAATGTGGCACGGAGACGCCAAGGTAGGATTGATGTGGAATATTTTCTCCGTTTTATTGTTTTCTGTGTTGGGAATCAAGAAAGGAAATGACACTTCACATGTAATACTTCACACTGGCATAAATATTTAATCTTAATATTATCTTATTTTCGTGATAATCAAATGGAGATATATCTTTCAAAAGTTTAATCACAAAAAAAACACACACAAATTTAGACTTTGATTTTGTATCACAATCGACCAGTGTTCTGCAGTGTAGGTGCAAATAAAACGCGTCATCATATTAAATTTCCGAAAATAAATTCCAGGGAGTAAGAATTATACCTTGACAACGCCTCGCATGACATCTTTGTTCGAGACGTCCTCATTGTCAGCATACACAATCGCCAACACCAGCGCACACGTCGACAACCAACTTAACGCAGCCATGTTGTTTACTGAGACCTTCACCTTCTGTATTGACCAATGCTCGCTCTCCATGTATATAGGATTTAGTGTGACCCTTGAACCCAATATCAACCAATCGAAATGGTCCACAACTATCAGTACCTTGTGTTTGTGCGAAACGTTAACGCGGAAGTGATGAATACTTATTATGAACATTTCTTTTGTGTACGGTCATAACGAAAACGTTCCTGATGCATCCTAATTTTCTTTACAACCGGTTTGACTTCTGTAGATAAAATCGTCATATGTTTCTCGTCAAAATAGGCAAAACTAGGTGCACATCTCCACGAACATCATAACATATGTATCCACAAAATAAATGCATTTACCCACCTCCTTTCCCAAATCTCTTACTGATCTGGAGCGCGCTATGTCATGAACATATTTAATTGTTTGTTGTTAAAGCCGCACTCAGCCATCTTTTCGATGCCACTATTCGTTTTTGAAACAGATATCTATTTCAAAGCCCCAAAGAAATTGGCTTCACACATTGTACCCATGTCGGGAATCGTACCCGGGTCTTCGTATTTCCGAGTAGTGCCCCGAGTAGGAGAGCGGGACTTACATTATTCTGACACGAATTTGTAAACTCAATAGGATAAACTCGTGGATATTAAAATCACTTTGCTTCCCACACTTTAATAAACAGTAGGTTGTATGCCGTGATGTCTCAAAACTATTGTTCACATTGTCTGTATAACCAACAAAGCACTGTCGAAATGTGTCTGGATTCTAAACACATAAAATGACGCGTTGAAGGTCAAAACAAGTTTAGGATTGTGTTTAACAGCTAAATTTGGGAAAACACCAATACTCTTGTGTGTCTCTGTTATTTAAAATTACGTTTTCGCAGCGATTCATTATAAAACGTTCAGTAAAGTTCCCCAGCTCCTAAACACAATACAACTTGCACACACACGAGACATAACAAAACCATGCGCATATAATTATGGATACTAATATTTAACACAGTTAAAGGTAACAACAGCATATTTTTCTCGTGTTTAATAGTAATATTACATACAAAATGTGTTTCTTATAATAATGTAATTTATTGTTCATGGCAATGTGCTTAACATCTCGCTCAAACGCAGCAGTTTTACCTGGCGTCAATAAATCCATACGAGGTAGACAACAGGTGTGGCTGTCGTTTCAAACGGCGGATGTTGCAACGTAACATATGTCCATGTCGGCTGTAATTATATAAAGAAATAAGCCGACAGAGATCAAACACAGCAATTGTTTCAGAACAACTTGTCAAATTATGATGGTGAAACGTCAGCAATAACCCCGAAAGTTTCTATTCTGGGATATTCCTTCAGGCCCTTGTCATAACATTCCGTAGCAAGCCACATAGGCGTTTTTCATATGCAAATGACGAAACGGTTGTAGAAACGCAGTCTAGTTCTCATTTGCCACGTACACACGAACGCACGCACGCGCTAGCTCACTCACTCCGGAGCGTTGTGTAGATTGGTCATACCATCAAAATGACTTGTAGTGTAATACCCTTTGTAATTTTTGGGTCTAACCAATTTTCAAGTGTATACTTTCTTTACACTGTTTACATCATTTTCTTGATACATGATCTGAGTTTTGTCAACCTTGAAAGTGAGTGAGTGAGTGAGAATGGTTTTACGCCGCTTTTAGTAATATTCCAGCAACATCACGGCGGGGGACACCAATATGGGCTTCACACATTGTACCCATGTGGGCAATCGAAACCGGGCCTTCGTTTTGACGGGCGAACGCTTTAACCCACTAGACTACCCCATCGCCCCCCAACGTGAAAGGGTATTTCAAAAGTACAATGTTTTATTAAACAAGGAATTTTCAAATTAAAATGATCATGTGTGGAAAAATACAGTTTGTGTATTGCACCTGATGCTTGGCAAAAGAGTGAGGGAGGATGGTTTGACGCCGCTTTTAGCAATATTCAAACAATATCACTGCGAGGGACACCAGAAATGAGTTTCACACATTGTACCATGTCGGGAATCGAACCCGGATCATCGGCTTGACGAGCGAACGCTTTAACCACTAGGCTACCCGACCGATCCCGTAAGATACAGCTAAAGTGGGGATCGGGTGGTCAGATTCGGTGATGTGGCTGCCTGCAGGTCATCGCTCCAGATGATGTGGGTCGCTGATCAGGTTTTCAGTCAGTTGTTTATCTGGTCCAGATTCGATTATTTCCTTGTCGCCGTTATACAGCTGAAATATTGCTATATGCGGCATTAATCAACATTCTTTCACGCTGGCACATGAGGTTCGTGAATAATGTTCCTAGCACCATATGTTTTAGTTGGAGGTAAAAGGAGATGGGTGGTCACAATGACTACAGAATCAGGCAACTACATTGCCGAGCAAAAGAAAGTATACATCCATGTTTGATGTTGGCTACAGACCCGCGAAGATTAGGGTAGGACAGGTCTTCAACCACCCATGCTTGTCGTAAGAGACGACTAACGGTATCGGGTGGTCAGGCTCGCTGACTTGGTTGATGCATGTCATCGTATGCCAATTGCGTGGATCGATGCTCATGATGTCAATCACTGGATTGTCTGGTCCAGACTCGATTATTTACAGACAGCTGTCATATAGCTGAAATATTGCTGATAGTTTGTTTGTTGGTTGTTTGTTTAACGATGCAAACTAATGATGGCTACAAATGAAACAAACAGGAACTGTTTATTCGATGGTGATGTACTTGGTACGGGTTTCACAGTTGTGTTCTGGACCTTAAAGATGCAGTGTTTTACATGAAGGTATGTGAGACTTATGTTTTGCTATCATCAAGACCTGGACCCACTTGCACAAAGAGATCTTAGCGCTAAGATGATCGTAACTCCCATACTTTAACATAGGCTTACACTAGTTTTATCGCTAAGATCGCTTTGTACAAGTGGGTCCTGTACTCTCACCTGCTGAGTGCTTGTATGACCCCTTACACCGACTATAGATGGCATGTAATTCAGAATGTCGTCACGACCTCGCACGCGCGTGTAGCTTGATTGATTGGAACATATATTTTTGACTATAACGAACTTGACAAACAGCATAACAATGGGATTGGGAAAAGATAATTAATTGTACGAGTACACAATATGTCGTTACACAATGACACTACATTCATGAATACAATAATAATCGGTTATAATCAGTAACTTTGTGTGATTAATGTTTAATCGCGAAACATATACATCTTACATGCAGTTTAACTGATGTATTGAACATCTGTTCATGAATAGACACCTCTTCAATTTATCGTTTGGGAATATACCGTAGTTCCTCTTCTGTGAGAAGGATTATGTTAGGCACACTGTGGCTCGAAGAAATGGCCGTTTGTATCACGAGGTTCAATCAAGATGTTATGCTGGGGACGTATGCACAAAGGGCATTCCATTGTGACGTGTTTCGGTCACGTGTTACTTCAGGTCGTCCAGCCTTCAGGTATGACTTGATGTTTATCCCGCACAGTTCACTAAACTAAGTCCTGTTTGATATAATGGAGGACGGATTTTTGCTTACCATTTGGCTTGATTGGAAATAAAAATATATTTGTGTAGATGGGTATTTTTTAATGTTTCGCTTCAAATGTTTCGCTTCTGTCCTTTTAATAGGAGAATTACATGCTTATTCTGCTATTATTTTGTAAAGTGCAGGATGTTTTGTATTCTTACAGTAAAATGTGTGCCTTTACATACTAGAAATCTTTGTTTTCTTTATAAGAAGTTTGCAGAGCTTTGCAGTGACCAGAGACAACATGAATGCCAATATTTTTCACCTTGTATTATTCTAAAGTTTATATTTGTATTTTTTCTTTTTTTTTCTATTTTTTTTTCGAACCCATCAAAGATGGAGAGGTCGACTTGAAGTATTCTAATATACTTTCTGATTGCAATCTTTGGCCCCCGTCTGTTGAATCCGTTAACTCCGAAAATAAGAATGTCGCCGATGTCGCGCCCTTCCGAAACAATACGAAAGGAATTAAGAGTCCAGTCTCTACTGTGGGTCGTCTTCAACAACAGTAATCTGGACCAGTTCTAAGTGAATTAAACAAGGAAGATCCTTGGGTCTTAATGGAGAAAATACGGTACATCTATCGATTGTATTAAACACAGCTATTGCAGACAGTTGTATTGAATCCTTTGACCTGTTTAGCGGATGCTACCGGTAGGGCAGGGCATGTTTACCCTTTTCGCGAACACCTGGTGTCATCACTTATTTTTCAATGGTCCATTTCTATAATTCCACAGCTATTTTGCCCTTTACGCCATATGGAATTAGTTTCGGGAAAAAATCAACACTGGTTATTCTCTTGCTCTGGTGTTTTATTTAATTGATACCATGTATATATATTGATACCCTACCGTTCTACAGTCCTTCTTTATATATATATGACGCTATTGAAGGCAACTGTGTCGACAATGAACTTGTAGTGTGTCTGACAATATTTTGGTGACATTTCAGATAACTTTTGAAAATGAAATTTCTTACCCCACCATTGTTTACCTTGAACTTACATTACCTGTGATTGCACAAATTCATTCAAACTGTGATTGATCAATCATTTGTTACCCCTCCCTAGATTATATTATAATTCACAACAAAACCTCTTCTTGTTATTTTTTTATCGATCATGGAACTCGACCTATACTTTCTTTTGCCGCCCAGTTTACTTCTTAATTATCGAGCTGCAGTAAGACTCATGAGATCCACTGTTATAGTTATTTAAGGTCTTCCTTCATAAAAGGAAACATCTTTCTGAAAATAATGGAAGGTTTCAATGCTACGCGACAGTGTGCTCGCTTTCATCTTGAACGGGGGATTTTTTCAAGTAGCGATAGAATATTTAATGATCCTTCTTCAACCAACACATTTCATTGGTGCAGCAGACAAAAACGTTTCGAGTCCTAAACCTTGTCGGAGGCCTTGTCCACGTGATAACCCTGTCCACATGCTGACGAGATAAGGATGTCATGTGTAAGATGACTACACACCTTGCTCCATCCTCCCCCATAACAGAGTGGGATGCTGAGATATATACTTACGGAAAGAAGTAACTGTGCTTCATATAAAGTGGCGTAAATGTCATGTTATTAGAAATGACAACATAATATTTGGTCATTCGCCTGATGAATGGTTTATCATAACAAATTCATTGACAAAGCCCATGCCTGGTATCAAACAAAGGGTGGTGCAACAACTCAATCACCAATGTCAATATCGGGTGCGACCACCATTTGTGTTGATACAGGCGAGGCAGCAAATGATTGAAAACAGCCTGGGAGATATTGTTCCAAATGTCAACCAAAGATTTCTTATCTGAGCTTGCGTTATTGGCTGGTTCTGGTCCTGTCGTAGGCGTCCTCCATCTCATCCCAGACAGTTCTGTTGGGGAGAGGTTTTGAAAAGAGCCGTCCAGGCAGTTCAGCAATGTTATACGCTGCCTCAAAAAATCTGTTACAACACATGCAACATGTGACCGGCAATATGCTGCTGCAATGTGACGCTACATCCCTGCATTTCGAACGATGTCATCCTGGTAGTGTACGCCGTTCACATGGCCAATAACAACAGTGAGTTGTGTACACCATGAGTCGTGATGTGATTACACCCCATACCATTACACTGCCACCCTCAAACTGACGACGAACAGTATACTGTCCCAGTCTTGTCTTCTGAACCTCAGATATTGTCTATACCAAGATAGGCGTGCCTGATGGTGACGTGGAAGCAAATTTGGGCATATTGCTTGATGTCGAGGCCAGGTGTTGTGCTCCCTCAACTGGCTGTCACTAATTGGTCTCAACCCAGGAATTTCCCGACAAAACATGTTGTTAAACTCACATTCCTAATAGATCTGGTGCTGCTGGCGTGACTGAATCGGGTGGTGTCTTGCGCCTGGGTGTGCTTACTGACGTCTGTACCGGCGGTCGGCCGTGTGGTTCCGGTCTGCGTCGTGGGCTTGCTGTCGGAGGCAGGTAGCTGCGGTGTCATGACGGGTGCTGGTACAGTGATGTGGGTTGCTATGTCGTCATAGATTGATCGGGGTGGCGGCTTGTCGTTGTGAACTGGGCTGAACTGGCTCCTCCCGTGGTGCGCAGGAATTTCCTATTCCGAAGTGTGACTCTGCCAGAGCCGCCAATCTTGATCGCGTATTGGTGGTGTTGGCGTACCTCTACGTTACTGTCCCATTTGTTGGGGTGGGGTAGTATGACTACTCTGTCCTTGTATAGGATCACTGCGTCTGTTGATGTAATGTTCTCGCGGTACTGGTGAAAGTCTCGAATTGTCTTCGGCATCGCGATCTTCGAGTCGGGAATGCCGTCCACTGCCATTTCCTCCAACATGTGCATATCGCTGTCGCTGCTGATGGCCTCCCTGACGCAGTCCCATGTCACTGATCGCAATAATTTGAGGCCCGCGGCGCACCAAGCCAGGTTGTCCATCACTACGTCGTCGTCGTCGTCGTCGTCGTCGTCGTCGTCTTCAGGCTCGGCTCGGCATAGGAGAGATAGGACGATGGTGTGCGTGCTGGGTGGGGATTGGGTTACTATGGCAGCATTGTCATCCGGAAGGTTCATGAGTGATTGTCGCTTGGTGCCAACCCGCCTACGTGACATGGCATCTGCCGCCTCGTTCTTCATGCCCGGGATATGTATGATGCGGAAGCGATAACGCAGGGTTTTCTCCTTGAGGTTCCTGAGGCGGGGGTTGGGTATGTCATCAAGTGCTCTGCCCGCAAGAAGTTTCAGCAGTGGCTTGTGGTCTACCGCTACGATCAAGTTCTCGCAGCCCAGCACGAAATAGCGCGCCTTGTTCAGGCGTCTGCGACTGCGAGAGCCTCGCCCTCTATGGGCGCGTATCTGGATTATGCCACGTGTGTGAATCTGCTGCCAACCAGGGTTATCTTACATCCATCGATGCAGCAAAAGGGTCTGACTGGCATGCATCGGCAGTGCTTTTGAAACAACTAGAATCCAAGGCCCTTCGTCGACCAGTCCGTTGCGATGCAGGTTGGCATGGTCTTGTCAAAGATGCGGACGCCACGCTCGATTTCTTGAATGATCACGTCCTTTGACTCGTGGAATATGGACTCTAACTCCGAGGACCACTCGAAACGTTCTCCACTTTTCAGGAGCTTCTGGAATGGCTGCATTCGCTCGGCCATGCTGAAGGCGTAGGCCACTTGGTTGACCAGCCCGAACCACGATCTGAAATCTGTGACGTTATGCGGTTGTGGGAAATCATGGATTGCCTCCAGATAGCGGATGCACGGTCGCACGTCGGTCATGGTGATAGTAAGACCGCGAAGTCCAACGTGGGTTTTTTCCGGGTTGAGGATGATTCCATTCCGGCTGCATATATCTAGCCAATTGACCGCCTGGAAGTAGCTCCCCTCAATCGTATCTGCCCATAGTAGCGGATCGTCCACGCACTTGGTCTTGTTTTCAACGTCCGCGACGATCTCGTCGTACCGTCGTGAGTAACCGTCCCCCGATGCCATGTACCCTTGTGGGGCCGATAGGTACCGGTAGCGCCCCCATGGAGTGATGAAGGTCGTTTTGTGGCGGTCGTCCTCGTGTAATGGGACGCGGTCGTCCTCGTGTAATGGGACGCTGTGGTGTCGCATCCTCATCAAGCATAAGACGTAGCGGCGGGCCGGTCATTCTCGGTAGGGGCTGGTGGGGCACGTATTGAATGTGCTCTGAGCGTACATCCTGAGAAAGTGTTTCTGTAGTGCTTCTCTGTTAGCTTGGTCGCCGGCATGGGGAGTGTTGTCGGCTCGGTCGGCGGTTCCGCACGTCGCGGGCAGTCACACAATTCCGAGGTCGCTAGGTTCACCTCCCCGAGTGTTGGGAACTTTTCCGTGATCATACCTAGGTCTACGCAGGCTGCCGTCTGCTCGTCGTACATCCCGTCGGTCTCCCCCGACGGGGGCCTAGTCGGTCGGCTGTTCAGGCACATCTTTTCGAGGTGGTTATGGCGGCCACATTTCCGGCACCTTTTCCCATACACGGGGCACTCGGTGCGTCTGGCGCGCCACTGAGGTGTCTTGCCATGGCCCACCTCGCCCCAGTAGGTGCAAACCCCTTTGGGCTTGGCTTTCTGTTTCTCCGGCCTGGCTCCTCCTCTGGTGCGAACGTCTTGTCGTATCCCCCGCCGACAGGAACTTTTGATCGCATCTGTGCTCTGAGGGTCGAGTAGGCGCGATGACGAGCGCTTCCCAGACTCCTTGGCCTCGATATACTCCACCATGTCCTTTAATGGCATGTCCTGGTTCTTTCCACCGCGCTGATCAAGTTGTATCTCTTGGTCCGCGATGCCACAGGCAATCACATTGCGTAGCATCTCTTCCTGAAGTCGTTGACTTGATTGCACCCCATCTTGGTGCATTTCATCTCATACTTGTATGTGTCTGCCTGCCCCTTGATGCGGGCGTGGAATGACCGGTTGGGCTCCTCATGTCCCTGCCTCATGTTAGACAGAGCCACCCGAGCTACCATGGTGTTCTCCGCTCGGACGGCCAGCGCCTTCATCGCGGCGAGGATGCCTTTTTCGTCACTGTCCGCTAGGCTCTTGCCCGCCGCGCGTGTGAGATCTTTTCTCAGCTACTCCTCTCAGCACTCGAGTACTTGTGCTATATAGTCACAACCCTCGATCGGGCACTCGACATTCATATGCGCCATCGGGACTGTTATTATGTAGCGAATGACCTAATTTCGGTATTACAGACGTGTATACAGTGTTCCGGGGGCTTCGGTTGGGTACTGTACCTGTCATCGTTCTCGTGGTCCGTTTGCACCAAGTCGTGTGTGCACTGACGATCTCCGCTTGACTGCCTGTTTAGTTATAAATAAGAACAGAGTTCCATTTGTTCGATCACTTTACTTGAGAAAATCAGCGTGAAGTGACAATAACTAAACAAGTATCGAACAGGTCCTTAAATCTACATTTGTACTCTGCCCAAAGATTTTCCTTGATGTGGGCATTCTGGAATTTGTCCCTTACCTGCATCCCTAAGTACGTATAGGCCTGACCTTCCATGAGAATTGTCAATAACTTCTCCCCCAAGTAAACTGACAGATCCTCACTCTTCTTCCTTGCCACGTTTCAAATGAAGAATGTCGAGTTGACTTGACAAGCCCATGTCATTAGAAAAGGACTCGACAAGGAGAATCTGTTTTTAGTGTGGATCCTCCACTGGCAATAAGTTCAAGGTCATCCATATAAGGAGGTAAGTAGGGGTGGAGTGTGTGTGTGTGTGTGTGTGTGTGGGGGGGGGGGGGGGGGGGGTGATCTGTGCTGAGAAGGTTCAGGACGATAACCTTCCTCTTTGCTAAGGAATACATCTCAAGTTGAGTTGACAAGCAATTTATCAAAGACTTGAGTTAAAAGAGTAGTCGCTCGGGGAGGTAAATACATTCCAATGACTTCAAAATTCATTCGTGAGGTACAGAATCATAAGCTTTTCTGAGGTCTCTCCAACACTTTGAGAGGTTACGGTGGTATGTTTTAGCCTCTTCAAGGGTCATTTTGTGAACATGCAGTTGATCCTTACAACCCCAGCATCCCTTTCTGGCTCCTTTCTGCGCCATGTAATAATGTTATCTTTGGCGCAGTATGAAGATCTGTAAAACACCTTGTAAATATTTGGTACCGTGTATTATCATTATTAAATGATTATGAAACAAAGCACAGGGTTTTCGATAGTTGGCTATCAGATGGTGACAGTGCCATTACTCCTATTGTGAGATAGATTAGATCAGCTGAGTTTAGGAAGAAGTGACAAGTCTTTCTTCAGACGAGCCAGTACTGCCACTTCACAGCTTTGTCTTCGGTTGGTTCTGACTGTGAAGTGGAGCCCGCAATTGCTGCTTGCATCTATATTTATTATTAGCTTCATTATTATATTATGACATTGCTTGTTAAACAGTCACTGTGTGGATTACGGATCCCAAGCTCCTGGTGTTTTTTATGATTATTTGAAGTAATGTATATCATCAAACCTCCACAACGTGGGCCGTTGATCATCCACAGCTGGCTCACTCACTGGTGAAAATGGCAAAGCACAAACAATATGTTACTTGAATCGTTGTTGAATTTTAGTCACACTCTTAACCATACAACCTTGTGAGTGAGTGAGTGAATACTGTTTACCGAAACAGGAATATTCCAGGGATGTCAATGTAATTCATCCAGTCTAGACAGTATGGGCTGCTGAAGACCTATTCTACCCCGGATCTTCACGGGTCTCTAGACAGAAACGCAATTAATGAAAACAAGAGCAACAACAAGAACACTGGTGCGTTCGATGATATTCTGATACTTGAATAGATCCACTCGTATTTCTTGATGAATTTCTTCAGTTAAGACTTAAGTTCACAGTCAGATCGTCAGGAAATGTATTCTCAAAAGCCAATATTAACTCCGTGTTATATATCTATATATATGTAGTCTTTATTCATTTTATTGTAGGCCACAGGCCCATTATACATTACAGAGTATACAGTGAGAGAGAAACATTATGATACAAAAAGTAAATTTTAGGTGATTTACACAAGACGTCGTTTCATTGCTTTGTAAATGAATACGGATAGATTTTGAATGATTAATACATTATTTGATGCCATTAAAATATTAAACGTATGTATGGAGGGGTTTCGGGTAAAACCTTTTGGGTATATATTTTCGTCTAAAATGTACATATCGATCACAAATTATTATAGCATCTGCAAAAGGACGATTTCATCTGCAAATAACAGCAAAAATACCTGTATGATATCAGGATGCAGTTGCACCCCTGGCGCACATGAAGATTCTATTTATTCAGCAAGCTAGTTATATCTAGATGATCCCAAATGATCAATAATGATCGCCTTGGGTTAGAATGAGTGTTTGTTGTAGTAGCGACTAAGCGAATGAGATGATCTCACTCAGTGACTGGTTGGTCGTGTGGCATCGTGATACTTAGATTAAAAAAGAACTCGATTCCT